AACCATGCCGTTTGCTGAGTGAACCTAGGGCTTGAGCTTGAGCTGCGTAGGGTGAAGCCAGTGTCGGGCATGTACCCAAGCAAGCCTGTTCCGCTGCAACAAGGAAGGATTTGTTACCCCACCCTGGATTTCCACCGGCAGGTCCAGATGAAGTGATTCGAGAGACGAAAGCATCCGATGTACTACGGCGCAGCAGTAAGAGTTTTCTTCATGCTTAGGGGTGTTCGCAAAATCCGCCGTAAAGGGAGGTTGACACATGCAGAAGTCAACAACCGATTACCAATTGATGACGGAATACAAAGTCTTGCAGCTTCCACCTTAGCAGCCAACGTAGTGATATCACCCGATGCCGGCGACCAGTGAGGATGAGACAGGTGGCCTCATTCGACGACTTCGTTGGGAAAGATGCCCCTCTGCGCAAGAAAGTTGCCGCGAGTTATAGCACGAAGCATACGGATCCTTTTGGTGTCCGATAAGAAAAGATAGGCTCCTAACAATTTTAACTGTGACCCGGTACACTCTGACGACTCGATTTATCGGCCGTTGCCTTGCTGGACTGGAAGTCAGGAATCCAGGCATTTCTACAGTGAAAAAGCTGCCCAAATGCCATCCAGTGAGATGGACGGGACCCTGCAAGACAATTCCGACGTACAGGCAGTCCCCAGAGACAGTTGTTCTGTCGCTTGGAATTGACAATGGCTCGCGCCTTCGTCATACGACTTGGAGGTCGTGCCAATGCTGTGTCATCTGTCCTCAAGGATGGAATAACAGAACGGAAAACGGGATAGGGAGGGCGAGCCGGCTAGCGTTATTACCCATGAAGCCACTTGGTAGTGAGAACTGCTTCCCAGATCGCGATGTCTTTGCAAAAAAAAAAAAAAAAAAAAAAAAAAAAAAAAAAAAAAAAAAAGCGAAAGGGAGGGGGAGCAGGGGAAGCTGAATTACCAAAAGACAAAGTGGGAGGAGAAAACACTTCTACGAGTGCGATTTTTTATAAAAAAAAAAAAAAAAAAAAAAAAAAAAAAAAAAATTCAAATAAGGTTTGCATCGTCGTATGTGACCATGCTGAAAGCTCTATGTGGTGCCATCATCCGAGGAAAAACAATGACGGGCCGGCTAGAACATGAGGTTGCATTTCAAGCGGTGGTCAAAAATTCAAAATTTAGAAGTTGGCCAAAGTGGAGGGCCCTTGTCAAGATGTTGGTGGAGAATGCTCGACACACGTGGTATTGGAGCTTTCAGACTTTAATTTGCTGCAAGTTGACGAGGCCCTGCTTCGTCGTCTTTCCTCAATGGGCTAAATCCGATGTTAATGGTTTGGGGTACTCCTTTCCCCAAAGCCGTGGAGGAAGCGATGATGAGGCCAGTGTGATACACAGATCGACGGAGAGCTACTAAAGAAAGGAAAATGGTGGGGCTTTTTTCCTTTGAGAAAACGACGTTCGAGTTGATGGAGAATGCGGGTTTCGGTGGAGGCAAACTGACTCTCAGTGCTGGCTAAGTGTGGCCATCGCAAAGGCACGATGTGACCGTGATGCCGGCAAGCTGATTCAGTTTAAGCCTCGTCACCACGACCAAATCCCCCAAAGCCGGTGCGCTTATTCTCAGAGTCATCGGGACTCGGAAGTCATTGTCCAGTGCCTTTAACACATGAACTTCCAGAGGCCAGGAACAGGAAGGGATCGACAGAGTGCAAGTCAACGGATGCCTAACGACATATCCAATGAGGCAAGGTGGAGTGGGATGGCCGTGCGAGCATGGCTTTTCCATGTTAATATTTGTCTGAGCGAACTGGGTCGAGGCGCTCTGCCGGAACCTGGCGGCTGTACCGCAGCGAGCGGCGGAAGCCAGGGTGTCCGCCTCTCGGGGCCTACCCCGCCCCGGTAGCAGGCGTACGGCCTATGGGAAGAAGAGTGCTGAGCGCTGTTTGGGACAGAGATCCCGAACTCAGCCCAGCAGCAGAGTCAGTCAAGCACCACTCATCTCGTCAGCCTCAAGGCAAGCGTTTCGTTGCCCCGAGTGAGCACTGCCGGCGTTTCGCTGCAATGCTATGAACTTGCGACAATGGTCTCGCGCTGTTGGGTCTCCCTGTGGCAATGACGCTTGGCAGGCCGTACGCCAAACGGACGCGAAGCGCCGGCTAAACCGAGTCGAATCGGGAGACTGGACCTGAGCATTGCCAGAACTTTGATAGGTCGGCGATTCACTGAATACAGTTCGATCGACAGTTTCCCCAAGCCTTTCTTTTCCCACAATAGCATTTGTCAGAAACATCGGATTGTCAATCGGGCGGCATATACCTTGGGCCAGGATGTGTCGGGGTTCGAAGACCAGCGGAGGCCGATGAGCCTTGGATAAATATAATTCGTTGCATCGGAGTTAGGAGGACAGTAGGCTTCAATGACGCAATCCGAGATGCCTCGTTTGCTGAAAGGATCAGACAGTGTCCCGTGTAATGGCCCCTGGAAATGAAAGCCTCCGCTCCTGACAGCCGTGGACATGCAGTTGATGCACCGTCGTCTCTCGATAGTGTTTGGGCGAGGGCGTGCGACTATTCTGTTATGACAACCACTGCCAAACAAACAGTGTTTACCTAGGTAGTGATGGGTGCGATTGTTTGTTGTGGTGCATTGACCTGAGTGGAATTGCCGGACATTGTAGCGACATCGCAATGGACTATCGTAGCGACAACGCTACCATGACCTTTCAGCCCGACTGTCGCGGGGTTTGTGATGGATTGTATTGGCAGAGCAAGGATACCTACTGCAATATCAGACCAGGGTGCGGCATGTTATTCGCCAATTGCGTCGTTATGGGCCGCCGATAGCTGACTGGGTTCACCTTGACCAAGCTCGACAATCGTCATTCCCCAGCCAGGCCGTGGTAGCTCATCGAGATTACACTGATTGCTCAGCTCCATGTCAGACTTGTCAGTTGGTCTCCGCTGCGGGCTGAACTGCTCAGAATGGTCCAGGCTCCTTGAGAGTTGGGGTGTTGGGGGGTGTTGGAGCTCGCTATAAGCAACCGAAAACCCTTCGAAGGCTTTTGTAATGGCAACTGTCGTTGGAGGCTTATGGGTGGGTTGTACGAGGTCCAAGTCATTGATTGCCTAAAGCAACTCACTTACAACCGTTGCCCAGAGATGTGGCCCCCAATTCCCAGCGTACCGTTCCATGCCATTCCATCGGCGCCCATCCTCTAGGGCCAACTACTGTTCCTTAGCAGGAAGGAGGGAAGCCACTCGCCATTGCTCCCCGCGCCACAGCGTTGCGTTGCCCGCCGACCTGGAACATACCCGCTCGAAGGTTCAGGGGACGACGGCATCCCGACAGAAGCAACAATTTTCGCGTGCCGAAAACGGACTGAGGGGCCGCCGGGATCCTCCCTCTGAGAGCTTTGTTGTGTGCGATGCTCGCTTGGAAGAGATACCAACAGTGCTTGATTATGGGTCTTTGGAGAGGTTAGACTGCTTTGTAAGCAACCAATGCTCAAGTTGTCCTTGAAGGCCAGCACCAGCAAATCTCATCCACGTTCTTTGTTGTGCTCCGAGGCCCGCAGGTTCCGGGACTTCAGTGCGACGAATTCAGGCTAATGATACAGCCCTTGGCCGCTTAGCAGTGGAGTTTCTCGCCGCCGATATCTCCCTGGCCAGGAAGTTAACCAGGCCCTGCCCAGTGGACTTTGAACCCAATCAAACAATTGAGGAGCTGAGAACAACTTGAAGGACGCGAGCGAGGTGTCACCTCCAACCCACATCGAAGCAGACGAGGAGCGATGGAGAATGGAGATGGCTAAGGAAGAGCCCATCTGACGAACTGTAACGGTCATGCGGAGGGCAATAAGAACGCGAGGGGGAGCGCATTGCGGAGGCGAAAGATTTGGGTTGCGCTGAGGCTTCGAACTCATGGGATTTGGGGTACTCGGTCGAGTCAGATACTGCTCCAGACACAGCCTCTTCGCGTCGTCCGATATTCGCCTGAATAGTCGGACGGCAAGGCACCGGTCTTCGCCTTATCTTTGGTGACCTATACCAAGAAATCTAGGCTCGATGGTGACTTCTGAAAATCCAGACTTCGAAGTGCCGGACTCTGCTCTGAAGGGCGGGCAGACTGGTGGGCGAATCATCATCTGAGCCAGTGCGGCTGCGACCTCGTAATGATTAGATCATTGTGCATGCATAATGCAGCGAGCGTATCCAACTCAGTTATGCAGATGCTGCGGAACGTTGCTCAACTGCCATGGCCAGCTGTCGTGCCCACCGGGCTCTTGGGCTCTTGGAGCCGGTCCCAAAATTGACAGGGCATGATCCATCTATGGTGGGGAGGGAAAGGGCCCAGAACACAGCTGTGTCCCAGCAGAGCGTGCCGAGGGTGCGTATCTTTGCTCAACCGCGGCGCATCGGCAGCAGCTTCTGTGAATGTGATGGAGCCGCCCATTGTCGATTCAGCTGTCAGTGGCTGGCGACTTGTAAACGTCTGCCGCGAACCCTCTTCCGGCCAACGGGGATCACAATTCGTAGCAGGGGTGAGGAAGGAAAACCCAGGTGATGGGACCTTGTGCGAAGACGCTTGGCCGTTTCTGTGGCCCCGGTCAAAGCAGGAAAACGTTGAACCAGATCCTGGCACCCTGGTCGAACCGACGAGGAGGGGGAGAGGAGCAGGCCGAGCTGTGATCCTGGATCGCGAAGGAAACGAAACGGAATCGGGGGTAGTGTTCTTGGAGCAACTGAGGCAGTGCCAAAGCAGGGCTAAAGAGGCGGCGGAACTTGAGCCGAAGCGGCAGGAGGGCATGCCGTCGATGTTGACGGGTGGATGCAGAGAAGACGTTTGATAGTTCGAGTTCTGTCCGCCGGACGAGAAAATGCGGGCTAAGGAGAGGAGAGGGGACAACGGAGGAGGCGTGGAGGAAAGTCTGGAGGGACAATACCCGCGAGTTGTAACCCAAGAGCCAGCCAGGATCCAGATCCGGATACCTCAGGCCGATAATGAGCACTGAGGCTCCTAGGCATTCCCAGCAACGAAAAACGTGAAGGCCAGGGCTGGCGGGCAGAAGATGGGGGGAGAAGCCCTGAACCCTGCCCCGTTCCCTGTCTGTTCTGCTATTGACCGGCGCGTGGCCATTGGCGTCCGTCGCTCCGCTGCAGCAGCGTTGCTGTCGATGGACTGGTAGCCGCTCACCCGCTCAACTGTTGTGCAGAGGTTGCAGAGGCTGCAAAGGGCGTAGAGGACGGCCGATGGACTGGACATTCGACGTACGGTTGGCTGCCGGATGGTCTGCTTTGCGACGTATCCTACTGTACTACATAGCAGTTGGCGGAAGAATAGCCGGGTGTTGTCGAAGTGTCTCAAAAATCCCGTCAATGGCATCATGCTGCTTCTCAATTGCAACTGGTGCCCACGCAGAGTGTCCGTCCAAAGCAATGTAGGCGAATGAAGACTCCAGGGTACGTATCAGTTGTGCCAGCAAAATGTTTCCAATGATGCTGCCGGTCGACTGACAACACCAGAAAACCCCGACGAACTACTCTTGCGAAGCTAGCGGACTAGCTTCACGCACCGCGTTCTGCCGTGCCGTTGCCAGAGCAGTGACGCAGCCCAAGTGGTTTTAGAATCGCCTCCCTCTGGTCGCAGAGTCAGGTTCAGCGTCTCCAAGTGGCGGATTGAACCGACTGCCACGGAAACACGAGAGTCAAATCAGCTACATTGTGTTGCTGTGTTCCGCCGGTTTCTTGAATGTCGGAACGGGAGTCAACCCCAGAAGCTGTCAACGACGGCGTCCGACAATTAGCACTGTCGGAGCATGAGTATTGACTAATGACTCCCGACCCTCCATTGCCTCTGCCGCAGTGTTGGAGAATCTCGTCGGTAATGCCTGTTAGGTGGTCGGGTACGTACTTTCCCTTCCGAATGTGCCCCGCCAACGTCGAGAAGTCGAGAGCAAACGAACTTGGAGCATGTAAACGTGGCTCCGGCATGATACACGCCGCCAGGGACCGCCAAACCCTGAGAGGCTTGGCTGTCTGGACAGAGACTTCTGACCGCCGCGTCGACGCTTCGGCCTAGCAGCCGAGGCGGAGACAGAGAGGCAGAGAGAGATTCGAAGAGAAAGGCATGGAGACGTTTGAGGGACCTCCTCCACCCTCCTCCACTCTCCTCCACACTGCGCCTGGGGCCTTGGGCTTACTGTATAGTCGGCGGCGGCACACGGACCAGGAGGATGAGGTTAAGCTGCATCTGGCGTAGAATGGGTGTCGGGCAGTCGGACGAGCTTGTTGTTGGCAGAGAGAACCAAAAGGCGGATTCAAAACAAAAGGGGACCTACTTTTCTTCTTTTGCCTTGAGACGCCTGAGTGGGAAGTGACTTTGAAAGAGAGGGAGGCCGACCGGGGGGTTTGGCCGTGCCAAGAGGGAAACAAAAGAGAGACAAAGAAGAAAACGAAAAGAAAAATCCCACGAAACCACAGAGGCTTGCACCAATAGCCCTGTTGCAGCAGTTTCCGTGCCTCCCCGTCTCGGGTGATAGATGGAAGAGGCAAAAGCGAGAGAGAAAAAAAAAAAAAAAAAAAAAAAAAAGACCTTCGGCAGAGAAATGGGAATGCGCTGATGTGAAAAGAAAATGGCAGAATCCGTCCGTGTCTGCTGTGGGGGTTTGCTGCAGGATGAGAGGAAATGGAAGTGCATGACAATGACTCCCACCAGAAGTGCAGTCAAGTCCCTCCCTACATTGCCTTAAGGTACCTTAGCAAGGTAAGAAGGTATCCGTACGGATAGTTGTTAACCATACCAACGGAAAGTCCCCACCCTCGATCTCGTCACCCTCCTGCGCTCTTACCTTGCTGTTTGTCGACCTCGTCAGCCGTCCTTCCTCTTGCCATTTTTGACAGACTTGACAAGAATTCTTGATCAATGATGACTTCCTCCTTCCGTGCACTATCAGACCAGATCCAGCAATGCACTCTGCAATGATACCGAAGAGGAGGGAGTAGGAAATACGACAACCTGGTCTAGGTACCTAGCCTTCCTTCCTTCCTTCCTCGCATCCATCGCACCTCGTCCCAGTTCGCTCCTTCCCTTCTGCAGGATGCCTGACCTCACCACGCAGAATACGTACCTCCTCTTTTGGCCGGGATCAGGGCCAGAAAGCCCAGAACGCGAGGAAGGAGAAGGCTTGAGAGCTACGTATCTTCCGCTGTCGCTACCGTGGTAAGGTGCCTTTCCTTCCCAGTCTGTGTCTGCTGCAGGCTGTCCCATTCAGTAAAAGTACCTAGGTATCTTGGTTTGTCTTCCCTCCTCCAAAGAAAAACATAAGCACTGAAAACCTATTAGCTTGGATCTTAGGTTGGGTTTTAAGCCAAGACAGGGTATGTAGGTTTCCCACCAAGCCTTTTCATCCTAGCTCCCGGCCACCGACTGCCATACCCCCGGTCTTCTCCTCCACCCCCCTGACTCTTCCACGCCGTCTCCACTCTCCTCACCCACTTCGCCCACGCAGTTCGCTCGGTGCCTTCCCATTCTGCTTCGTCGCCCCCCCCGGGGCCCCCCCCCCCCCCCCCCCCCCCCCCCCGCCCCTTCCCCCCCGGCCCCCCCCTCCCCCCCCCCTTCCCCCCCCCAGTTCGCCCGGTGCCTTCCCCTTCTGCTTCGGCGCCGGCGCCGGGAAAACCCGCCCCCCCCCCCCCCCCCCCCCCCCCCCACCCCCCCCGGTTCCCAATCCACGCCCGCCGCCCACATCCACCCTGCCTTGCCTCTCTACCTTGTCTTCCTTGCCGACTGCCACCCGTCTGTCTTGTCCAAACATTTTCCTTTCCCACCCTCCTTGTGGGAAATATCACCTGGCTGGGAACCCTTCACCCGTCTGGTCTTGTCCCGTCTCGACTTCTTGTTTTCCGTCCGTCATCTCTTCTCTTGTCGAAGCATACCTAGTCTGTCGCAAACCATACGCTAGCACCCCTCGCCAGTCGTTCGACCCTCCTGCTGTTGTCTAACCCAGCAACCTTCACGGCCTCATATATCGACGACCGCCTCACGTCTAGGCCTCTGTGTTACGAACCCCCATTCCCCGCAACCCTTCAACGACTCTGTCGTCCCCTCACGTGTGCGCCCTGCAGCAAGACCCGGAAGTATCAATTCAAGTGTCGCATTGGGTCCATCGTCGACTTATTTGATTGGAAGAGGAGGCATCTGCATCGAGGGAACAACAACGCACGCATATCCAAATTCCTGCTGGACCCCCCGTACCAGCACACTCGCGCCCAACCACCGCCAGCCAGGCCGAGGTACCCTGCACCAGTTTCGTACACGTGGGACGAGTTACCGCCCTTGACAAACGGCCGCCTCGAACATCTGATTTCACTTCATTGGAGAAACCCAGGGCTTTCCCACAGCGCTTCTGGAGAGCCGTCAGTCAGTCAGTCACGACAACCATCACCGCCTCCGAGGAGAGAAAAAAAAAGAGTTCAAAACAGCACAGCGCCACGTCGCTGTTGTCGCCTGGGGAAAAGAGAGACAACATAAGCAGCCAGAACAGAATCACGAGAATGTGGAGAAGATCCGGCTGACAGGAACCATCTGAGTGGCCTCGACGTCGACCAAGTATAACTCAAAGAGTACTTACACCAGACAAAACCCCCAATACACCCACTTCGCGACAACAACGGCAACCTTGCACGACTTGAACTCGGATACTAAACGGATGTATACCTGGAATGACACCGGAATAAGACTACCTGGCACAAGACGTTGCTTCATCACATCATCACGGCAGCATTTTCTCGTTTAACCTTTGTGTCGACCTACTCCACCACGGCGGCCAAGGCACAACCAAACAGCACCAAGTCCACATATCCAAGCTCGACCATTGACGCAACATTGCCCCAGAAGCATCGCCTCGAAGATCATCAAACCTCCAAAATCTTTGGACAGACATTATGTCTCCCAAGTTGAAGCCATTGTTACTACCCCAGCTTGTCGAAGAGCGTCGCAAATTTGAAGAGCAACAACCGGATTTCCCAGAAGGCGAAATGGATCGCCAATACGTCTACTACACGACCAACTCCTCGTCTTCTGACGTTGCATCACCCGTCACACCTACTTTCTCAACCCGGGGGCATCTACGCTACTCCAGCTCAACTTCCTCGCTTGACCTCCCGCCCACTTGCATCAATGAAAGCCCTTCGTCACCGACATCAACTATTCACACCAAGTCCTCCAAAAGGCCACTTCCTGATGTGCAAGAGGAGCCATTGGAACGGGACGAGCTCGATGAAAGCACCATCCTGGCTGAACCATTCGATTTGTACAACTGCTTGTGTAAGTCGGCTTCTAGTTCCGGTTGCTAACTCGGCACTAATCATGACTCACCAGGTGACGAGCCCTGCATTCACCACAAGAGCTCCGAAACGCTCAATAGTGTGTACCCTGCCGACTTCGACATCGACTATGACCTTGGCTTTGCGAGCGATGGCGATTTCACATCAACATTGGACCGGAAGAGGAGTGGAACTGAGTCTCCCTTCTCCGGCTTAGCTACACGCTTAGGATCGCGGTTCCCACAACTCTCGAGATGGAAGTCTACAAAGCGATCACAGTTGACTGCTTCGCCAACCACCGAATTGACCTTCGAAAACGCCCACTCTGTCTCCCGCGCGGCTTCAAGTCGATCTTCGTCCTTGTCTGGTCCTTCACGACAAATGCTTGACAGACTCAACGAACATCCGATCCCAACACCGGCCACATCCTTTTGGGAAAGCAGCGAAAGCGTCGACGTCCCGGCTCCTATAGACATTGAAAAGGCCAACAACGAGAGGGAAAGCATTGAGCGTGATCGAGCGCTCGCCACAACACCTCTGCTTCCTCCCCTCTTGATGAACAGCCCACCAACAGAAGTCCCCCATCCCAGTCCTCTGCAGTCTCCTAGCGTGGATCCGTCAATCCTCTCAATGGAAATCCCCTCAACTCAAACCCTTCCTCACATTTCTACGCCGTCGTTGAGCGCGAAGCCGTCAGTGTCTTCTTTCCGCCATGTACAGTCGAGCCAAGAGCTACCAATTGGGTTTCCCTCTATTGTGCAGGACCATGATGAGTGGTCAGATCGCCTTGGACACGCCAATTTCACCATCACGCCCCAACCTTACCAACCTGTCGAGGCCGACATGGAGACTCTCCGTCTGCTGCGAGCCGACTGGGAAGCTGCCCGCGTCAGCTACACCAAGCACCTTGTGCGAACTGGAGAAAACTACAGCGAGACCTCCAAGATTTACGCTCTGACTGAGGCGAAGTGGGCCGAGACTGAGAAGAACTGGCGTGCCTTCCATGAGCAGACGATGGAACGCATCGTTGCCGCAAACAAGTCGAGCAGCCAACGGCCGGGCAGCTCTCGCAGCCGCAGTCGTGGCCGCGTTCGCGCCAGCAGTGGCGGCTCTGCAATATTGCGCAGACCTACCCAAGACGATGTCTTTGCCAGTATGCAATGGCGTCGTCTCGAAGACGGTTTACCCACCGCAATCCCTCGACTCGTTGATGCCGAGGGCAAGTTCCCTGAGCGTGGCGACGAAGACATTGTCGGGCCTATGGAGCGCGACACAAAAATGATTCGCTCCAGGAGCGAGGAGCGCAAAGGAGGCCGTTTTTGGCGCAACTTGGCTGAAAAGGTTGGCATCCGCAGATGATCCAGCCTGCAGTCGAATAACGCCTCATCATACACAAGATCCAGAGCGTCACTCCTGGCATGAGCCTGGCGGCTCCACGATCTACTGATACGATTTACGACCCCGAAACAACGATGACGATTGCGTATCGCTCACATCGGCGATCGCTACCCTTTTTTCGAGTTTATTATTTACAAGATACCCGACTATCGTCGCTCCTTTTAACACCACGCCTCGACTAGGCCACGTCTTGTACGACATCTAACGAACCAAACTTTCCTTTCACCGTTTTCTTTTTGGGTTTAAACCAACCCAAATTTTATTGTTCATTCTTATTATCTAGTATCCTTATTGTCTAAAATAGCCAGCGCCCAAGTCGGCGCCTCGAGGCCTGTAGATCCATGCCTTCTCATGGAAGGAATATATGGAGTCACTGGAAGGAGTATTCAAAAAGATGGGAGAAAATCATTAGACTTGGGGAAAACCGCACCGGAGTTGCAGATCCAGGCCCACGGGATAAAATGGCAGCCTGTTTATTGGATTTACTTGGGCGTTTCACAGGCGCAAAGCTTGGCGCTACGGTGGGACCGAGCCCAGCCGTCTTGTATGTACAGACTTGTTCTTTTGCTTTAGACTCAACCATATTGGAGAGTCCTGCTGCGGCCGTTGTTGGCCACAGCTTCAAGCCTCCAGCCTTGAGCTGTAGGTGACGGATTTCAAGTGGTGACAGCCTGCTATCGCATGATGGCTGAAAATAAACCTACTTGAATACTATTCGTCTTATCCTCGGGTCGTCTTCCTCCCGCCCCTGTTCGTGTCTTGATCCACCCCATGTCGCGATCTATACCTCGTATGAAGCCTATGGTGCCATGGAGAGCGGGGGATCACGTCGTCGCATCCCGTCAGCCGCTGGGCACATTGAGGAATCACGACATCCTGCCCCCCCCCCTCCTCTACTGCGTAGTAACTTGCAAGTAACCCGACCCCTCGCTTCGTGCCTCGCCCACCGCCTCGAGATCGCGACGGATGTAACGCTGTCGATCGCCGGGTGTCCCCGCGGCGAGCGGGCTCATCGACCGGCAGGTCGCAAGTCTTCCCGTCCCCCAGCGCCAGCACCACATACCGTGCAAACTAACGAGTACTTACTATCTATCACAGGGGGTCCGTCAGGTTTTTGGCGTGCGTTGGTTCAAGTTTTCTTTCTTTCTTTTTTTTTTCCATCTGCCGCTGACAATCGCGCGTCGTGCATTGCATGATGGGAGAGAAAAAATAGATTACGAGGATGCGGCGGCGGCAGTGTCGGAGACGGAACCGGTGTAAGGCGGGGAGGGGGGGGCGAGGAGGTTCGATGGCTTTACATGAGGGAAGCGTGCATGGTATGCTGAGGCGGCTGTGGAGGACTGGACTTTGCTGGGCTGGACTCGATGGCTTGTGATGGCTTGGGATGGCGGTTTGTGGGCGTTTCGACGCCACGTTTCAGATGCAAGTCGCCGTCATTTTCGGTGGAAAGAGTGGCAGATGGATGGGCTGGAGAGTAGATGCTTTTATGTCAAGGTTGGTGGGAGAGAATTGGGGGAAGGGGGGAGTTGAGGGAGTCTTGATGATGGGGGGATGGAGGCGGCTCTTGTGGTGGGGTGGGTGGTGGGTGGGGGTGGTGGGTGGGGTGGGGTGGTGAGTGGGTGGGGTGGGGGGTGGGGGGGGGGGGGGGGGGGTGGGGTGTGGTTGGGGGTGTGGGGGGGGGGGGGGGGGGGGGGGGGGGGGGGGGGGGGGGGTGGGGGGGGGGGGATGAGAGGTCTCCGGTCAAAACGGGTCAAATTGGCTGCGCCTTAAGGGCTCCTGGGTAACGTGCTAGCCTATGATACCAATATAATAAAAACACAATGGTGCAGACCACTAGCCATGAAAGAGGCTTAATACAGCCCAACCTATTCATACCACGAACGAGCAAGATCTTAGCTTCCTCAGTCCCCCACGCGACCATTGAACAAATGTCCTCAAAGCAGCTCTTGCCGAGTACAAGTGAAAAACGCTCCGCGATAGTCTGCGACCTAAACTCCATTCGCCCACATCTGTACCTCTGGGTACTCAAACAATATCATTGCACATCCTTCCTCCCTCCCTTCCCATGTCTGCGGGGAGAAGCTTCCTCTACGCATCACTCATGTCGGTATCCGGCGTGACGAGGAAATCCGCCTCCTCGAAATCGTCAACGACAACGTTCTCTTGCCCCTGCGAAGGCTTGCGGCGGCTCTTCCTCGGGACGGCCAGCGGGCGGGCGTTTGCCCATCCGGATGGGGCCAGGCTGCGCGGGCTCACCTCGCCCTCCAACCACGCCGCACGGTCCGCCCACATCTGCACCGGCTCGTCGCTCTCCTCGTCGGCAAAAAAGCGTTTCTTGCTCCGTCCGTCGCTGGCCGTGCTTTCCACGCTCTCGACGCTCTCTTGAGAGCTGCACAGGCCCGGCATCTCATCCAATCCGGGTACACCGCCGCCGTCGTCTTCGTATTCGTCGTCATCGCTAGAGTGGACCGGTTGGCTGGACAGGCCCCCGACCTTGTTGATGCCGCAAAAGGGTAAAAGTTCGCGCTGGGAGGCGGCAGCGGCGTTGCGGTTGCGGTGGCTACTGCTGGCGATAGAAGTGGTGGTTGTCCGGACGACGGGAGTCCGGCGGTCCGTAGCATCGGTCCACAGCTTGAAGCTGCTGTAGGAGCCTGTCTTGTAACCCTCCGGCACGGACTTGCGGATGCGCATGCCGACGGAGAGGAGGTTGGATTGAACGTCCGAGGGGATGGTGTCCTGAACATTGGGCGAGGGACCGGCTGGTGGAGGAACTGGGCCGGAGCGGGTGGTGAAGAAGGAGGTGATTTGGCGCTGGGAGGGGTCGCTTGATGCGCCGGCGAAGGGACGCTTCGTTCGCGGAGCCGACATTTTGTGCAGCGGGAGAGGTCAGGGAGATTGGCCAAGTTCCCACTGATGGTGTCTCGAGAATGGTTGAAATCGACGTCGAGAGAGGTGAGGTTCGTTGTGGTGGCTGTGGCCCAAGCGTTGGCGCCCTTTTTGGTTGGCGCAGGGGAAGTATCGTGAGATGCGGGAGCTCGGTATTGGTAGAGTGGAGAGTTTCGATCCGTCGCCCCAAAAAAGCAGCAAGAGATGGAAACCGTAGAAACAATCGCAAGCGAGCAATGACGTACAGAAGCGAGAGGATATGTCGTGAGAGAAGAATTGGGCGGGGACGGAGGTGGTTGGCAATGGAAGTGACGGGAGGTTAAGTTGATACGAGAGAAGGGGAAAGGAAGGGGGTGAGTGGTGGGGGATGACGGACCTATGCCGCTGCGTCAGGCGATTTCCCAAGGTTGCGAGAGAGATGGATGGTCAACGCATGGGACATCCGACGATCCGCGGCAGCCATTAGGCGGCCGAAAAGCGCGTCTGGGCGTGTTTTTTCGCGAGACTCGCGCGGCCGGAACCCACTAAAAACCACTCTAGCTGGGCTGGTGGGGGACCATGTGCCCTGAAACTGACATTGACCGGCGGATGATTGGCGCCCGTACGGTTCCTTTCTGGTTGGGGCTCCTTCAGGCTGGCTCCATACCTCAAAGGACGAGAGTCCGTTTGACAACGGGCGACACGGGCGACACGGGCTTTTCAGAATCGGCCGAGAGAGCAAAGGGACACGGATTCAATCTTTGTCGTGTTTTGTGTTATACTCTGATTTCGAACAACAATGCTTCTCCTTTTGCCTCCCTCTCTTTTCAGCATCAAGCGCTGCAGGATACATAGGCCTGTCTCTGGTATTGGAGACTATGTCATCTAGCATGCCACCGCAGCAAGGTGACGCATTCGAGAGGCGATCCTCATTGGAAGCGGTCTTGATATGCGCCTCTATTGTCCAATTGAGACAATACACAACATGGCAAAATGCAGGCCGTGAGGAGAAGCTCCAGCGGTGTAAGAATGGGAGTGTTGTTCATGACTCAAACCTTGCCCATCGTCTTGGGGTGTCACGGTTCTTACATGTCTCCTTTGGCAGATTCTCTGTCCAAGGCAAAACCTGGGTCATGCCTTAGCTTATCCATTCGAAATCTAAGCACCAAGCTCTCCCAGGTGAGCATCTGACATGTGGCGCTTAGACTTTTTCTTTAGGTTGCATAGACAGAGTCGCGCAAAGTTAAGATATGGACAATGATCCAGCCTTTTGGAGAGCCGCGGAGAGACCGGTCAGGTGAAACAAATCGTAGGTCGAGACACACGAACCCATCACAAGAGCATCTTCACCAGGAACTTCATGATAGATAAAGTGGGCACCTAGTGGGGGTCGTCGCAGAACCGTCAAGGTACACACGAGCACGTCACTTCACCACAAACAGACAGATCACGAGAGGAACACGTCTTCAGGGGTCGGCCGTGGCGTTTGTGGAAACCATTGAATTTCGCAAGCAGTGCTGATTCCTCCGAACTCACTGCACTCCGGGTATGAAGCGATCCTCAACCAGCGGTTCCACGTCCTCACGTCCAGGTCATCCCGTGGACCACCCAAACGCTCATGTGAAAAGCCATTTCCAGCTGTCCACCCCCATGCAGAGAGACGACATAACAAACTCCCGTTTTCGTGTACTGACAGAAAAAGCGCAGCGCAACGCAGCAGAAGAGACGGGCGTTGGGACGAGAGAGAAAGGGGTTGTGAGCGATTGGTTGACTTTTTGATTGTTTGTCGGCCGCGAGGAAAGAGAAGAGAACTGAGGAGAAAATGCGTCGATTGGTGATGCAAAGGATATCCGGAGACCCCAAACGCCCCTGTGTTTTTTGGTCAAGAGATTTTTTGGAAGCTCCATCTTCTATCCGCAAAGGTGTCTGATTATGTTCTGTTCGAAGACAGCAGACTCTAAGAGCCCGTGCCAGGGTTGTCTATACGCCCATGCCCAGGTCGCTTGCTTTTGCAGATCCGAGATGTCCCACCAGTGATGAACCGTCCAAGTCGTTAATACCCAAGGGCTAAAAGAAAACCGTCGAGGCGAACAGTTTACTTTCTGCGGAAAGAGCAGCCCTCAGTGAGTCTCGCCTTACCACCGGTAGGCTGGCAGAGGACGGTGGTGCATCCCTGGCAGATGACGACGGTCTGGGCGTGGGAGAAGACGGTGGTGATGGTGAAGCAACCGGGGCACTTGACATCCATGAAGAAGGAGCGGGGCGCGGGCACAAGGGTCTGTCCGATGTGTGAGCATAAGCATGTTCGAGGTGGAGGGGTAGGGTGAGGGTGAAGGAGTTGTGAGGGCATCGTGGGTATATCGTACCTTGAGCTTGTGCTTGCGGGCCTCGGCGGCCGGGGAGGGGTTGAGGAGATCAACGGCGAGAACCTGGGGGAGAAGCCATCAGCATGATGGTTCCTTCATCAAATATCGCATGCGCAATCGTCTTGTCCTTCCTCCACAGCCCAGCCGTAACCTTCTTTTCCTCCTCTTGCAATGATTTTTTTTCCCGCCACTCGCGTGTTCCCAATGCGGTCGTTTTGTTCGGGTTTCGTTTCGTCGAGGAAGAAGACAACATCACACGGGTGTTGCCAGGCAGCAAATACCGTAGCAGCAGGAGGGCCTTACCATCTTGACTGATCTGATCGGGAGTTGATTGATCGGTTATCGGATGCGAGTGCTGTCGGGCTTGACGGGAATCTGGTGGTGTTGAGAGAGCAGATTGTAGCACTCGCAAATGAACGGTGATGATGGGGTGGTGGAAATGTGAGCCAGAGAGGGGACCCGTCCGCCAAAAATCCTCTCTCCAACGACCCACTTTAAAAATTTAGAGGAGGAAGGTGTGCCGAGGAGGGCTGGATCACGGGACTTGACACCAACCGTCTCGCCCCCCCTGTGATTGGCTGCGGGCCTGTTGCTTCAAAGCCTTACCTAAGGCAAGTGCACCCGCCAACAGCTTGATGAGGGCGGGGTGCTGGTGTTAGGCTGAGCCGCTTCCATATTCCATGTCATTCTTTCCAGGCAGTTGGGTACTTAGGCATCTGCGACATTAACCCGCAGCCTGAAGTCACTGGCCATATCATTGCCAGCCGTAACCACCAACTCAGGTTGTTGGTCCTCGAGACTTGCATCTCTCACCTACCACTTCCACTCACCCTTGTCGCATACAAAACACCGTCACAATGGCAGCGCCGATGGACCAGAGGATACAAGTTCCGATCGATGATCCCAACGCAGACACCGAGTGGTATGTTATCCCGCGGCAGCTACTCGGCAACTCCTGACACGTGCTGCCAGGAACGACATCCTGCGGAAACATGGCGTCATCCCAGAGAAGCCGCCCAGTCCGACGCCCATGATTGAAGAGGCCATCGCGGAAGGTCGCAGATTAGCGCACGAAAACCGACTAGAGGGCAAGGATCTCGACGAACTTGACGAGCTGGAGGATGATGAAGACGAGGCATTCCTGGAACAATATCGTCAGCGCAGGATGCAGGAGCTCAACGAGCTCACGAAGAAGGCTCTCCACGGCACCGTCTATCCAATTTCGAAACCCGAATACTCGCGTGAGGTGACAGCAGCGTCAAATAACGGCCCTGTCTTTGTCAACTTGACGTCATCTCTTGGAACCAACGTTGAGTCCCGGGTGCTGTCGGAACTGTGGAAACAGGCAGCCCAGGAATATGGAGAGGTCAAGTTCTGCGAAATGCGCGCGGACAAGGCCATCGAGAACTACCCCGAGCGGAACTGCCCGACAATCCTGGTCTACAAAAACGGCGATATTGCCAAGCAAGTCGTAACACTGATGCAGATGGGAGGCGTCAAGATCAACATGCTCAACATTGATAACCTGCTGGTCGAGGTAGGCGCTGTGCCTGCGACGGACATGCGCGTGGCCAAGCGTCGGAGACAAGCAGAAGATGAAGAGGAGGAGAGAGCGATGGGCAAAGGCATCCGGCAAGGAAATGTGTCAAACTCTAAAGGTCACGACAGCGACGATGATGACTGGGACTGAGATATGTCTCTGGATCATTGTCGTCATGGCTTTCGTGATGGGCAGTGTTGGCACGGATGGGATGGCTAACACCTCTATCATTCCTTGCATCAACAGCATCCGCAAGAGAGCTCATTGTGAGCCTTGCGCGACCATCTTTACGAAGCCGCGGAAGTCGTATGGCTTGTCTGTACATAGGGATCGAGGCATCAGAAGCTAAGGTGTAGAAAGAAGCCAACCCACTAAAGGCTTGCCTCGAAGAACAGAGCCACGCCACACGTAGGTGCGCAATCGCCGATAGTTGAGAACGAAGACTTCATCAACATGCGACTCTAGGCCGTCCTGATGCGACAATAAAGTGGAAGAGAGCGTCGTCAACAACCAGTGCTGAGCCATCACCGTACTATAAGCAAGGGGCTAATCTTGGTTCCTGGATTTCGTGCATCCAATGCCCCGCGTGTTAGGTACCGCTGCGGACCCTGAAGATAACGGCTATCGATTGGCCTGTGCAGGCGTGGGGTCCAGGGTGTTCCTGACTCCCGGGGAAAAAGCAGGCTAGGCCGCTTTTGGGTAGCAGCTTGTCACCCGTGGAAGGGCCACTGGGTAAGTATTGGTCGCGTCTATAGGTAAACAAGGTCTCTCCATAGTTCATGAGAAGGTATGATGAGATGGACAACTCCGATATCTTTCCAGCTCGGAATCTCCAAAAGTCCTGAAGCTCAATGCAAGGGTTTTCGGAGCTATCCTCGGAGATCGTGTGAGCGATAAACCCCTGTGGGACTCGATCCTGGCTGAACGCGTTCGAGCCCCCACCTGCGTCACGACACGCGCTGTCCCACTCGTGGGCCAGGGTCGTGGTGGCGGATCTTGGAGCTTCCCGTCCCAAAGGCTTGGTGTCGCCTGGCCCTCGCGCCCACTCCAGACTCATCTTTCATACATCTCCTTTCCAGTCTTCGCCATGGCCGACGAACCTATTCTCCCCAGCCTGTCACCGTCTATATCATGGAACGCCCAGACCCAGAGTTTTAGTAACAATCCGAGAAAGCGGAGGTACAACTTTAAAAGCCAATCTGTCGCGCCGCCGTCATGGTCCAACTCGAGTGACCCTGCCGTCTTTTCCAGCGATGACGACCCAGGTCTGGACAACTACGTCGAAGGACGGCGAAAGAAGAAGAAGAAGTATGTAGGCTCTTGGTTCCACCAGCAGCCCGCATCCTCCGATTCTGCGACCGGGGAGCCGCGGCCGGTGCTGAGGGGCAAGCGAACCTTCAAGCGCGATCTTGACAGTGGTGTCTGGATGGGCAGTGACAGTACCGATGGCGACGAGAGCGTGATGATGCCTGATCTGCCGACGCAGTCAAAGCTACCACAGCTCAACCGGGCAATGACCCGGCGGCGCAATGTCATTTCGGCCGAGGAGCTAGAGGCGCGGGAGAGAGTGCAACAATGTCTGGACTCTGGTACCGAGTACATTGACCTATCGTGAGTGTGCGGTCAATTACAGATACCCAATAAGATCTGACCAGAAACAGTATGATGGGACTCAAGACTCTCACCGATGCTACTATTCGCCCTCTCTCCGAGTTCTCCTGCATTCCGGTTGTCGCCGAGGGAGTGCCGTTTGAGCAGAAGGACCCAGCTTTGCAGCTGTACCTATACCGCAACCCTCTGCAGCGGTTGCCGGGGGCCATATTTGACTTGGAGCACCTGACAGTACTTTCACTGCGTGGATGCCGACTGCGAGAGCTGCCACCTGCGATTGGCAAGATGCGAAACCTTCGCACCCTGAACCTCGCACAGAACCTGCTTAGATATCTTCCGGCCGAACTGCTGGATCTCATGGCAGCACCCTCCGCTTTGGAAGAGTTGCTTCTGCAGGGCAACCATTTCTTCCAGGCGGCTGAGCGACCTATCCTGGCTGACCTGGAAACCCTTGAGAGCGACGCTTCGAGAGGTACGGGACTGGCCGAAGTGTGGAAGCCTGGCTTCAACGGTGTTGCGGCTAGGTTCTTTGTGCGATCACCAGTCCACTACCTAGACAGCTCGGGCTTCCCGCACTCTGATTTCCGCCTCGACCCTGAGGCTATCATTGTGCAGACGGAGCGACAGGAAGACGCGGTGAACAGCACATCGCTTATCTCCCCGCCGTCATCGGCGCCTTACCACTCCAAATCCGTTGGAAGAAGCGTCCCGAGTGCAAAAGGGAGCCGCGTTCCTAGTCTGATGGAGCTGGCGCTGCGCAGTGCCTACAAGAGCTCTGAACTCGGCGAGCTGCCCGACTACATTCCCGATTCGCTGGCTCATTTGCAGGCTCTGCTCGAGCGTGCTGCCGACCAGCGTGAGGTAGGCGGGCTCACCTGTTCTGCGTGCAAGAAGCCCTTCGTGGCACCCACGACCCAATGGTTGGAGTGGTGGCAAGTTTGCCTTGTGGAGAGCAGGCAGAACCAAGATGGTCACGTCGTCAAGGCTCGGCCATGGACGGACCTGGATGAAGAGAACGAGGGTGCTGTTCCGTTCTTGAGGAGAGGATGCTCGTGGAAATGCGGCCCTGTCAGTTTTGAGGAGGGACAGTGGACGCTTGTCCCCGCTGACAAGGCGGAGTGAGGACTGGGAATTCAGACTTTACTTGGGTGTTTTTTACATGGTGCCTGGAGTTGGCATGGAGTTGGAGGCAGACTAATATGTGTTGGAACCTTTTTATTCTAGTTCCAGGTTGCGTTTCGATATCCGGTTCTCCTAACTGAAGCTTATTCCCACGCCTTTGCATATCGTTCCCTTGTTGTACCACTCTACCGACGGCAGGATTTCCGACGCCACCCATCTCGCCGTCTGAGAATGCAAGCTGCCGTGTCCGAATGGCTTGTCCGTCCTGTCCTTCCTCATCTTCTCCCCCAGATCCAACTGCGCCACGCCCTGATTCACAACCTCCACGTCATTAGCACCACTTATCGGGGCAGGGGCACGCGGGAACGACGTCGTCCCATCCGCCAAAGCCTGGAAGATGACGAGCTGATCCTGCAAGAACTCGTCCATTGTCGAGCCCCGTATAGAAAGCTCCTTGACCAGGCCGCCGACGACCTTGCGGCTGACGAGCGATACGACGTCCTCGTTCTTGCCCCCTTGCTTCCCCTTTTTGGGCGTAGACATGAGCACGTCGCGGCCCCAACGCAACGTCCCGGAGGCGGAACGGGCCACGAGAAGCGTGTACACTCGCGCGTCGTGACCCGAGTCCTCGACGACCTTGAAGTCGATGTCTGCGTCAGGGAAGGCGCGGGTAATGTCCTGCGCCAACTTGTCCTGGAGGGCGGCGTGCATGTGCGCGGGGACGATCATCGAGACGTCCACGTGCCGTACCTCGCGGATGCCTGGCGGTCCGTCCTGCGTGCTCTCCTCTGGTGGGTCAGAAGGCACCGCGGGACGCAACGTCTGGCCTGGTTTCAGGGGACGGATCGTGAGCGCGATGGCGCCCCTGCTCTGCGGTCCCAGACTCCATCCGCGCTTGACCAGTCTCCGGGCGACGTGTATGCCGACAAAGGAGGATTCGAGGCGCGGGAGGAGGACCTGGTCGAGGTACTCGTAGGAGAGGGACCAGCCTACGTTTGTGCCGCCCGTGATTTCGAGCTCGATGGGCGACGTGGACGAGGCATTCCCGGGCTCGGCGTCCACGTCAGGGTCAGCGGCTGCGTAGAGGAGAAAGGGGAGGATGGCCTGGAGGATGAGGAGTGTGCTTGCGGCGCCCGTGTCCGCCGCGATCGTAATCTTGCGGGACTTGTTGTTGTTGTTGTTGTTGAGGGCGGCGGAGGGCGGTAGTCTAGGTGTGAAGGTGAGGGTGCTGCTGCCTACGGAGAGGCCGTCGACGTCTGCTTCTGTTGCTTCTGCGAGCCAGCGGATCGCCGTGACGTGTTGCGCTTTGAGCCCTGATTCGTAGGCGTGTCAATCGTCAATTTACGACGTTCATTTGGTGAGATAGGTTGATGAGGAAAACAATGCCTGGTGCTTACCGCCTCCTTTGCTATTGCCCCCTCCGGCCCCTCCTCCACCACGGGCAGGACGGTTGCCGCGTACATTTGTGATGCGGACTGGTTGTGAGGTGACTGCTGCGAGGGCTATGGCGACGCGGACTAATTGACCACCTCCTTCGCCGGTCCGTCCGTCGATTTCAATGGGCTTGGGCTTGCGGGACATGGTTTTCTCTGATCCAGATTGACTGAGTCTAATGTATCGTGGGATTTGAGAGGTCGCACCGGGGCCAAGTTGCACTGGTGGTGATTGGGTGCAAAGTCCGAACTTCAACGAAAAGAACCGTCTCACTTTTGGTGAAAAGTATCTGTCCGAACTCTGCTGGCCTGAATAAGAGTCAGATGGTCTGCTTGATGTAGATGAATATTTTGACGAGATTCCGTAGAAAATGGAGGTTTGGAACCTGGATTAATACGAGGACCAATTCTTGTCAGCATTGAGTTTAGACGCCAGTTGAGTCACACACCGAGCGGCACGCACAATCATCTCCAACAATATCGGTTAGGTCCCTTCCATGGCCTCTGCGCCTCCCTTAGTCGGGCGGCTGAGTACAACCAAGGTACGTTGAATTGCCACGGTAAGTATACATCCGTTCAATACATGCTAAGGTAAATGAGTCAAACTCAATATTAAAGGATCGTGAAAGAAGGAATCATTTCGCATTCGTCTACTAATTGTAGCAATGCTCGCCCCCCTAGGAACAGCGACAGTGGTTGCGTGTTCTCTCAGACCTGCGGATGGCAAGTTACAAGAGCAAAACGAATTCTTGCTTCAATGCAAGCCTGTGTCTTTCATTGATCTTTTATGATCTAACGGTTTAGCGCATTGTTCCCCCGTTCTTAGCGTTGGCTTCCCTTCCCCCTTGTTTGATGGATGGATGGGACCTGCCGCAAACAGGACCCGAAAATCAAACTTTCCGTCGGCGTCGAGACCCGCCTTGGATCGGGACCTCGCCGGGGGTTATTTCGACGTCACCTCGAGGCCTCCTGCTTGGGATTTTTCTCGTCGCTGTATTCTTGATCGCGAACCCTGGTGATATCACAGGGTATGTCTTCGACAACAGCGTTTTTCTAAGGCTCTGCCGACGCAGCAACGAAGATCTTGCTGCAGAGACAGGGGTTCAAAGAGTCGATAAGCCACGAACCTCACGCCGTCTGCTTATGATCTGACCGATTTTGATTTGACCAGCGCCCTCGAAGAACTCACGACAACCTCAGGTGAATATTCTTAGGCAGCACGACCTCAAAAAAGATGCTTCTTGGGCTTCAACACATGACAGTGCAGAGCCCCGCTGGTTGACTCACTCGTGTAACTCACTTGCATGGCACGGATCCATCAGAGTATGAAAACACGACTCGTCTCACGCAAGGACTAGCGATGACGCAAATACTTTGCGGCGTGTCATAGAATTCTGTTGATATACAAACTCAAAGACAAAAAGAGACAATCTTGTTCGAGATAAAATACTGCTAAGAGAACCCATGTCGTGAGCGTTTTTAACGGAGACTAGTCTGGTCTCAGCAAGCACTGGTGAAGTGGCTATGGGAAATCAGAAGGGGTATTGAAAAATATGGACGGAAAAAGCGTACCCAGGCATATTGCCACAACGCCGAACCTATTCATCGACCGCGATATAACGAAGCGCATCGTCGATATTTTCCCCGGGGCCGAGGGTGAATGGACCACCTCATTCGTCGTCGTTACTTAAGGAACCACCCCATCTATCGTCATTACTACTTTGGGAACGGTCAAGATTACCGACAAATCATTGCCTTTGAGAGTAGTCAATACTATGGGGGAAACGGGAAGGTAATGTTGGTCCATTCAGTTGAGTAGCTCAAGACCCTGTCGGTGGATTTAGCGGCAGTATTGGTTCTCTGACTGCATCGCGTAACGTGGCGAAATCGAGTTGAATGGTCGATAGATACCGCCAGGGGGCAGTCGCTTTCCGACCACGGTACTCAACCAAAGCCTCACAGATTGTTTTGAATAATGGCAAGGCGATAATGGCTAGGATCTCTTCCTAGCCTGAATTGGGGATTGTCGAGTTGGTACTTGATGGCCAGTAATACAACCACAGCATAGTATCTTCGTGCTTCCCCTCAAAGAAACGACAGGGACGTTGAAAGAGTGGGCGATACCGAGAGTCGCATTTGATGCGCTTCAAAAAACCATCGTTGAAGAGTGATATGAGGTCATCTGTTTGGTCTTCGCGACAATGGACGATGATTGACGGCTTAGCCTCGAGTTGAGTAGTTCCCACCATGGCTGGCTCATAGTTGATTTTGTCTGCTGCATCTTGAAGCTTGCCGTGTCTGTCGACAGCTCCCTTGAGTTGTGATACCTGCTATCGACTTGCCTGCTTTGATACGGTGCTGAAATCATGCTACATAACCTGCATCTCGTCCGGCGTTCTTGAAAATCGAAGCCTGATCAAGACTGGGTTGCCTTGAATCTCTCGATGCTAATAGGCGCACACAACGACAGAGCAGTGCTTGGTTCATAGGTTGTCATTTCGTCTGCTTGTGTTCAATGACTTTCTTTCGTTCTACCTTATTGAATAGGTAGGTGGAAATCGATGGATCGTAGTGATACATTCATTTACTGAACAGCAATATACTCACTCAATCTTTGTCTGCGGATCAATATGGATGACATAGACACCGGCCATTAACCCCGAATTGCTCCGTATTCGAGTAACTACTTTCCAGTGCGGGATGAAGCCATAGTGTAGTCTACTTGTGGCTTGCGTAACAACCTCGACAACGGAACAAGTGAATCATTTGTGCCTACCTTCCAAGTAACTTCGTTGTGAGCAGGTAGATTGTCCATGGGCGAGCCCCCCTTTTCACTGCGCATCTTCCTCTTTTCTCCACTGACTATGCTCGAAGACTCCGGTCATCTTCTTCAGATCAATGTGGCTCAAAAATCAGTAGGTAGCACGCTCTCACTAGAATCAATTTCGTCCTGATGCTAGAAGTGCCGTTAAATAATCGGTCCTGCTGCAGCAACGACCATGAACCAAGACTGATCTAATGCTCAACAACAATGAGTGAAGCCATACCCCCATGGCTCAAACCCTGCACACACCCATCAGATCCCGTCAAAGTATCTGTAAACATACCGCCTATCATCTATCAAATCCAACGCTGCCTGCCTTCCCTTGGCTTCCATCCTCGACTTGGCAATCTGCGCATCCAACTTCTCCTGCGAAGTTCTCGCCAACCGTGCATTCCCCTCATCCAGTCTCCTCTTCATCTCAGGTGGACACTTCTCAGGCAATACATGTCTAGGAATTGGCCCCTTCCCCACTTCGACGCCATAATGCCTCAACGCATTATTCAGTCCCCTCAGTAGAGTATCCGGCTCGTAAACCACCTCCATGGCCATGAAATCGGTGAAGCCCGCAAGGGACAGAAGAGGCATACCACCCCAGGGAAGCTGATGCGCGGCATTCGGATTCCGAACTACACTTTTGTGGTCAATGTAGAAAGCCTCCAGAAGCCATTTGAGTTCGGCGTCGGCGGTGTCTTGGGCGCTGAACATCCAATTGCCCTTGAGGGACTTTTTCCAGAGATTTTCGTCGGTGGGGAAGCCAATGTTGTCGAGCCAGGAGGACCAGACCTCCGGCGTGATATAGCCAGAGCGCTGCGTGTCTAGCTTGGAGAAGAAGAGGGACATGAGGTTGTTGAATGCGGGAGTTGGATTCCCGTTGCTGTAGAAGAAGTGATCTTTCCACTGGGAGGGGGGAGGTGGTGGTTGTGTCGGAGGGGGTCCGAAGCCAGGTGGTGCGTTCGAGTTCCCTCCCTGTTGTGATTGTGGCCGAGGTGCTGAAGCTTGTTGTTGTGATTGTTGTTGCTGCTGCTGCTGTTGGAACTGCTGGAACTTCAGGAACTCTTGCCACTGATCCCATTGGGCTTGCTGCCATTGCTGTGACTGTGCCTGCGGAGGGGGAGCTTGGGAGTTTGGTTGCTGCGGCTGTGGCGACTGCTGCTGCTGCTGTTGCTGCTGAGGCGAGGTAGGTGATGGAACGGCCTTTCTGCTCGGTGGGTTCCGCGCCGGCAAAGGCGGTGGCCCCCCCCTTCCGATTTCGTATCCCGGAGGCCGTGGCGGGATCGGTGGCGGAACATCCATGTTGTTGGCCGAAACACTACGTATCACCCACGACTCAGTTTGAGTTCCAGTATAAACGTATGAGGCGAGTAACTCACGGTACAAGCAGTCTAGCAGGGTTCACAAGCGGAAGCGGAAGCGGTGGCGGGAAGGGTAGTGCTAAATTCTTTCGCGTTCTGGATTGTCTCAGAACGTCGTGTAGAAGCTGATAGTGAGGTCCGTATAGAAAGTAGTGTCGTTAGTTCTCGAATTCGCACCGTTGTCTCTCTTCTAGAACTGACGTAGGAGCATCAATATTGTCGACAGTAGAATTGAACTAGAAATCACGCCCCTCGCGGAAAAGAGCCTAGGCAAAGGTCTTTATGAAGAGTTCCAGGCTTAGTATTCGTAGAAAGCTGACCGGTCGGAAGGTGGGTCAATTAGTCTATATCCTTGAACCCCTCAACCTGGTAGGCAAAAGGGGCCTATCGGCTACAGAACTCCATTCGTAAGGCAGATTCGGTCTCCCCTTGCAAGCTAAAAACTTCCTAGTTGGGGATACCCTCAGACGCTAAGACATGTCTCCTGCCACACCTTGCAGCTCGCCAAGACCACTAACTAGCACTAGCGATTGCAGCTCCTGCACAGAAACGGTTAAGGACCTTGTCGGCGCGGAATACATACCGCAAATGTGTCAAGAGAGAGCCAAAGCCGTGAGGGCACCTGATTTCACGCTGAAATCCTGCTGGTGAGCATTCATAGAACCGTCTTTTCTCTCTCTTTTTTTGTCACGCTCGCCGAACGGGTACTACATGTACTCTATTTCATCCCTCATATCATCAGCCTTGCGGTTGATAACGAGTCGCTTGCCGTGGGCCATTTTTACTTCAAACTGAAAAGTTGTTATGGCTCAAGAACACCGGGCCTTGCATACCTACCTTACTAGGTGGAAAGTTGAGTGACTGAAGCGTCCTGTTTTCCGTCACTTCGACGGATCCACTGTCGCGAGCGATGGAGCACCTATATATCGGAGACTGACGGATGGATGCCTTAGCTCGGCAGGGTCTTGACACGGGGTTCGAGGCGGCTTTCAAATGTGAAAAGTTCCGTGGGGGTGCAGCCAAGCAGCGTATGCGGTCAACGACGAGTCTCACATACTAGCAGGTCAACATCGCACCGGAGGCAACCCGGACGTTGATAAGATTTAAAGCTTTGCAAGAAGATCCGGCAGGACGTGGAACACGGTTCGAGACTCACTCCCACACAGGAGCATGGGGGGTCCCATAGGGATTCGATGATGGGCCAGGCTGCGGACGAACACGTTACACTCTGTCTCATGCTATCCGTACCAGGCTTTCTCGAAAGGCATCATGGTTTTGGCTACCTTGGTAGGACAAAGCTAGGGTGGAGTGATGTCGAGAGCCCAGCCTGTCGTTTTGGCGATGAACGGGGTTCCTTCAATAGCGTGGGCTCAGCTATCAGCGCTAAGCCGGTTGCGAAGGAAATGCCTGGGCTATCCTTGTCTGCCATACGAAACTTTATTTCTGGGGTATGTAGAGCTGGACTGCTAGCGTTGGAGAACAAACCGATGGGAATACAACGTCCCGGGGTTTCATACGTTAGTGCGGTACTTGCGGGGCGGACTTTACCGTAATCGGAACCAACCTTGTAAAATAACTATACTTTCAATTAATAGTAAATTATATGAGTAAATTAGTACCCAATACTCTCACCATTTTGCTCAATTACGAGCCTCAGTCGCTGCGGCATCGTATGAGCCAGCTCTTTCAACCAATTTTCAGGTACTGCTTCCCACGCTGCCGATATAGCTGCTCTTAATTCCTCTTTTTTGAGGGATTGTATATCGAAGTGCGTTTCAACCCAATCTTTCATCCAGAACCACACATTTTCTATCGGGTTGAGGTCAGGACTGTTTGCTGGCTAATCCAATACTGGCACCCCAAGCAACTCTAAAGCAAGACGTGTATCTCTTGCCTTATGGGCTGGGGCATTGTCGTGTTGAAACAGGCTTAAACGGTGCTCCCGGAAGAAGGCGATAATCATCGGGAGTATATAGAAAAGGTACTTTGAAGTATCGATTCCTCCCCATTCCTTTTCCCAGAAAAAACCTGGGCCCTTTTTATTGCCAGTAAAAGCCCCCTAAAACATCCAGCCGTAAAGTTTACGCCGTAAAAGGGCGAAAGAGGCTAGGTCTTCTATATCATATACCGTAATCCACTTCTTCCACATAGGGTCACAAGTAGCCCAGGTCTCATCTGAAAAGATCACATCTTCCTAATCTTCTGGCCGTGGTCGGAGCCGGAGGTACGTATAGGCAAAAGCCACTCGTTGGCGCTTATTGGCCTCGGTCCGACGGATTCGACGTGGTCGAATAGCCCGGCGGAAGCCCAACGAGCGTAAGGCAGTAATAATAAAAGCCTCCCCAAAGATCGATAGATCGGGCGGTAAAAAGAAGTGTAGATCTGCCCAAGGGATCCTTCTATGAGCCTCGTCGGCCAGGAGCCACTCTCGGAGGCGCTCTTTTTGGGGCGTTCGAATTAGCCCTTTCCGCTGCTTGTTTTTCCGCGGCGTGACCGGTAGAGAATCCGTACAAGCTAATTGAACCTGGCGATAGGTATAAGGGGTAGCTTTAGCTATATCTTCGTACGACCACTTCAAATACTTGCGGAAGGCGCGGATCTCGATCTTTTGGTCTCTCGTAAGCTCTTTACTGCGGGATTTGGTGGGTGTAGAAGGGATAATAATATCCTGAATAGTCAGGCCGCGAGAAATCGATGGTAGCGTAGTAGGCGAAGTAGGCGTAGTCAGCGTAGTTGACGTAGTTGAGATAGTTGACGTAGTTGAGATAGTTGACGATTGCGAGGCAGGCGACGAAGTGGTGGAATCCATGGCGGTTGGGTTGGGTCAATAGTGGAGGAAGGTAGGGAATTTCGGTGGTTCGGTTTTTATTTTGGAAGTACTGTCCCTATTTTAGCCATAGAAATTGGGCGAAGAAGATAGAATTGGTACCTTGGGCGTAAGTGGGCGTAGGTGGACCGAACCCCCTGTCAATTCACTGCGCTAACGTATGAAACCCCGGTGGAGGTGTACGTTTGCTGAATTTTGTCTTTTTAGACATCCCATTCATTGCTTTCTGGGAAAAGACCGTCCGTTCTTACCGTTGCTGTTATCAATGAGCCCCTGGTAGCGGTTCACGATGTCGCGACATCACCTTACAATCTTTGCCACACGGCTCTCTCCACCTTCACCCTGAAGACGCCGGATGTGTTTTGACTCTTACTGATTCCTGCTAGAGTTGTCGTTATTACGTCGCAAGTGCCGTCCATAAGAGCTTACTCAGCGTTCTTATGTTACTGACTGAACAGGCCCAGCACGCCTGCCCGGCTATCCTGCGCCCGGCTCTCGTGACTGATGCCTATCACATAGACAAGAATGACTTCATGTTGATTCAGCCTGTTGGTCTCAGTAGCTTGGCTGGGAAGACATACGATGAGGTAAGGGTTTCTAAGGCGCTCTAGGGGCGTTGCCTAAGTAATTCTTTCTGGCCCCAACGAAGAGACTCTTGCTCACTACCTTAGTTGTCTGTTATACATCCGTATCTGTTTGCCTATGCCCCGCTGCTGTCTGATGCAAACAGATGTTCTTTAATGGAAAAGCGTTGATATCAACATGAAGCGCGAGTCTTTACAGTTCGTCAGAGTCCACCACCTTCACTCCATTCCAAACTACTTCCGCCACCTCCTGTGCTGCAACGACTTCCTTCGCAATCTCAGTCCAAAAACCACACGCCGACTTCGTATTCTGGTCGTCGGCATCGAGCGCCAACGCGGAAGACACAAGATCTGGCGGTCCCACTGAGAGCACGTTGCTCAGCTCGTCTCCATTCCCATCTGCCACAGTCCAAGTCGGCGGCTCCCAGCCCCAGACTTTCGACATCGAGAGTGTATTCGGGTTTCCACCCGAGAGCGCAAAGGACGCAAAGTACCTCTGGTACGCCTCGGCCAGGTCGCTTTTAGTTCGGAGTAAAGCATAGCCCCAAGCTTCAACGGTACTGACGCTGTTCTTCTCCAAGATGGCCTTAGCTTCGATAAAGTCGTTGGAGAATAGGGGCACTAAGTCTGAGGCGTGGCGGGCATAATAGGCGGTCGGGAACCCATACCGCAGCATGTGAGATTTGCTCGGATATGCGGAGTAGAGGTCACGGGTGTTGCAGGTGAAGCTGGCGTCGCGGATGACTGTCGCGATACAGAGCCGATAGTCGCCATCATAGGGATATTTGGTGCAGGGGTATTGGGCAGCTATCTTTTGTCGTTGAGACGCTAGCTCGGCTCCGGGGAGGAAGACATCGAGAAACTCGGCGAATGTGTCGGATGAAGTAACAAAAGACGGTATGAACGAAGCAGTCTCGTTTAGGACGTGGGAGATGATCGTAGACTGGATGGAGGACTTCCAGTATTTACCTGAGAATTTGTTGTCAGCCAGTAAACGCTATACTCAGATGACAGTCACGATAACTCACCATTCGCGAACGAGATAGTTGGAATTGTAGTGATCCACTTGTCGTCCACGGCCGGCCCCACTGGGAACAGACCAGTCTGTTTGACAGTGTCGAAGAGCGCCTGGTTCGCCGCTGTCAGGTTGGTAGACTCCTTCAAGCAGGTAAGGTTGAAGGCTAAGCCACAACCGGCAAGACTAGAGAAGTTCTGATAGACCTGGTCCAGCTTGCCCATCGGGTTTTTGTCCCAGGCCCATTCAAACGCCGGGCTCTGAACAGCAAATGTCTTGAATGTGGGATCAACAGCACCGTCTTCGCGAACCAGGTGATGGAGAATGGACCCAGCCCCGGCCGACTCGCCCCAGGCACTAACCAGAGATGCATCGCCGGATACCTTATTGATGTACTTCTGTACCCATTCGAATAGGAGAGCCTGGTCATACAGTCCCGCGTTTGGCTGAGCATTCTTCTGCATTTAGTCTCCCGAGAGCCAGCCGTAAGCACCAAGACGGTAGTTGCCAGCGACAAAGATTGTTTGGTAGTTGCTTGCCGCGATGACTGACTGTCCGGTATATAAAGGACCGAGCTGGTTCTTGCTGCCGAATGCGAACGCGCCGCCATAGATCCATACGACCACCGGCAAAGCCTTCACCGGAGGAGTTTCGATTACGTGCTTTGGCACGTAGAGGTCGAGGAACAGGCAGTCCTCGCCTTGCGGAGTGACCTGATCATCAGGGGTATCGACTGGGCTTTGACCACCTGGTGCGTTATGGAGACCATTCGGGTCAATCTGAATGCAGTTGCGTCCGTCGCTGACAGGCTGAATGGCTGTGCTTGTCGACGTTGGGAAGGCTGGGGGGCCGAACCGCAGAGGGTTGGCACCGAAACGGACGTTCTCGAATAGAAAAATCTTTTTTGATGTCGTCAGTAGAGCCTCTGGGAATGGATCAAACATGTCGGCGTTTGTCTGTTGCCTACATCTGGATCATCTGTCATAGGCTGGCCTTCGTATACTCCCCAGGGCAGTATTAGTGTTGGTGGCAATGCTGCCTCTGCACGCAGAGTCGGTAGATGGGCAAGGCCCATGAGGCTCCACACGAGCAACTTCGTGAACATGGCGAGGTCACAGTTGTAGACGAGACTGGACCTTCAAAATTCAGGCACTGGTGCAGAGTTTCCGTCATGTTCAACGTATCTCGGTTCGATTTGACTATTTATGGTCGTTGAAGCAGTGCTCATCTGCATGAAATCCTAAACAGCTGTTACTGTGCCATCAAAAGAGGCGTTGAGCTGAAAATCAAGCGTGGGCGGGCAAACACCCTTCGTGACGGTTCCGAGAGTCGCCGTGCGTGAAGGCTGGAATGCGATCGACGGATATGGCCAAGGTCGTCAAAGGTTCAGCCCGCCGTTTCCCTCGCCGGCAAACTTGGTGTCATATGCACAGAAGTATTCAATTGCCAAATTTTGCCAACCCCGCACCTGTGTCTAGCGGGACGGCACGCAACTAGAACCAGCGGCTGCAACCGTACACTCTAGCCAAGCGACCATGTGGGTTCCAGGTTGGCGAAAACATGAGACCTGAATTCCTCAAGTCCCTCAGCTAAGACTGATAAGACTTTATCTCATGGAACCTTCCCAATGAAGCCTCCTTACCGTGAAGAAAAGGCGGAAGTCGTGACATGGTGTGGCGGTCTCTTTAGGAACCCTGGCATGAGCATGAATTGTTGCCATGGCGACACGCGAGCATTCTTGCCTATCCATTCTCACATGTCGCAACATCAACACTTCTGTTTGATAGTTTCGAACTATACTGTCTGCTGGCAGGATGGCCCTCGAGCTATGGAGTATTTGCTTCTACCCGCCACGTTCATAGTCGCCCACGCTGAGCAACTACTAGTGAACGCCACGGAGGTCTAGAATGATCGACTAGGTAATTAGCACTTTGTTCCCCGGAGATGACCGGGGACGCTATTCGATCGACTGGAGCCGCGGTCCTGTCAAGGTTCGTTTTTTCCAAGTCTCCCATTACAAACGAGAGGCTTTGCAGCACCACAGCAATTGCACTATTGATCACACCCAACCATGATCCATACTTATGTGTAACTGGGTATCTTAATCAACACGTCACTCTTACTTTGTAGATCACCGGCTGCATCGATATCAACTTGTTTGAAGTCGGTCTGACAATCTCCATCGCGAGCATCAATATCGGAAACATCTTTGGTAACCTTAAGGATGGAGTCACCTTGAAGGTCAACCTCTTGTCAGCAAAGGGCGAGATCAGAGTCTATCTCAAGAACGGCAACAAGGTCTGGGTTCATCTAGATGTTTAGATCATCTTTGACGGCTACTACGAGGGAGATTACAAGATGATCACTATCTGAGTGGTGATGTTTTTGTTGGTAGTGTCGAGAAGGGCACTGATCATGGAGCCAGGTGTACCACACGTTGCGAATGATCCACAAATCGGACCCTAACAGGATACCAAGAAATTGCTTCCAAAGTCTTAGTCCCGAAACCTCAGACGAATTGCGTTGAATGTCTTATATTGGTAGATCGGCGCAACAGTCAAACCTGATTTCATATATCAACTACAGTCACGTATTAACAACAAGTTGTAGTCCTTGTCGTTATTTATTGGCACGGAATTGTAAAACTTCACTTGACATCTTAAGATTGCGGTGTAATCAAGTAGATGTATGAGGGGCGGTTGTTTCCTTTGAAGATGGCGAAAATGCTGTTCTTTCATACAACAGTTCAAAACCAAACTTCTTGAAGGAAAGTGAAGGCTTGGTCTGTGTAATATCTTATTCCTCGGCTATTCTCACTCCTTCAGAGCCTCCAGAGCGCGACGAAGACCTAATCTATAGCAATGGCTCAATCTGTGTCGGATCACAGACAGACTGCGGCGCAAATGAAGCTCACACGGCCACATGAGACACTACGGTGTGGAGCTTCTAGCATTTGCCAGTGTAGCAAGAAGTGGCTTACTACCTACTAACCCAATTGCTCGTCGAAACTCTGCACTCGCTTCAATATGTGCTCTTCCCCGTTGAGGATGACAAGTTAATGAGCATTCTGGAGAAATGTGTTTCCAAAAGAAGGAAGATCTTTGACCGTGGATGTCAAGAGTGCAACGGCTATCTGCCATACGACTGTCTGCCCGACGACTTTAGCTTTCGTCATTGGAGCGAGAGAATAAAGCGACTGTATGACCACATGCAAAGCCGGCCGTCTCGTAACAGCTTTGAGCGTTGGCTGCAACAGAAGAGCAACGAGGCAAACGTCCTTGTTGTTGCACTAGTTGCGCTGGGCATTTCAATCTGTGTAGGCACTGTCAGTATCATACTGTCTGGGGTCCAGATCTGGATTGGCTGGATGGCATGGAAATACCCAGTCGGATGAACACAGGACTGGGGAGGGGAAGGGAGTCTTGAAGGAGAGCTTTCTGAGGATGGTTCATAACCCTATGATGCGGTATGAAGAAGTCGGATATGAGAGCGGGAGTGGATTCGCGCGATGGAGATGTTGCCATGTCCAAAAGATGTTGCCATGTCGAAATCTTGAAGCAAAGCGTTTCATCGGTACGTTTGTGAAAATGGCGCGAAGTGCTCGCGATGAAAGTGAGGGTACCCCAAGCGTCAATCAGCTCCTAAGATCCAAGGACCACGGTGCCCGGTTGGCTTGTTAAGGACGCGTCATGGTCAATGGTGGCAGCTGGCGGAAACACTGACCCTCTCTTCACCTCCGGATACTACAGATACTACAGGTTCGTTCCGGACAATAGTCTCATAGCATTTGCAAAAGAAATAGAAGATCAGCCATATTAATAGGCCAGAGGATTCTGTGCTACAAGAGGACAACGTGGCAGGGAGTGTTGGTTGGGCTATTTGAAAGTGGAACGACGAACACGTTGTCGAGCGCTTGGGCAGCAATGGTTTGGAAAGCCGTAACATGCGTACTTATTCTATTCAAGTCTCCAGTAAACTTTGCTTCTCTTTCATACTGGCTGCTACTGAGTAAAGTGAGGGGACATTAACTTACGGCAGTCGCTTCATGTTTGTGGGAGGATCCATCCTTGGTTAGGTAGGTACCCTGTCCTTGGTTCCATCCGTTATTTGCTTCCGCAAACAGAGTTTCGGGTCTGTTCGCCGTCTAATTTCGGCTTCCGGTGGTCCGTGGGGTTGGTCCATTTAACCTCACCTCTTGCTTCATTTTCCAATGTGTTCTTCCATCTTTCCCTTAATCATCGCTTTCTTTTTTAAATATCCGCAGACTGGTCAAGAGTCTGGGCCCCATCGCCAAACGGGCCAGATTTCTTCTTCCTCAGCATAGCCGAGACTTCCTGCCAATCAGGGCCAAGAGGGTCGATCGCATGCCGGCCGCGGCGGGGCCGAGGCCGGCAGATCTACCTACTTTGCTGGGCCAAGACTGCGATTCGATTCAATCAGAACGCCACCCATCATCGCACTGCCTCGAAAAAATTGGTAATCATCTCTGTCGGGGCCAGTGACTGTAGATGTCTGTCAACGCGTACGCCGATGGCGAAAACGCGAATCCGGCGAGACCGACCATGGAGGCGAAGAGGCAAATTTCTAGAAGAGGGAGGATGGGGCTTTATAAGAACAGCACGGCGCTGGCGACCGCTTACACCACGCAATGAAAAGTGATTCGATCTGGACAGCCTCAAATTCAAGCTGCGTAACTGCCTAAGACGCAAAAACATCAAAGGCCGCTCAGCAAATCAAGAGAGCCTGGGCATGAAAGCCATAGGCATCAAAACGCCAAACACCATGCGTGCTACCGGAAAGACGACGGCACGCGACGCCTCCTTGTGTCTGAGTCAGGCCAGGTTGCCATGAACGAGTCACTTCCCATCATCGATTCTGGGAAACCCTAGAGTTATAAAAACCCTAGGCCACCCTGCTGCACATGTCGCTGTCCGGATCCAAATCTCAAGTATGGTCTATTGCAGTACGGAAACTCAATGACATGAATGATGGCCAAGGAGATGACAGCCCTAAGCAAACCGATAACCGACGACAATCTAAATGAAGCTAATTCTATTCCGACACCGCTTCCCATGAAATGCACCTACCAAGCACTTGGCATGTATCGTTCTGTGTTTCCTTTGTTGAGCCTCTTGTCTGAATGATATTTTCCCTTTTCCCTTTGCGGTAATCATTTCTATCGGATGGTCTCGCCAATGCATTCCTTCTCAAAAAAACTGTCTGTCACACGGGTATAGAAGATCGATGGGGTTGATGGAAAGAAGATGGGATGGATGAACTTGATCATCAAAGCTGAGATCGCTGGCTCTTTTTTCTACAGATGACGTCAGTCCGAGTATGAAGTGGACGGTTGGACCAACACCTACTCTGCCTCAAGCGATGCAAGAGAGATGTACTCTCCCCAAGGTCTGTCCTCTCAACGCCGAGGTGCGCGACTGCTAGTATCCCGGCGCGATGACGAGCTTCCTTGGCGGCTTTTGCTTGGGACGTCAACGTCAACTTCGAGCTGTGGAGCATAGTGATATGTCGGCGGCGCTGGTTGTCTCTGGCCGTAGCCAAGATCGTTGACGGCACCCATTACTTCTGAGTAATTCCGACGGGGCTGCTGGAGGTTCGACAGGGGCACTCCAGGGTGGTTCCAAGCGGAAGCTGCTCGCTCTGCCTGCGATATTCCTTGGTTGTGCGAGCTTGGTTCATTGTTGGAACTATTGTCAACCTGTCAGCGTCGCTCTCCGAGATCATGATACGTGTTGCGCTCTTACGGAAAGCTTCCGGCCACAGAGACTTGGGAGGAGTAGGTGACGCTGCCAGACGCATTTGAGTGGTGCGAGTTGGTGTGATGCCCTGTCTGCTGCTCGTAACCACTCGGGTAGGAGGTGTACGATGTCGTGTTGCCTTTGCTGCCTTTGGCCATGTTTGGATCGATGTGCGCAAGTGACTTGGGCAGGTGCGGATGGAGTTTGATTCTTCTGTCCCGATATCTTTCCGCAGCGGAAGTCGAGGGGCTTGAAGAGGTGCCTTCAAGTCTACTCTTGTCGAATAGGACGTGACTGTGGGGTATTTAAGGATCGAGAGACGTGCCTGTCTTATAAGGAGTCATCTGAAGGCAGCAACTAGCTTTTGGCACTAGACAAACCCAGCAGAGGCAGAGAGGCGCAGACCTTGTTCAGTTCTTCTACTTTGTCCAGGGTCGCCTTGGGCCTTCGCTTTTGGAGGACGCCCGGCCGGAGTTGGCCGGACTGGTTCTTGGCAAGCTGCCACCCAAGAGTGTGCTCAGTGGCTGACGTTTCGCTTTCAAGGGCGCGGCGGCCTGGGAACAGAAAGGACATGACTAGGTAACCGCAGGTAGCTTCGTCGAGGCGAACAGCCGCCTTGCGCTGCTGGCTCGCCAGAGGTTCGCTGCGCAAGGGTGACGATTACAAATTCGGCCCCCTAGGTGCTGACAGGTCAACAGATGATTGGTCGCGCCGAGGTCGACACAGACCGCTGAGTCGAAGGCATAAATATGCAAACGAGTCCAGAACACCTGGAGCAAGAGCAAACCTAGGTCCCCCGAAGAGGAGGAAAGAGAGGACACACCCACATGTGGCTGAGACTGTTTCCAATTCCTGCCGAAGGTCCAGTGTGGCATCTTACGCAGGCCCAGCTGGTGCCTGGGACTAAGCTTCACCCAACAGCCACCGCCACACGTCGTAGCGGTGTCGAAAGCATCTTGGGCACCAGGAAAGGTGCGTGCCGGCCCACAAGAAGAAGAAGAAGCCCGGCGGAAAGCCCTGTGTACAGCCATGCTGCTGCGGCGATGACTCTTCCAGCTTTCGTCGTGGCAGAGTCGAATAGTTCGAGGACGGGTGGCGAATATCACTGACTGCATCAGAACAGTCACAATGGCGGATGGGTGAACTTTTTTATGTCCCATTGCTCTCTTCAAGGAGCGGGGTTCCGTCACGAGTGCAATAATTAGATTGCATCATTCATGCCAAAAAAACGCATACCTGCAGAACTGCACAGTACCGCGACCATTTGGATTGTCTTGGTCAAGCCATGATCGCCAGCACAACCGCTGACAGAGGGGGGGTTACGGACGTTATCGATAATCCAATCTCAGCAGTGAGATTGAGGGGTTAATCATTCCGTTGCTGCTCGCCTTTCAGCAAGCTAGGTAAGCTACGCACCCACGGCACACTGAGGATTGAGACATGTTGCTCCCCCCCAAGGCAGCCCAACCCAACCCTCCCGACTGCGCCGGAACAGCCATCCGCTCACCGCTAGCCCCATATCAGATATCCCCTCGAAGCACAGCCGGCACGGAAACGAGAGCAGCAGCATCATCGAGCCATCATTTCTTGGGCTCCACGATGACGAGTGCGGAACCTAATACTACTCACCATTGAATCTCTGAGCCCGGCAGAGCAGGCTGCAGGATCGAAACCCCTGTCAATCATTCGTCTGTTGTCAGGGAATCCGCGAAAAGAGCGTGTATGCGACGGTGGACTCGACAGAGGTAATGTGCTGAGCCCCCCCGCACGCTTGCTTTTTTTCACGATGGACTGCTGTCATCTCACCAATACAGCAGTGGGCCGAACACACGGGGGTAGGCAAGGCACAGCATCAATTGCATGAACACCCTGGGGGTTGGGCATTGGAAGCACCGAACCGCAGCACGCAGCCGTCTTCTGCAGTGGTTCCCAATGCTCACGTTGACCGGGCGTCGGGCTGCAATGGCAGACTGGATACGCTGTGTCACAAGCTGAGAGAGCATGCTGGTTGAAGAGGGTGAACGCGGACCGGAGGCGAGGGACTCCACACCGCGCGGTCTTATCGCCGGCCATGGCGTTTCAATCAGTGATTGCTTGCTCAGGGACGGGATGTGGAAATCAAAGCCCAGACTCCGGATCGAATCTTGCCAAATTTTCGACCTGACTTTTCCACCCCTGTTGTCATGAAATATATTTCGTGACAACAGGGGTCGCTGTTCACATGCAAGCCAATTGTTACCTCCGTCGTGACTGTCTGCTTGAACCTGTCTGCGCAAGTCTCGGAAAGCGTGTATGATGGAGGCTTGCCGCAGGGAACGAGACCAAAAGAGGGGTCAAGGCATGTACGATGACGGTGGGAGACGGGTTTCGTACCCCCCAATGCAACCAGAGCAGACTTCAACAACGCCCGCCCTTCTTCACAATAGGGAGTCGATTTCGGGTCACCGAGCCCCTTCCGTGTCCTGATTTGATATCGGTATCATCCGAAGCAGTGTAGGACTTTGGCGTTGACTGAGCCCTTGGGATACCTTCTGTCACCTCTCGGCCTGACTGCACACCACCGGAAATTGGCGTGGATTGTCCTTCTCCCGCAGACCCTGAGAAGATGAAGCTACCGTGCTACCTACGTCGGACAAGGTGAGCTTACATAATGCAAAATCACTCATCAGCATCTTCGGCGCTGAAAGCCTTCAAGTGCTCATCTTTCTTGACAATCAAGACACGTTATAAAATACGGTGAGCCGAGTTGTTAAAAGAATCATTGAAAGTAAACAGCCGCCGTTTGCTGGAAAGACTCGTTGGCTCCTACATGGCGATATGCCGCGTTCACGACGTGCTGCTCAGGTAGGTGAAAGCTCAACGCTGCCAACGTGAGTACCTTTGGTCTCCGGGGTGGTTCAGTTCAACTACTGACTGAGGATTTGAGGGGCAGAGACTGAAGCTTGGGAGGTCCACTGACTGAGTCAGTCATCTTGAGTTCTACTATTCCGTAGACTCTCTTCCCCACTGCCAGCACAAGGCGATTTCTCCAACATGCACACACAAAGCAGGTACAAGCTCGCACCATGACGATAACAAGCCTACGTCTTATCTCACACCCCACTTACTCGCTATCTCAAAGTTTAAAACACCAACGCGCGACGCGTAAAGAGCAATTGACCCCATCACGTCATGACCAGCGCAACGATTAGCGAAATGAGACCATGGAGCCCGTTCTGTGGATCCCTCGACACAAGAAGGTATCCACAATTTCTGGGATCCGAGTCGGAAAGCTTGAAATCAGTGAAACATAGATAGGGGGAAAATTTCCGCCTTCTGGCGTAAGCTTCATCCACGATACCTAGCTCTTTTCTTCCGTTTCCACCTCCGATTCCGCAAGATAACATCAGACGTAACCGCCGCCGCCGCCGCCATGTCTTCCACCGCCTTTGTTCAGCGCCCTGCTCCTGCCTTCAAGGCCACCACCGTCTTCCCCGGCGGCGAGTTCAAGGACATCCAGCTGTCCGACTACCTGGGACAATGGTATGTGGATTCACGCTCAAGTAGCCGTGCCCCAAAGGGCGGGCCAAAGATCAAATAAAAAATAAAAATAAAAAAAATTGAGACAACCTAATCATACTAAACTCGTCTATTCTCCTCCGCCAGGGTCGTCCTCCTCTTCTACCCCCTCGACTTCACCTTTGTCTGCCCGACCGAGATCATCCAGTACAACGACGCGCTGCCCCGCTTCCGCGCCATCAACACCACCGTCCTGGGCGTCTCGACCGACTCCCACTTCTCCCACCTCGCCTGGACCGAGAAGCCCCGCAAGCAGGGCGGCCTCGGCGCCGACCTCGCGCTGCCCCTCGTCGCCGACAAGTCCCACAAGATCTCGCGCGACTACGGCGTCCTGATCGAGGACGAGGGCGTCGCGCTCCGCGGCCTCTTCATCATCGACCCCAAGGGCGTCCTCCGCCAAATCACCGTCAACGACCTGCCCGTCGGCCGCAACGTCGAGGAGACGATCCGCCTGGTGGAGGCCTTCCAGTTCACCGACGAGCACGGCGAGGTCTGCCCCGCCGGGTGGATGAACGGCAGCAAGGGTATGAAGGCCGATCCCAAGGGCAGCTTGGAGTACTTTGCTGCGCAGGGCGAGACCAACGGCCACACCAACGGAAACGGCCAGAAGAGAGCGCGGGTTGACTAGGACTCTTTCTTTTCTTCTGCATGGAGGAAAAAGAGTGGCGGAGCAAGGGGATGGGGTACGAGTGTGTATAGACTATAGATGTAGATACTAGAATTGTAGAACACTAGAACTGCCGTATGCCAGATGTACAGACTACTACTCTGGGTCAATCGAGCCGCAGCGGATGTATACCGCGCCAGACGGTGCAAGTTTCCTAATCGACATTCAAGCAAATCTGACGTGATGTGTCGGGGATGGGTATAAGCTACTTGCCAAGCAAGGTACGTGAGTTGAGTTAAAGGTCGGGTTGAGGAGAGGGCTGTGTTGGCATAGCCCCACTGGTGACATCCCAGACCCGCGTGTCCAAAGTAAGAAGCTACTAGGGCTATTCAAAATAAAAGTCTCATTGCCTTCTGTTAAAATCAAAAGAGTAGATGATGACGCTATGCTGTACAGGTATAATGAAAGTTGTGCATAACTCCAAGCAAAACAAGTAATCAAATGTTTAGGAAACAGAGTTGTGCGAACCACGAGGAGATCCCATCCAATGCAGAGAAACAAGAAAACACCCCCAAAAAAGTAATGCCGCATACTGTCAAACAATGTGCCCTCGTCGTGTATACTTTCAGCGCCCGCAATTACCAAAAATAAAAAAAATTACTCTAGTGTGCTTGACTTTCCCCATATCCCCTATACCTCCATTGCCTACTTACTACCGTAGAACGGCTTCAAAGTTTCAGCAATCTTTTTCTCAGTCGCCTTCTTGTGTCTCTTGCGAGACGATGAACTGCCTCCGCGCAGCGCCTCCCGCTGTTTTTGCTCCTTCTCTTGCTTCTTGACATATCTGGCCGTTTCTTTTTCTCCCGTTCGAGTGGATGGAGAGGCTGCCGTGATGTCGTCCTCGGCGTACGAATTCGCACCTCCGTGGAAGCTATGGGCGCGGTAAGTCAGTCTCGTAGGCCTGCGGAAGAGAACAAGAGACAGTGTTTTACTAAGGTACCTTCCGGCTTCTGCTGAGTTGTCTGCATACTGCTGGTAGCTTGGGCGTTGCTCGACATGTTGGCCTTGATGATACCCTTGCGTCGTAGCCTGGGTTGTGTTTGAGTAGGATGATATTGTAGAAGGATACCATTGCCCGTCGCTTGCTTTGTAGTACTGCTGGCCATCGACGTACTTGACGTGTTGGACGGGGGTCGACATGGTGGGAAAAGTGGACGGGGGAAAAGCGACTATCGAGTTTGTTGTTGAGAACTTTGTAGGAGCTGCGTGGCAAACGCCTTAAAGAGTTGTGCTGAAGCAACGATAGACGAAGGATGAGGTCGTGGTCGATGGACGATGCGTCACCTTAATTTATAGTCCAGCGAGCAACACCAAGCTTGCGTTGTGTCCATGGTAACCTTGGGCGTCCTCTTTACCCATCGCTAGAATTATCAGGACCCCTTGCGGGCATGGGTCATCGTACTTGAGCGATGACATCGAATCGGCAAAGCAAGGCCAAAGGCCCTTGTCAGGTATGGAGGAAAATGTCGTTTGAAGTTAGGGATTACCCTGCTCTCTTGCCGGTGTATAGTCGTCAAGCTTTCTTCGATCGAGTGTGGCCATGAAGGAGCGGTATCCACTAATAGGTAGTGATAGGTCAGTTTCTTTTGAAATGCAAATAAGGAGACGGTGTAGAGGCGTGGGATAGGGGGGCCTTACCGTCATCGTACGGGGGCGAGGGGGCATCAACAGCTTCATTTTTAGATGCACCGCCGAGGCAGACTGGCTGCGGCGCCTTTCAGAGCGACGATGACATGGCAACGCTTGTCAGTGCCCCCATCTCCGGAGCCGAATCGCTCTGCTATGGAAGGGTTTGTTCTCGTGCTTGCATCAGTGGAGAGGAAATGTCCATCACGGCGCCGACATTTGTGGATCTGCCAAGTTGCCTGGGCTGCAATGGCGCTGTAGGCAGCTCCTAACCATGGTGTACAGATGTCTGATTCCCCCCTCAGCGTGAATAGTGTGGCTTTGCTGATGCTCTTTCGTAGGTATTACAGGTTGGGAGAAGAATAACGGCGACGACTGGGGGTTCATTGCCGAAAAGATTCACCGAGTTCCCCTAGTCCGCGATACCCTCGGTCCCGAGATGCTGAGGAGGATGGGGAGTCGGCCTCCCCGAAAGGTGAATCAAGAAAGAGAATGTTGCAAACCTGGGGCCGTTGGGGTCTAATATTTTCAGAACAGTAAGGATTCGGTAAGCTTTGCAGCCAGTGACTCGGATGTTGTGTGTACAAAAACAGTCTATCTTGCGGCAGGCTGGGAAGGGATTTGGGCTGGCACCCTCCCGAGGATGTTTTCTTCCCTGCCAATGTCCGGATGGTTGACCCGTCTTTGGGCAGTCTTCCGACCTGAATGCTCGGAAATCTTGAAATCGACTTCTTGCCAACGACTGCGATTCTTTGCGCACATGCAGGGAACAGTCAACTTGGTCAACTACGGTATACTGATCGTTGGTGGTGTAAGGTAGGACTGGTACCCAGGAGGAGAGTCAGACTTGGCTATGGCGGCACAGGAAAGGGCACAGCAGGGCCCTCATAACTGACTGGCAACCACCTGAATTACTCTCAATGAAGATGCTCCTTTGTAGGGAGAGCCTCGTTAGGTCCATCTCAACATACTCCGGGATTCTTGAGCGACAATGAAGCTCTCGTAGTCAGTCACCCCCGCATTGTCAAGGTTTGTCTCTCAACGGCAGCTGCTCGCGTGGGAAGCCGCCAAACTAGCTGACATTCGCGCGCCACATTTTCTCAGCTACCTGCAAGATGTCGGAGATCCTTGCCTCTATAGGCGGGTTGATGATCTCGATTGAAGTAGGTCAATATGACATGACCATGAACAATGGAGTCGAGACAGTCTTTGGATTTCAGATATCAACTCGAAAGGCCCAGTGCCATGACATCGGTTTTTTCTCCAGACTTTTCAAATTGAACGAGCGAGGGGGGGAGAGGGTAGATTTTCTCCGGGGCCGGGATCTTTACGACCTCCCTTTTTCGCTACAATCCTATGCAAACCCACGTAGTTCCCGACAAAACGGGCCGCTATTTGTCAAGGGAGCAACGGGCCGACCGCCGCTACCTCTGTGGTGCCGAAATGAAATGTGGAATAGACGCAGGCAGAGCAGTTCCATCACATTTATCGATTAATTGGGGGCTGTCTCATTAGGGATTTTGATGCAACCCCCCCATCTGCAGTGATGGTGTCGTTGTGCTTCCAACAAGCGGGACTTCCATGCACTCCGTTCTCCAGCTTCTAGCTTCAAAATATGACAAAAAAAATGCCGTGCCTTCTTCCGGGTGCTGGGACTGCCCAATAGACATGACATTGAGCGCTTCGAGCCAGGTAGGTGGTCGAAACATGTATCTAATTCATCTTGACAGTTACACCACCGAGTACCTCATGAGACTGAGGCGTCTATCAGAGGATGGATCTCTAGCCACGCACCTTGATCCCGGCAAACAAGGTGGCTTCATCCACACCACTCTATTATAAGCCTCCCTTGAGAATGCGGAGTCACATTGCATTCCAGCCGTGCTTCCCCTCTCGATGGCTCCGTTCCGTATCCCCTCCCGTGCCTCCATGCGAGCAACTTGTAATGACGCCAAAAATCATGAACACTAAGATTGCAGCTGAAATATTGAGCTGAATGAAAGCAAGGTAGTGAAGCTCTGCATTGCAAGTCAGTTTACCAAAATTCGAGCTCGCTCGTGCAGTGTGTGCTCTTGCCGGAGTATCTTACCTGCCTGAGCTATCTCAGCCTGATTTGATGCGCCTGGCAGCATCATTGCCCTTTTTTGTTCCCTCGCCCTTTTTTGCCCTCCGGTGACATCCCTTATCTTTCAGCGGTTTGGCAGATTGCGAAAGTGAATCCAAGCCGGGGATGGCGCTCAACGCGCTTGCAGCAGCACATCTCCCTGCCTTCTTGGCCTGCTTCCCAGAGGTGCCTCGATCTGCAAGCCTCTCATGCGAGCCCTGCACGCCATCGACAAAGTCTGTGAGGAAACATGTAGGGCGCCACATCTCCGTACACCCATGCTTGCCATGGCCTGTATCATCCACCATGGTACGGATATCCATTGATGATCTAGAAGGGGTGTTAGACAAGCGTATTCTCAAAGAAAAGGGAGGTGTTACCCACGCTGCGGATCCAGCTTGCGCCCCGGTACAACTACCGGCGCTGAGTGGGTGGCCTTGTGAGGCCGGCATGGAATGACGAGTGCTCACCATCTTCGCCGCCAAAAAGCTCGCGATGGTGGGTGAGCAAGACTTCTTGGGGTCCAAAAGAAGCGACCTGCGATAAAAATGGGTGTGGAGGGGTTTTGTAGAGCCAAGCTGCTTGCTGCAGCTTGTAACCACTCGCTCTACTCGAGGAAATCCGAGCCTACCTTCCCGCGACTGGAGAGTGCCCATGTCTTCCCGATGGCGGAGGGGCAGGGGACGCACACCCACCATCTTGTGACTGGAAATTGCTTTGTGTCGAGAGGGTCAGAGGTCTTTTCTTGACCACGTCAGTGATCAGTGCCCAAGTCCTGCTAGAAGGTGACCTGGCAAGAAAGTAGCTGGACTACTGAAGGGAGTCACCAAGGGCAGTCTTCAGACAAGAACGAGTACGCCAGAGGCCGTCGAATAGGAAGTCACTGCTCACCGTATCTGTAAACTACCGCTTCCATGCTACTGGCTCAAAAGCCAGGCATCATCGAGCTAGTGTCAAGTTGAGCAGGCGGCGTTGTGTAAATAGAATACGAGAAGGTTGCCTTGTCTCGGAATCCCGAAAGGTAAACTTGTTTGACGGGGCGGAGGTAGAAGTACACCCTGTCAAGCACTGCGCCTGATGACAGACACAGAGAGAGCGCTCACCGCTCCCGTGTGGTGTTGCCATCTCATCCCGTCGCCCCTCTGGGTTGTAGACAACAAGTCACCACAAGAGCCTGGAGGTGCGGTCGGTCGTAGCTCCGAGTCGCCCGCAAGCTAGACAGCCCCATTATTCTTCTTCATACCAGACCACTTCGAGGGACTGAGGGGTGGGAATGCTGCGTGCCTCGACGCATGATTCCAGCGCATCACTGAGACCTGTCTGGGCCAACCCGAAATGAACTCCCCGACTTGGACCACGTTCAGGGCTGACTTTGTCGCGCTTCTCGCGGCACCAAGCATGGTTGCCTTGCTCTGTCGAGGTTTCCCGGGGTGTATCTGGTTTGGCCTTGGCATTGATGAGGTGCGTGACTGAAATGAGGCGAACTGTTTCCTTCCCTGACTGGCCATAGGGCAAAGAGAGGATAACTTTGGGGCGCTCGCTGGTAGATAGTAGGTCCGTCAAGAGGGGTGTTTTTACGCCTGGATTTGCAACGACCGATAACACCCTACGGTCGTCAAGTACCTAGTTACGGTACAGTCCTCATGCGCTAGCTTTGGCGGGAGAGCAAGCGAGGGAAACGTTATTGCACTTTCTGACCCGAGATGACCAATCATACAATAATAAACTGGCTTTCATCATGGGGAGCAAGCAAGAGGACAAGGCTATGAGCACGAGGAACGAGATACCCGGGCCTACGATATCCATTAAAGCATGATTAAATATCCGTAGAACCTTTTCCAAAGGATTTCATACACCTCAAGATCGCTCTAACTAGATTATTCATGGCATTCCTATAAGGTGCACAGTTGAGATTGGTTTCAGGAGATATAATGCCTCTCACACTTGTTTCCGGATCAAATGCTGGAGTCCACCCATGTGCCACCCTAAACAGTCGGTCATGACTGCGAGCTTACTACGTGACAACCAAAGTGCCAAATTGTCTTTGGCGTCTATGGCTTATGAATCGTCCAGTGGAACCAGTAACAAAATGTTTGATCGAAGACATCTTCTAGTGGCCGCCACATTCCAGCCTTGCTGATAAAGTAAGGGGTGATTTTGATGACATCGCAAGGGCGTCACGGCGTGTAGCACTTCCAAGGTTGTAGCGAGTGCCGTGGGTGCATTGCCTGGGAGGGAAGCCGCCGCCAATGAGGTTTTCAACGGCGAGCGAGAGGCTACCGAGAGCCGGGGTCGTGCTTTCGATGGCCCAGTAGAAGACGATGTAGTTGATAGCCAGACCGTACAACGGGTCAAGTGGAATGACGACACCCTTGTGAGCGACGCGCTTGTAATGCTCAGTATACGCCGAGAGCGCATTCTTGATTGCACGCTTCTTGACGTCGCATATCTCGAGATGGACAATCTTGTCGGCGTCCAGTTGGGCGACTTCTGTGGGGCTGTTCCGGGCTGTTCCGGGCTACGCCGGCGTGTGTGGGTCCCGGCTGCGCCCGGACGATCCTGCCACCTTCTTGCCGTGGCCTAATTCAACTACTAATTAGGTACTTAGACTCTACTCTAGAACCCAGAACGAATGTTCTTTAGAACGAGCTAGACCTGCTTGGGAACTAAAGTATACAGTTCATTAGGTATCTGGACCGGCGACTTTTGAATATTCTACATGCTTAGCCACTGAACTGCGGGTACCTCCTGCCGATGTGCAGAGGCCACCGCCGTCGCCGTCGCCGTTGCCGTTAACGTCGCCGACGCTCGCTAGCCGACGTTCTAAACATGGCCTGGGCTCCACCGAATGGCAGCCAAGACATGAACTCCAGCTGCCCACGATGATGAAGCAGATGATAGTTCGGAAACGAGCCCTTTCGGAACTTCTTTTCTATACCTACACAGGCCGACCCTCGCAACCCCCACTCATCGGCAAGACCGTGAATAGCGACGGAGTGAGTACCTTACGGTCAATTTGACCAGTGAAGGCCTTGGATTTGATTCCCTAGTCTCAAGCTTGACTGGAGGCTTGATTGAAGAACCTTCGGATTTATTTAAAGATAGCAGTTCATTTGATCATCCGGACTCGGGACAACCCTGTTCAGCCTAATATTCCTTATCTACCGCCAATTCACTCGGTACTGGTGGAAAAGATTGCCAGATAGGATTTGATCCTAATGTATTCGGCAGTTTCATAGTGGTAAATTCAAGCAGCGCCGCTAAGAAGTGATCCAGGAACATGATTGATAGAGAGGAAGGTGGACTGGTTTTTGAAATGGTTGTGCTCTACTCTGCAGGTAGGAAAGCTTCATAGGAATTGTATTCGTAATGAAGGAACGAGTAAAAATCGAGTGCGGATAATGTACCTGAAAAGGACAGGATCGCTGCAGACCAATTTCCCATGGAACCTTTGTAGTCACGAAGTACTCCTGCTACAGAGTTCTGATTTGACGCACCGACAAGGGCTAGAAAGTGGGCTCGTGCTTTGGCCAGGCCTCTAGAGTGAGTCATTATTGATCCTTAAACATCGAAATCCATTTCGTCTTCGTTCTTGCTTGACAACAGCTGTCAATCATGTGAAGCTGTGTCTTGCCATCGAATGTTGACAACCGTAGGTTGCGTACGGACAGAAAGCATTGAGACCCTTTCTATCCAGCCTCGCACTTTGGCCGACGTTGGAGTGATTGGCAGACCCCTGTGTAAGGTTCTCTAGATCACATGATTCATGCGTCCAGTGGCCCTCGAGGGGCCCCCGGAGACTTTGCTCTGGTTCTCCAGGGGTCGGATCTGGAGTCCCGTGTCCTCCATGTCACCCGGAGCTAGACGAGGCATTACCGCGAGGTTCGTGTCACTCTTTCTTACGTACCGTTCCCTGTTTTAGACCTGCACAATGCAATGAATGCAGTGTGAACAAGGACTTGTTCACGGCTGTGTAGACAGGAGAAGGACTTTGGCAGCAAGGGCTCTCTCTCGAGAAGGTAAAAAAAAAAGCCCACTAATACCTGGGCGGGAAGGGCAAGGATGGCGATGCAGACGAAGTCGAAGCCCGGGCAATGATTGGGTTCCCACCTCTGTGTCCTGCCTCATGAAAAACTCCGAGGTGGCTTCTGCGCCAATGAAGTAGGTAAGGTAAGAAGCGTCCTGCAGATTGCGAGAAAAGCAAAGATCTTTGGTTGGGACGAGTCGAACTACCAGGGCGGAGAAGACGTAGTAGTATGGACTCCGCCTCACTTTCGACTAGAAATCCAATCAATCAACGTTTGACCTCATGGATCCTCAAAACCTCGCTAAGGCAAGGAGCCCTATTGGACACTCCCATGCGCTTGGCTGGCAGTCGCTTAGAATCTGTCAGCTTCATTTGTTTTGACCCGATATCGTTAGGAGCTGTGCGAAAAGCTAATGGGTCGTATCACTCAGGGGTTTGATGGAAAAAGAAAAACATACTGAAGCTACTCACGCTTTCCAAAAACATACTACTCACAGAACTGCATTTTGGAAATGTTTAGTATTACCGACATCGGAAAAGAGTCACATTGCTCTTCTAGCGAAACCGAATGGAATGGACTGGATTGTGACGACAGAATCGGAAGCGATCTCTAAGCAGTACTTCTAGAACCCGCCCAACAGGGAAAACCACTGATCAAGGAAATGCGTTGCAAGATAATACGAATCAAACTGGGTACGTTCTTGTCTCACATCTGTCCAAAATTACCCACCCGTATCTGTTCGGCGCCAATTCCACTTTCATCCATATCGTCCTCTTTGCGAGGGCAAAAGTCGCTGCTCTTCTGGTCATCTTTGCGTGACTTGGACGATTGGCCGCCGCGTCTCTTGTCTGGAGGGACTGTGGACCAATTAGCAAGTACTGGGGGGAAAATAGTCAACCAGAACATCACTACCTGCTGGATCGATGCACCTCTGTCGATTCCGATCGCGACGATTTAGGTGGAAAATCTTGTGATTTACAATCTACGCCCCTCGCGACCGCTCCGCTCAACGTGTGAATTGCGGGGATAATCGGAGCGCTGTTCATTGTCCCAGCTCCCCATTCCCGCAAGTGTGGGTGTCAAGGGGTGTGTCGGCGTGTTTGCCGCGCTGGGCGTCGTTGCTGCAGAGCTGGCGGCATACAGATGGTCGTAAGAACTTGCGGCGGACGAGGGACCTGCACTGCCCGAGAAAGAGGTCGAAAGGCTGTCTGGGTGAGTGCGGTACGGCAAAGATGACGAGAACGTCTGCGTCAAGGCTGGCTGTGCCCCGTATGGTAAGTTGCCAGCATAGTTGGGGTTTGGCTGCTGCGGATAGGGTCGAGGCGCCGTGCTGTGTGCCGGGGCGCTGCTCGAATATTCAATTGCCGTGTGGCCCGGGGAATGATGAGCCGGCTGCAAATATCCAACAGCGCTTTGTGTGTAAGACGGAGGGACGCCTTGCACGGAATGCTCACGAGTGGGAGCCAGACTCAGTGGATTTGGGTGGTTGATGGGGAATGCGGCATATGGCTGTGAGGATACCGTCTGGACCGGCGCTCGGCTGGGAGGGGACGGTGCCGTTGATCGGTGTCGGGGGTGAACGTGGTCTTCGGACCGCCGCCTGGACGATTGCCTGCTGGATTGTGAATCCATGTCGGGTATTTCCAATGTGTCGATGAGTACGGCTTCTGGATATCTCAGAAGGAAATGACAAAGCTTCATGTTCCGGAGGCCGGGCCCTTGTCAACGTCTTAAAGTAAGTTATCTGGCTCATGAATGAACTCAGACTCACTTTGATGGCCATCTCATACTACTGACAAAACGACGACAGGATACTTACCGGGGTGGAGAACATTGGGCGCCAGTCCATCTTGACGCTGCCTCGTCGGGCTCAAAGCTCGTGGGTTTTGGTGGCTTTCCCTGACCTATCATTTACCAATGTGCCTCAAGAAGGCCTTTGGTGTAAACCTTTGTCAGCCCGCATGACATGCAATGGAAGACTTGATTCAGTTTGCTGCCTAGACATCATACATCGGACTGGAAGCTATCCGCCTTGTTTCGACCGCTCAGGGTTATCAAAGGTACGTCACTTACTCGAGTCTGCCACCCGCGGCTTTGGGTAAGGTACTTGGACGTCGCCTTGATACTTGGAGTTCGGAGAGATATGCGGGTGGTGCATCTCCGGACCCCTTGCATTGTGTACTTTCAAGAGTGTAGGCCAAGAGTAGAGGAGCTTGGTCGCGTCGGAACTATCAGTCACCCGCCCGCCCTTGCCTCCTCCCGCGCGAGGCCGTTCGCCTGTCGATTCGTTATCGCAGCTTTGGGTAGGAGAGTTCACTTCATCAAGGCGAAAATGCGAGAGGGCTGATTTCCGTTAAAAGTCTTCGACTGGGCAAGAATTTGTGGTAAACGCCTCACGAAATCGCACTTCTAATTCGTCTTACGCGTCAGGACTGGCACTCACCAAGCAGGGGAAAGAGTCTTTCTGTGCATCTACCCGTTCGCCAACTGCGGAAGTGTGAGGAGATTTCCTTCGTGCAAGGAGAATCAGACCAACAGCCCTGCATAGTCATCGCTGTGAATTTGGCAACAGGTTTCGTAGTGTGGCGCCATGATATGGGTGTTCTTCGACTATTGGTCCTGATCACTCAGATGATATTTCGACTGGAGCACCCGGGATGTAGCAACCTGGACAAACAATCTGAGGCGACAACAAATCGCATTTGCTATCAAGCTGCCGACAGGCGTATTTCAAATCCTACCCTAGATCCAAGGCTTCCGTTGCTTTATCATCAGTCATCGATTTCCCTAGATTGTGCGACGCCCAATATTTGTTTAGCATCGAAGATCAGGGGGTATCTCAGCAGGCGACTGTGGCTTGCAGAAAACTGTCATCACAGCGCCATCTGCATGGCCCCCAAGAGCCCCCAAAGCTGAAGGCTTGGATTCTACAAGGGGTTTCTCAGGCGGCCGACGCTCAAGCAGCAGCCTTGCAGATTATCACATCTTTTCGATTGTGGCCGACGAATTTTTTGTCTGATTTCATCTCGCGGCACAAGCGCTTGTTGGTATTACTTCTTTTTGCTTGGGAGGGCTGTTCAGTACCAAAGAGTACCTATGAATATGATTCACACATGCATGGGACTTTGTTGTCCACACGCTGGGCTTGCTGATCGACAACACAGCTACGCCGTGGCCTAGAAAATGCCGACCGAGCAATCCCTTCTCATGTTTCTTGCATGCATCATTGACGGTCCGGCGCCGACAGAGGACTGATCCTAGTCAAAAGAAATCGCCAGGTGCATGTCCAGCCGGTTGGCAGCCAAGTCGGCGACTCCGACAAAGTCTGGAACAGAATGTGCTGGCAGTTGTTGCCCTAGGCGGGCGGGCGGCACAGCATGTATCATTGCCGCCGTCAAGAACACCCGTGGGCATCAAAAGGCCCTTACTTTTAGAAAAGGCTGATATCAAGACAACGGAAGGAATGGCATAGCAGCCCCAAGAAATGGACGACGTGGCACCTTAGCAATGGCCACGCTATCAAACGTTGCCAATGGTCATGTGGAATTCACCCCCATGGTAGCCTTACGGGAAAATGTCATTTTTCCCAGCAAGGAAAGCCAAATGGATGGTTCTCAATCTCCATTGAGATTCAGTGGCGTACCACGTACCCCTTGCATACTTAATTCTTAGCACTATCCGACCCAAGCGAAGGAGCACAGTTTGGCCGGCAGAAGAGGATTGACAAGGCCGTCGAAGTCGTGTTTGCAACTGCGCTACTCATGTCAAACCGAATCGCCAAAGGCCAACCAGTGCGCCAAGGCTCCCGGTAGACTACGGGGCGAATCCAACGATGATTGCATCTGTGAATTGATACTATACTACAAAAGATGCAGATGAAGCCTACGATCTGAGCCTCTCTAGCTAAAATTACGCGGCACACTCTACGGCCCTGTCCCTTTTTAGCCGGACAAGCCGAGTATTGTTTTGTTCCTAATCCACTTGAGCCTCCAATGCAAGTTGAACAGTGCGTTCAACGATTGAGTAAATGCTTTCCTACAAAGCTACCTATTCCAAAAGTATCACAAAGCGAGGTATCGAGCGGAAGGCATGTATAATAGTAAGTGGCTTGATTAAGCTAAGTGGAGCCCTTATACGGAGTCGTGGATTTATATGCCGTACGGAGAGAGCCTACGGAGCGGTCGTTCCGTGGTAAGCGGTGTCCGGCGGCAGTATACTGGGCGGCGCCACATGTGGCGCTGCAACCAAAAGCAATAGAACCCTCTCCAATCCCAGCCCCCTAGTTTCGGGCCAGAAGAGTTGGGACGAAGGTTGTAATTAAGAAGGCGTATAGAACAGATTAGATGACGATATTTTCCACTGGAAGTTTCTTCTAGCGGTCGACCCAGTGTCTTTATCGCTAGCAATGGTGTTGCCATGAAAGCAGAGATGTGGGTACTGCAAAACAGGCAAGTACCGCCATACTATCCTACACTAACTCTCGGTTGCAGACTAGACTTTCCGGGACTATCAACATCAAGGAGGAAATAGATAAGTACTTCAATACTGCTTGAAGGCTACAAAGCAGATATCTGCAAGGCAACGGCAAACTAAGGGGATATAATGTTCCCATGATCTGTAACAGAACCGAGAAAAGAAGACGCTTTAGCCCGAAAAGGTTATCATAATAGCCTCACTGCAGCATAGGTAAGTAAGATGGAAATAAACAATTTAGAGTGATTTTGGAGTGTTTAATCATTGCCAAAAGAACACGGTTGAGAATCAACGAATCATGCACAGAACCTTGGAAGGTTGAGTGACCCGTTGAACTAGTTGATTCTACTGAATATGAATTGATCGTTTGCATTAAAGACTTGTGAGAAGGCTCATAGAAACACCACACAGAAGAGGCTGTGCCTATTTACATCCCGCATTGATAACCCTACACTTGACAAGCACCTAGGCAGTATACAGCACCCTTAGGAGGCGGGCAGCGCGCTCCATTCGGCACAACATTAGTCGCACCACCAGAGATGCCTGGTCCGTCAAAGTAGCATGTTCCAACACCGTCCCCGCATGTTCCACCCACGGGCGGACAGCAGAATCCGTAGGCATTAACGTCAAAGTTATAGCAGGCGATGGGGTTGATGGCGGGGGCTGTTGGAGTAGCACTAGGCGTTACCTTGATGGTCGTTATCTCGACGGTTGGGTCGGGTTTGGGTACAGCAGGTGGGTGAGTAACGACCACGAGTGGTGAGGTCGTAGAGTTGCTGTTGCCACGTGCTGCTGCAGCAATTTCATCGTACACTGCTTGAGGGAATCCGTCTCTGTCGAATGGTCCTCCTCCTCCTCTGGGCACTGACAGCGGTGGTCTGGAAGAACAACGGGTAATCGGCACCGAAGAATTGTGCGACCGCGTTGGAGGCGAGGTGGGAGGAGATGAAGGCCCCGAAGGCTTTGGAGGATCCGAATCTGCAGGTTTCGAGGGATGACCGCCCTTTCCACCGCCACCGTCACCGCCACCACCAGGAGGCACAATCGGAACAACTGGCGCAGTAACATCTTCGGGTCCTCCGAGCCAAATGTTACCTGTGTCTCCTTTCTTGATGGTACATGACCTTCCATGTGGTTCACCATGCTGGGGATCTGCCATGATCTCCAGTGCAAAGAAAGCCATGTTTTGGGCGTTTCTGATCTTATCGGCACTTTTGAGTTTCGCACAGCTATCAAGCCGTTAATAAAAGCCTTCATAATGTAGGAAGAGGACGTAGGGATCAAGCCTTACCACTCAGGCTGATAGCAGCCGCCGGTTCGATTGTGGTTCGGGACATCAACGCATCGTCTAGCATCACCCACGATGGCTGGCAGGTGTTGCAATCCGTGCAGTAAGGTGAAGCCAGCAGAGAGGCTGAACCGTCTCTTGTCCCTCCAAGTCTGCAACATGTATTCCAGTGACTTATACTCGAAGAATCTGTCACACAGGATAATGGCGTTACCCGAGAGTCCTTTGGCTCCGTCCTGGTGGGTCGCAACAGCCACAGTGCCGGCGCAAGTCTGGCTGTCTGCGGCACCGCACATGTACGTCAGCCCGGTAGGACTGAGGTTATCCATTGTCAGATTGTCGACGCGGTTGTATGACCCTGGGCGTTTGAAAAGATGCCGCACGGGATCGTAGTTGTATTTCTTTATCGACTTTTTCGTGGCGGCCCTGGCGTTTTCCTCTGCAGTTGGCCGTTAGATCAACGTTCTCGCTATGAGATAAGAAGACGAGACGTACTACCAAACCAGAAGATGTAGGCATCAGAAGACTCGGAACCCCTTATGGCAAGCGCAGTCGAAGCCTTCGACGCCAATGTCTGTGCATCTGCCACCGCTCCCTTCAGAGCGGCGATCTTTTCCTCGCTGCAGCCCCAACTACTCCCGGCACGTTGGTCAATGACGTAGAAGCCATCTAAAGCCCGTTTGCTAGCCATGTGCATTGTTTCCTCAATCGATCGTTTATCATGATCGGAAAGGCCATGACTCAAAACGCCTTGACCTGAGGCCAGAAGGAGTGAACCTAAAATAGTTAAACGAGTGAGTGACTGTAACATAATGATAAAACGAATGTGGATTTGGAGCAAGTGCTGAGTCCAAACAAGCTGGCTTAGACTTACCCAACTGTGCGCCGCAGGTATTTGTATCTTTTCCTTCCGGTTCGTCGTCATCGCCGTTCGTCAGATCTCTCGGAGGAGCCGCAGTGCTAGACCAGGACGATTTGATCTACTGTGGCGCTTCAGCTTCTAGTAGTAGATGAATGGAAATTGAGATTGCACATGGTTTGGAAGGCATCAGTAAAAGTCATCCTGTATTGGCAAGGAGAACCTGGGTTATAAGAAAGTCACATCAGCTAACTTAATCGGAGATCGCTCATGTCCGGAGGTGTGGCTTGCTGCTGAACACGGGGATTCGCGCGCGGGGTCCGTTGCCATTTCGTCTCAAAACTACAATGGAAAACCGGGGGGACGGCTGTCGCGGCTATTTTCCTGGTTGTCTCGGATCATCGCAGGTTGGGAGCATGATTCGTTTGAGGTTCTGAACTTGACTCATCCTGGCTTCATTGCCCCTGGTCCACGTGAAACTTTGCAAGGCAACCCTGATGGGAATCTACGCAGCCCTTAACATGTCCTATACAGAACCCTGATTGTCTAATAATAAATTTCAATTAGGTTTTTGGTGGCATTGTCTTGGCCTCCACTTCAGTGACCTGCCATCCCAAGATCAGAAGATGTGTCCTCTGGTATTTAAGGCTGACTCCACATCATGATGCTGTGGAGTCTTAGGAGAAGCAAAGCGGCATCAGGCTTTAATCATTGGTGTTTTGAACGTACCAGGGGCCGGAAACCTTGGGGTTCAGAGGCTTGAATCGATTTCGATTAGTTCGCTTTTGCTGTTCATTGGCATATAGGCGAAGGCAGTCTCGCGGGGTCAACCTGTCTAGTGGCCTGCAAAACCTTCTTCTCTTAGATCTGGTACATAGTGGGTCTTTGACAGCTCTCATCTCATGATAATTTCATTTCCACTCTAATCATCAAAAGCTTGTTTCTCGTGTGCGAGACCGACCTGTCGGATCCGGATGGGACCCGGGCCAGCCCCATAGGTCGGCGCCCTTTTTTGAACATCGCCCGCTCACTAGACGAACTGCATTAGGCATCGGCCAAGTCCTGGCTCCTGACAAAGTTCTCGAACGTGCTCTGTTAGCAAGAGCCTGATCAACGCCCAATGTCTGTGAAAACAAAGGTTTAGCAGAAATTTGATAAAACGGAACTTGAAGCAGATTTCATGCTTGACCTTCATAGCTACCAAGGACCAGCGCTTCATTCAAAGCAACCAACTCAATTTTGGCCCTGTAGTTGGTCGATTCGTCGATTAGGCCTCTCTTGAGAAAAGTTTAATTGGTTCAAGTTGTGACACGTATAAGAACGTGTTGAAGGCGCCCATTTTTGCTTTAAAAAATATATGCGCCGCTTCTTGACCATTTCTCCGCTTTTGAAAGGTTAGTTATCTAGCCAAATCAACTACCTCAAGTTTGGCATCAAAGTTGGTTGGTTGTTAGAGTTGCTTTGAGTGAAACGCTGCCAAGAATTTTGTTCTCTATAATGCACTTCTATATGCAAATCATAGATCAACTTCTAGCTTGCTACTTTAGTGTTTATTCTGACGTCTGGCATCTGGAAGTTAAGAGCTAAGTGACTTCAAGGTGCTTTGCGTGCTGTTGGTCATTAATCATGAGCACACTGTACAGCGCTCAAGGGTGTATTAAATCGGGAAAATCATCCTAACTGGAATAACTAGACAGTCCGGCACCAAGGTTCAAATTGCCCTCAACTTATCACACGCGACCACGACTTAGATCACGTGGCTAAGGTGCTTGTTTAATCAAAGCAGTGTAGTTTGAGAAACATGTGTTTTCTTGTCTGCTGCATTGCTTGTACTGTCCAGAAATCCGGGCTTGGGCAACCAAGCTTAGTTTTTTTTCTCGAAGGAGATATCGGAGACACCCTTGGTAGTAATAGCCTTGACTCTGCTACCGCTCATATCCTCTCTATCAAGAAGTTTCTCATATAAGGGGGCAAACTCGGCACAAGTGGTCACGCAGTGTCCAGCCCATGCCTTCTTGGTTTTCTTGTCGGCTTCAAACTGAACTCGATAGGCGAGGTAAACCTCGTTCAAGCGGATGTTTGTCTTTTCATTCTCCCGAGACGCGGCGATGGCCAAACTGAAAAGAGTACCCTGCGTCACCACAGTCGGTATTCCCAGCCCTGCAAACACCCGCTAATTGTCCGATGTCCCACTCGCCCATGGTCGGACGCCGTAAGAAAGCTCGTGCTTATTAAATAGAGCGAACAGACTTTGAAAAGCACGGCACAATGTAAGTCTCGAGTTATCGCGTTGGTCTGTTGAGTCTTCATGGCTCAAGAGGAACCTCTGGCTACTTGGCCATTTTCTAAAAGCTTTTTTAGTGTCAAGAAAGAAGCATATGAAGAAATTTGTCTTCAGATGTAGTGACGCTTGATTGGTAGAAGGTTACGATAAAACATGTACGTTGAGAGCTAGTTCACGAGTCTTCAAGCATAAAGATGATATAAACTAGATGGTATCACAATCTTTTCAATGAGAGAAATACTATATGGAGCTTCATGACTATCTGTTGAGGCTAAATACGATATATTTTTGCCTCCTTTGTAATTTTCCATCATTTCTCAACTGAATTCCGTCTTCATTTTGATGCTAGGCTCCAACGGTATATCACTGTTTGTACTCCTTGTTCCCGATACCTGTCGCCGACCGGAACAAATCATTATATTGGGAATTCGAAAGCGATACAACTAGAGTGCATGCTAGATGTAGCTATGCCTGGAGGGGCCGGAGCAGCTTGTTGGGGTAGTATCGTAATTTCGAGTAAAGGAATAGAGGGACATTGCCCTTGGCAAAGCCACACTTGCTTCATAGATGCCGAGGAAATGTACGAGATTCATTCAAAGGGCCGTAATGCCGATAGTGCTTCTTTGACACGAGTTAGACTAGCTGAATTCTGTTGTAACTCACGGCTCCATGAATGAGATGAACATAGAATTAAGATCAGATTCGAAACCCCCTAGAGAGATGGCACATACGATACCGAAGGCGGTCGCACACGTTGATTTTCATTAGCAAAGTTGGGTTTCCTATCCGCAGGTTACATCCCTCATTGGATTAAGGGAACGAGAGTTTCATAAACTCATGATTCGGTATCCTGGGTATGATTACCTTTTTCTAGAATGGTATCTCGATCTCCAGGTAACAGCGAGCGGCAGAAAAGAGGAAACCAAATTATACAGGCCTAAATATGCTGGACCGACCACGATTCGGAAGTTCTTGATAATATCTAAACAAGGAGCATTTGGCCTGAGGACCCTCTTCTCGTGGCTTAGCAAATGAAAAATTCCATCTTTTTTTTTTTTGCAGGCTCCTGCCCGGCATCAGAATCAGCTCACGCCATTGATGACAGGAGAGTGGGATATCCTTCTTGTGTGATTTCACGCAGGTAAGAGATTTATCATACCAATCTCGCTACTAAGTATCCATGGCCATCTTCTCTGCTCCCTCCCTCCGCAACGGCAGCATCCAGCAAGCCGTCAACGGCCAAAAGCAGCTGTGACCCTACCCACCCAATGTGAGCAGTGGAAATGTCCAGGGAACTCTCATCATCGTAGCGGTTCGTCCCGACTTGATTAGGTCCAAGAGGTGATTTCCTGATTTGTTAGGAATGAGGTATCGAGGTTTGCCATGTACAGCGTAATGGCCTCACGAATCATTGCCGCCATGTTGGGCATCGCGCGGGCGACTTGGCCGTGGACTGGTCTCCCAGTATAAACCTTCCTGTTGCCAATTGGTTTGTGGGTACGCCAGCCATGATACTGAGAACCAGCTTGCCTCTTGACTGGCTTATGTTGTGGCGGGTAAGAATCCCCTCTACGATGGCAGAGCTTATTAATTCTGGTATCGACTAATCAAGTTTGGACATTATGAGAGTTCCAAGTCGGAGAAATGAGCTGACCGTAGCTATTGATAGATATTAACAATGACGTGGACGTCGTCATGGTGTTAATGAGATTGCGAAGAGAAGACCCCAGACGTGAAAGGGTTTACAACAAAAGCCACAATCGGATTGTCGAATCAATCAACGTACTGAGTGACCGGCCACAAGTGATGATTTTTGAAGCATTGCGATCCCTTTCCTCTGAGGCAAACACTTGGGCTCTGCTCAGATCTCGGGTCGCTGGTTCATCGAGAGCTACTAGAAGATTTCCCGTCTGTAAATATTCAACTCTACGGATCCTGTCATGGAACATCAATGAGTGTAGACCTTTTGGTCAAGTTCATTATTACTCCACATCATTTGCTTGCAATGAGTATGTAAGTGGTACAACTGCCGACGACGCTCTAGCACCCCACCAACTAAGAACAGCATGGCTTCATCACATACACGAAGACGTGTAATCTTTCGCATTGGTCACATTGGGCAAGAACCAACTAGAGAGGCGCTAGAATGTCAGCTGAAAATTTACGTCTAAGCCGTGCTAACAAGAATGAACGCTGATTCAGCGGCATCGGCCACGACTTTTGTGCGTGCAAGTTTGTTTGGACAGTCGGCCTGAACATCATTTGCATAGTTTTTTGCCGTACAAAGTCGGCGCGAGCCATCTAGCATGCGGAGCCCGGGATGATGAAGACTGAGAGATGACAACAAAATTCTCAAAAGTGTGCCGAACAACCCGAAACATACGTTTACAGGATCCCAAGCACACGGGAGGGCCGCTCATTGAGTCGACTCCGTGGGCTAGAGCAGTCGACCTGTCTATTCGGTAGGGTATCATCGTTTGAATATGACGATGTCTTACTTCCGATTGGATGATGTGTATTCGGGAACCACGGACTGGCATCTTTGAAGTCGATCAGATTCGAGCATACAAGCAGCCTTTCCGATGTCCAATGATCCCAAACTGCTACACCTTGACCACCATGTCGTCCTGTGGTATCGAGGTTGAGCAAGCTATCGGTACCTCGAGCCGTAAACCAACAGTTTTCAGGCGAATTGCACCCAGGTAGTTGGAGTAGTCCACCACAGCACCAGGATGTGGTGCTCCGAAGGCCTTCCCCCACGAGTTTCACACATTTGAAAGACCCAAAAGCACAAGGTCATGCATCGAACTAATGGCAGATGCTGAGTCATTAACCTTCGGCCTGTGCTCCATACATATAATCAAATAGATTTGCCCTGCTTCTACTTTCGAATCACCTGAACCTGCAGAAACCCCGACAACACTTAGCTGGTCTAGGCTGTCGCGCTTAATGGTCAAGGCACTTCTTTCGGCACTTCCAATAATCCATCAGAAAACGCCTGGGTGAGGTGAATTGTCTGCCAATTGGACCATGGTGTGTTCAGCGCATCGAGCTGCTGTCGACAGCCTAGCGTCGGCTCCTAGGGAGGACTTGTTCGCTTGGCCGTTTTCATCCGCGCGCGTGGAGTGGCTAGACCAGACGAGATTGGTCCTCACCTGAAAACCTCACGCGGAGGTATCTCGGCAAAGTTCGAGGCGTTCCGCCAGGGCGCTTTTCGCGCGCGTGTTTCTTTGCAAGGTTGGTTCAGAGTGAAACGGCAGCTGAGGACTTTATTTGTTCAGGTATCACCATGTATAGCGTAGCCATAGCTCTATCAAAAGCTAGACTTTGGCCGCAAACGTGCTGCGTGGTTGCAGGTATCAGCCAATACCGCAATAATCGCAAAGACATGAATGAGTACTTTGCCGAGGAACAACAAAGCTCTTTGAAAGAATGTCTGGAGGTTGGGGGTGTGATATCCCCCGTCTTTCTTGATGCCGGCAATATGGTGCCGATTTGGATGTACGGGACTATTGTTAATTGGTCGACGTCGACTCCTTGAGAGCGGTGATGAGATGATTGGTCATCCCAATGTAATGCTGGGATGACGGCTTGACCCTAGCTCGAGTGACAGGCTTCATGAGAGCCTGTCTCGGGCTGTCTGCCACATGAGCTAAACTTCACCTTGCCGCATTTAGGCCTCTCCCCATCTTTCCCCGCATTCTCTCCCCTGTCGCGTGGGGATAGAGTTCAACCTAGTGGTTCGGCTCTTGATATCTGAGCAAAAGGCAGCTGCCGCGACGACATGCCGAATGTTTGAGGTTGGTCGACCCAGGATCATGGTAACACTAGCCGCGTACTTGTACAATCGATAGGTTGTAGTTGCATATTTCGTCGGTAATATTGCTGTGCAGGTCGACGCTGATGTCTTCATTTATTGCCCACGTCCTCGCCTGTGTCACGCCCGATTCCATTGCGCTCCTATGATCTTTGATCGAATCATTCTCCAAATACCAACCCGCGAGTAGACAATTCAACAACATGGCCAGAGATACGGAGAAGACGGCAAGTCCAACATATCTCGCGAATGACTTTTCGCTAACAAAGATCTTGTAGACCCGCGAGGAGATTGAAGAGGAGCTTCACATCGAGGTGGTGCCTGGCACCGAGGTCATGGCCGATGTCTTGAAGCATCATCTCATCAAGAGCGAGCACTCTACAGTGGTGCTCGTCCCTCAACCCTCGCAGGATCCGCACGACCCTTTGAATTGGAAGGCATCTTGGAAGTGGACCACCTTGGGCGCTATCTCGTTGATGACCTTTTCCCAAGGCTTTGCCCCATTGTCTCTTGCACCCATGTTTCCATACCTCATCCGAGACTATAACAGCAGCCTCGAGGATGTCATTCAGTTCACGGGCGTGACTATTCTGATACTTGGCTTCAGCAACTTCATCTGGTGAGACAATACGATGCGTTTCTTCTTCGCCATGGCTGACTCTTGCAAGGGCTCCGATCTCGTCCTCGTTTGGTCGACGCCCCGTCATGATTATTTCTCAGCTCATCTGTCTCGCATCCCATGTCCTTCGAGCAAAAGCGACCACATATGGCTCGTTCATGGGTGCTTGCGTGTAAGGTTTACTTTTCTAGACACAAATTTCCATGCTAACAGCACGTGCAGCCTCAATGGTATCGGCGCCGGCCCCACTGAGATTCTGCCACCGCAAGTTATTGCTGATATTTTCTTCCTGCACGACCGTGGCGGCTGGAACACACTATACTGGGTTGTTTACATGGGCTCTTTGATGGCAAGTTGATCGCAATCAGCAAGCGTTCCTGACTAACCTTGTTAGATTGCGCCAGTCGTTTCAGGACCGATGGCTGATCACGTTGGATGGCAGAACTTTTGGTGGCTCAACGTGGCCCTGACGGGTGCCTCCATCGTCTATGGATTCTTCGGCTTCCCCGAGACGAGGTGGATTCGTGCTCAGTCGACCCAAGACACCGTCACGATTGAAGTGGCAGAGGAGACCACGAACGAAGTTCAGCCAACGGAGATGGACCCGTACCTGGGCAGAGGAACACCCTCGAAGCAGCAGTGGTACCTGTTCCAGCGCAACGCCTCGCCTCTCAAGACCATCTGGTTCGACCTCTGGACGCCCTGGAGGCTTTTTGGATTTCCCATTGTGGTATTTGCGTCTGTTGTTGTGACCTGGAGCTGCAGCAACTTTCTCATCCTGAACCTCACCCAGTCTCAAGTCTTTGCTGCACCTCCTTACAACATGAGCTCACAGTCCATCGGTAAGCCCAACAAAAACCTTCATTCTCGGCTTGATGGATCCCCCCCAAACTGACTTTTGTAGGCTTTACCAACCTAGCTGTATTTGTCGGTGCGCTGATCGGACTCGTCACCGCCGGGCCCTTTAGTGACTGGGTATCTGCCCGCGCCACGGCTCGGAACAACGGCATCCGCGAGCCAGAGATGCGTCTTCCCGCCATGATTCCCTTTGTTCTCGTCATGGTGTTTGGCAACATCATCACGGCTGTTGGGTATCAGAATCACTGGGCCTGGCCGATCATCGTAGTCCTCGGCTATGCTAGCGCGGGCATCCAGGTGGCTGCTCTGCCCAGCATCGCCAGCACCTATGCCATTGACTGCTACAAACCCGTGACTGGCCCTCTCATGGTCGCCACCACGGTATATAAGAATGTCTGGGGTTACGGCATGGGCAAATTTATTACCCCTTGGACGGTCAAGGCTGGGTAAGTCGAGTGTGTCTCTCTGATGCGATGGCGTATACTGATGATGTGAACAGTTTCATTCCAGCATTCATGACCAACATGGCGTTGTCCGTCTTTTTCTGTGCTACCGGGATAATCTTTTACTTTTATGGCAAGACGTTCCGCAGGTGGACTAGGAATAGCAGCGTTCACAATCTGTAGAAGCCAAGGAAACTGTCGCTAGAAATGGTGGCGTGGCGCAGGCTCTGCAGACTTTAATGATCAATAAGCCACTCAATTTTGGCGGCTTGCTGAATTTTAACCTTAACGTAGGTATATCGAGTGGTGGCCTGTGTTGGCTTCTATACAATGGATGCGAATAGAAATCAAATACAGCCCTAACGGACGGGAACAAAGCAAACGAAACCGCGAAACGCTCTCGATTTGTTCTCGTATTGGCCTGCTTTAGATTTTGCCTTTGTGCAAATACAGCGAGAATCATTTACAAGAATTTGAACGCTACTAATGGTTGAGCTGGCGAGCTTTGCAAGGGAAGGTGCTACAACTGTTTCAAACGAGCAACTATTCGACGACTGGGCTTGAATAGCAAGTAATGAATCCGATAGGCTAGAGATCATGCCAATGTTTCTGATTGCTCGGAATCTGTGTCGTCATAGTCGCTGTCATCCTCTGCTTCCTCTTCTCCGTCCTCTTTATCCATGTTAGTGTCTTCTCCCGAATCAGGAGGTAGTTGGCTCATCAATCCAGCGAGAACTATGTTGAGACCGGTCTTTAGCTGCGGGTTTGGCGTCGAATCGATGCGCTGCTTCAACTCGGCAATTCTTGCTTGAAGCTCCGCCTTATTCTTTTGAGCCACATCAACTTCCTCGTCGGATTCATCCACCTCGGCTGCCTCTTCCCTCTGAATGCCCTTTCCGAAAGCCTCTTCAAAGGCGTCAGCCATCCCAGCGTCCTTGATTGCGAAGATAACTTCTTCGATTCCGCTCCACGTCTCTCTGTTCCCCTTTTTTTTACCCTTTCCGTCGTTCCTTGGCAGCAGCGCCTTCTTCCACGCCTTGGCCACTTCGGCAACTGGGTTTCCATATGCGCCACATCCCCACGCACCGAGCACGATCTTCTTAATGCCTCTGCGCTGGCATATCCGCAGCACAACCTTCATTTTTTCCAGAATGAGTTGTCTGTCCTTTTCCTGCACGTAGTAGCTGAACCCGGACTCCTCGTCTCGTTCAATTTCCGGATTCCGCAGCATAGCAGCGCTGATGCAGTCCACGAACCACCGGTCTTTCTTGTCCAACACGTCGTCCGAATCTTCATCTCGGAAAACCAATACATCTGGTGTGTAAACAGCGCCGAGCTCCGGCAGACGATAGTACTCGTCTTTGAGAGATGGTAGCAGCGTCGTCCGCATGCACAGCGACTCTTCCTGGCTGCCGGCCCCATTAACGAAGCCACCACCGGGCGTGAGAGGCGAAGCCATGTTGAGAATTGCAACCCGTGTCTCCTTGTTGCTTACATCGACCGGACGATCCGGGCCCGAGTTCTCAGTCACCAACGCGTGAGCGGCTGTGAGGGTGTCGGCTACTTGAAGTCTGATAAGGACCGGCGCACTGCTTTGTGGGGCATCAGCGCCTTCTGGCGTGGAGGAGAAAGACTCCTTGGCCGCTGGCTTCGGCTCGAGGATAAGCTCAGCGGAGTCGATTCCACGACGGGCTCGCGGGTGCGTGGGGAGTAGCGATGGAATGAGTTGATTGAGGGTGGCCTTGGCCTTTTTGGCTCGGGCGGCCTTGCGGAAGGCCGCCGGTGGTTGTCCAACAGATGGTTGCGTTCTGCCCATTATTTATACGATCAGGGAAATACCACCTGCGCAGATGAAATTATATCAATGGCGTGCTCTTGGTAAAGGATATCTCGAGCGCGTCTTGAAGTCCCGCCTTTTAACAGGAAATGGTTGCAGTGGGGCTAGAAGGCACCTTGATGGCCCAAGGGCAATTTGCTGCGTTTGTGTCAGACTAACAGGCGTCGTTTCACTCTACCAGACTTTTCCGTCTCGTAAGCCTCGAGCATTGATCTGTAGAGGAAGCGAGCAGGTTGACGATGACGAGAGACTTTACCCCGTCATGCCCGTGCCATGGTTTTCACTCTTAACGTCTGCTTCAGGTGGCGCCAGCTGGTGATGCTGTCATCCTGCACAGCCAACCACAGCTGATGAATGGCCAAGCCGTGACTTGCATGAGGTGTAAGGTGATGGATATTTCAATTTCAGCTGCGTTTATGAGCCGGGAAGACATTCATCTGCTTTCATGTCTTCTATAAGGCCATTTGATTAGCTGATAAACTTGCGCAGTCGGTGCGGACTTTACTCAACCCTCAATGTGCTCGCGGTAGCTTGCCACCGTATCACAGCGAAGCCACGGAGACCCACCCGAGAAACATTCGCGACAAGGACGTGACGCTCACTCAATCTCATCAACTTTCATTCAACCTCACTCATCTCATCGCTCAACCACCTTTCCTGGAAAAGAGCATAGACACCACTCAATTTTTCATTGCGACAGCCGCCGTTTCCATCATCATGGCGTCTCTCCAGGAGCCCCAGCGCGTCGCCGAGATAATGCTGGCATGGCTAGGTCTAGAACTCGTCTCCCTCACGGAGCTCCAGACTCTCTGGGCAGGCTACGGCCACATCTGCGCCTTGACTGCAAAGCTTTCCGATACCAATGGCGCCGCCAGCGCGAACCGACAGCTGCTGCCGGTACGGGCAGAAGGAGACGGCACATATCGCCTCATCATCAAGCTCATCTCACCACCCCGCGTCAAGGGATCGGACGAGGGCCACCTGCGCAAGATGCTGAGCTATGAGGTTGAGCAGTACTTTTATCAGGAGATTGCACCAAGGCTATCAGATGACGTGGCTGTCGCAAAGTGCCTCGCTTCCACTCTCGATACGGAGAATAAGACCCGCAAGGACGAACTTCAGGGTCTCACTGCCACCATCATCACGGACCTTCGACCCGAGTTTCCTGTAGCCGGTGAAAAGAGGCTGGTACTCCACCGCAAGCAGGTCAATGCCGCGCTGGACTGGCTGGCAAAGTATCACAGCAGCTCTTGGGCTTCGCTCCCGGATGATCTTGGGCAATTCGTGCTGCCCCCGCTGGAAGAGGCAAAGCGAAGAGAGGCTGGTGCTGGCGTCGCGCAGCCCAAGATGTGGCTGAATGGAGGTTACACCTACCTCGCCACCAGACGGAAGGAATATGGATCGCTGTGCAGAAATGACTATTCCGAATGGTCTTCGGCATTTTGCGACCCCGTCGAGGGTTCATTGTCCTCAATTGCCGAGCTGGTTGCCGATTTCCTCACACCATCCGGCAGGCCCTTTGAGACATACATCCACGGGGACGTCAAGTCCGAGAACCTCTTCACCACCAAAGCCGGTGACAAGGTGGCATTCTTTGACTTCCAGTACGCAGGGTTGGGCATTGGCGGCTGTGATCTCGCCAAGCTGTTCACCTGCTCGGTTCCCGTGGAGATGCTCACTCATCACGAAGATATACCAGAGCGGCTCGATATGGACAAGGGCGAGAGAGCTCTTCTAGAACAATATAGAAACACCCTCTTGGCTCAGAGGCCATCAGGAAAGGGGCCCGACGAGTACGGTTGGGATGAATTTGTGCGACACTGGGAGAGTGCCTTGGTCGATTGGTGCCGCTTCCAGGCATCTTGGGGTTTCTGGGGAAATACAGAATGGCTCGAAGCTAGAGTTAGATACATTCTTGCCGACCAAGATTGGCGGGACTGGCTGAAGAAGGAGGCGCTTCGGCCATAGAGGCAGACTTAAAAGGTTATTGATCTTCAATAGAGTAAAGAGAACCCATGACCAAGTTAGAATTCCCGCCGCGGTCTTGAACAGTGGATACTCGGTAATTAATCAGGGGCGCTTCAGCTTGCGCTCCCTATTGCAATTAGCACTAAATGGACAACCTGGACCGCTTAGTTGAGACTTGATAAACTGCTCATAAGACTTGTCCAGGGCCTTTGTCTCTTCTTTTCTCTTCCGTGCTTCTACCTCTGGCAAAGTCTCCAACTTTTCGAAAAATGATATTTTGGGATCAGGCACCAATATCTCTGTGACTATGAACACCGTTCTGACTCTGAAGACAATGATGGCTGCTAGTATGGAGTTGGCCGGCTCGATAAGGAAGGTCTTCAGGGTAGTGGGTAGAGACAGAGTACGAGGAAACGCCATGCCGAACCAACGCAGGCCGGGAGGAAAATATCGATACGCAAAGAGGTTTGAAATTGGAGAGCCCAATATAGCGAGCTTTCTCGTTGTACGCTCGAGGGGTATTCTCATTCGCCTCACAAAAAGCGACACACCCATCAAAATCTGCTGGGAAGTCCTCCACAGGCCCACTGCCCTCCACCCTGAACAGGGGGGCCATGTCCCTCCAGAAGTGGCGAGCGGCAATCATCTGCTTTTCCGTAAACCCAGAGAGACCGAGCCGTATTCTCAGACGGTGCATCAAGACAGCGCTGAATGTGAGAGTGTAGACGTAGTCCCCATTGTGGGAGAACCTTCCAGGGTACTGTCGTGTGAGTCCAGCGTGCAGCTGGTTAATTCTCTCAAGAGCGTCTCGGCAACGTTGATCGCTGGGACCGTAATACCACGACGACATGTTGTAGTGCTCCACTCGACCGATAGCTTTGTGGACGAATTTGCCGCCGTCGGAGCGCCAGACCACTTCTGCTCCCTGCATGGGAATGATAAAGTTGGGGAAGGTGAGGGTGTAGACCAAGTTATTGGCAAAGTCGGAAAGATGGTAGCTTGAAGTTAGACGCCATATCAGCTCGTAGTCTGTTTCAGGGTCCATGGTGCCGATAGCCCTCGAGATCCAGTGAACACCGTCTTGAGAGATTTTGGGATTCAGGGGTTTCATAATTGCAGATGTTGTGATTTTGATATCGAGAGTAAGGGGTAAGCTGATGCCTGTTCTGTTGCCAGGCTCAAAGGGCATTCTCATTTCATCTTATATCATATATGATAGAGCTCATAACCTCCGCCTCCGGGGACTTAGGATTTAGGTTACTCATCATTCAGATCAACTCCACGAGCCTTGGCGACGGATATGTCATTCGTCCCGACCCCCGAGACCGACGCACCCCGCAATGACTGCGGGGGCTTCCCGAAACTTGAAAGAGACTTTCGACCCAATTCCAACGTCGCTCGGGTTACAGGCCAGGTCGTAACTTCTCGTCGTTTGGGTGGATGTCTTTGTCGACAAGCTCGGAATTCCGAAGACCCTAATTGAAGTAGTCATATAACCACCCAATTGCTTCCCAGAAAATCCATAAGAGGTGTTCGGATGTTTCTTTGACCAACCTCGCCCACAAATCTGATGGATGAGAGAAGTCAGCCCTTAACATACTCTTCTTAATCTGAAGATGGTACTTCCTGAAGATGACTTTGTAACATCCAAAAATCCGACGAAGGGTACTGCTTATTCTTTAGCAGCATACGAGGAAGTTCATGTCCCAAATCTGAGTGGCACCAGTAATGATAATCCTTGTAAGGGTCATGACTGCCAGAATATTTAGGTGTAGGAATCGCCGCCCCCCTTCCAGTCAGCGTGCACCTGGTCTTACTAATCCACTCTCGCCGTGCTGTTCCTCGAAGAAATTACAGACAGGGCTGATCTAGATTGCCATTTGAGGAATGAGAGTCTTCTGGAAGTAGAGACAGCTGTTCTCTAAGATCAAAAGCCATGACAGGTGACTTAATTTATTGCGGAGATTCCAAAGAATCCATGGCAGAATCATTTTACTAACCACCGTGATTGGAGACAGAAAAACAGCTTCAAAAGATTTGCTGCTTGATTCAAACGCGAGCTTGCCCTGAGCTTCAAGTCAAGACACGAGCCTTGAATCCCCGACTCACCTAGATATTGACTGCGGGTGATTGCATTGAGCCCTAATAGGAAAACGTAGCCAATTCACTGGAGTACCCCGGCTCGATTTGACCTGTGACCGTATCTAATCACACGAAGTTCGTTCAACTTTGAATTGGTCTCGTTCACTGAAAGATTAGAAAGCAAAAGTAGTGTAATTTAAAGCTGTTGAAAGCTAGCAGAGCCAAGCCTTGGCCGCGAATCGAACCTAAAATGTTACCTAGGACTCATGAAATATCCTCCTTCCTTCACCATGTCTGTAATTAGACTAGTACCGTGATCCCGAAAGTTGTTCGACTCTCCAGCTCACGAAGTAAAACTATTCTTTCCTTACAAAAGACCAGAGATGGGGATGCAAGGAAGCTGAACAGCAACGAGACCAGAAGCCTGAAGTCATGAAAGTCAGCAAGGTTCTGTTCATCATATTTTCATCAGTAGGTACTTACGGTGTTGCCGTCGGACTTGCAGCAGGCCACGCTCTGCTTGCACTGGCTATTAAACAGGTCATTGGCAACTGATGAACGTTAACATTTCGATAACCAAAAGATAGGTATGCAAAAGCTTACTCCCAGCTCCAATGGAGGAGCATCCGTCGAGAAGGCTCAGGCCACCATTGCCGAGGAGGCCACCCAGGATGCCAGAAAGGATTCCGGATCCGGAGTTGTTGTTGACGTTGGTGTCGGCACTGGCCTTGTTGCAGCAGCTGACGCTGAGGTCCTTGCCGCAGATGTTCTGGGCTTCACTGTAGGTGAGCGTGTCGGTGGTTCTCTTGGCCGGGACAGTGTTGCCGGGAGCGGCGGCCACGGTAAGGGCCATGGCAATGGAAGTGATGACGGCGGCGGAGAACTGCATTTTGAAAATATTGAGATAAACTTGAAGGTGGCTTTTTTCTTTTTTGGAAGTGTTGGATGATTCTGATTGAGAAGGATGAGAGTGACTAAAGAGTAAGTAGACGATGATGAGATGAGCTTGTTGAGTGTAATGATAAACGGGTGAGAGAAATCCTCAATACGAACGACGAAAGCTCTTTATACATCCAGACCGGCCCAGAGTGGACTTGGAGCTTTGATCTTGAGACTAATCCATTCAAGGTACACAATAAGAATGATAGTTGATATTGCTCAGGTCTCGTGGAATTAGAGTAGCTTAGCTCTGCACTGCGTGCTCTCAACATTTCGGTAGTAAAAGATTCTAGACGACAGAACTGTCAATGATCTTCATTGCGCCGAAGGATTCATTCTAGTCATTCTGATAACTCATTTCATCATCATACCATGGGTTGAAGTCTACTCCACTCAGCAAGAGACTTGCATCCCTTGCCTTCAATCCACATATTGGCATTCTCCTCTCATCAATGTATCCAAGGCCTCCCAAGGGATAACCTGAATATGCCGATCGCCTGCAGGACCATTTTGGAGTATATGCCTAGCTATGCAAACAGAATTACCATCCATTGAGAGGCATGTCAAAGCGCAGGGATTGATGCCGAAGTCTACACCCCACGTCTCATTTCCACCAAATATCATCACCTTGGACTTTTGACAAAGATCTTAACGACGGCCGCTAAGACTTCCTTATAATGCACTTGAGAATCAATACACAATAGACCGGCAATCGTAAAGATCGTTTGTAATGCAACCAGCATATGTCACAAGTTTTCGTACATCTTGCATAGATAGCATTTACAGTATGATAACGGAAATACAATATCCTATCGTCCTTTTACAGCTGTGCAGATCAGTGCACTCAAGATATTTGTAAAGCTCTATGAAAACTGACCGATGCCTGATAAGTCTTCAAGGCTTACTAAGGTGGACGTTGGACTCTGTTCGTGTCATTGCTTCCCTAATTGTCAAAGTTCTCGGTGCTAAATCTTCGCGATAACGCATTCGGTCTACAGCTTTCTTTTTAAGGTAGGATGGGGCTCACAGCATCCTTGAAGAAATGCCTGATCTAAGCGATCTGGGGACTGGCTCTGCCGAATGCGTCGAGAGATCCATTCCTAGAGTTGTCGATCTTAGTGTCTCGACTCTTCAACGTCTGTTCGGAATGGATGTGCACGGATTCCCAGTTACCGCAGGGCGTTTAAGAATGTGTTATTGAGCGCCGGCTTATCGGATCCGGACCTCCTCGGCGCAGAGTCAGAATTCTGCATGAACCAGGTTCCGTCAGCCAGGGAGGGCAAAGATCTGCGCTCTGTCCCTTATGACAACGTAGGAGAAGCTGCAATCTGACTCTACCGTTAATCCCATTGAAGTCAGGCCGGTTTCCATTATTTGGCCTAATTTATGCGGAAGAAGAGGTCCCATATTGATGAGTTTGCAGTTTGGTTACCCTAGATAAAACATTTTTTTCGATTGGCCGAATGGTGTCTCCCAGCCATATTTGGGTAAAACTGCCTCACTTGCCGTTAGAAACGGAAATCGGGGGAGCAAAGATTCATGTTCAACACAGTCGATGACTTAAAAGGGACGGTCCTCCTGGAGACGGTTGAGCTTAGCTTCTAAATGTAATCATGTATTCCCCCTCGCAGGGCCTGAATTTTTGAGCGGCATTGGAGGTCAACCGAGCTTACTAAAGCAGACTGCTAGAGTGTTCGGTAGAGATCGTTGCATGTGATCCTGTTGAAGGCCAGCCCACAGGTTGAAAGTGTCGACAGACGGCAGGCAGCCGGTTTCCTGAAAAGCGAACTTCCGAATCATTCCCAACCTCACAGTCATGAGAACAGGGCGTGGGGGCCATGAGCTGAGCGGAGGGTTTCCGCCGCATGTCGGCTGTGTTTACGTCCGTAGCTATGCCGCCCATGTGCATTGGAAGTTCTTCTTATCTTCGGCAGTTCCAATCAAGATACTCTGCAAACACGGAGTCTCCCCTTTCCGTGCTCGTTCCATGGAATTGGTGTGCCGTTGTTGTTGCCTCCAAATACCAGCGGTCTCCCGCACATGGGGCCCCCGCAGCTACAGGAATAACGAAAATTGAGCAGAGTGGGTATGTGAAACAATTGGGGATATGTCTTTCGCTAGCTCATATCTGATTGTGGCTCAGTCGTCGCGTTGGTAAGATATAACCCAAGTCAGATAGATTCCTTCGACTCCTTTCCATACTGCCGCAGTTCCTCCCGAATCAAATCCCAGGTTTCCTGCCTTAAGAAACCCTGAACCCAGTAGTTTCCAAGTTCGTCTTTACCATAGATCATAAATGCGTCGCGGGTCTTGTCATTGGCGTTGAGGGTGGTACCCCAAAACATGACTGGTCTATCCCCTTGCGCCGCACTCGCCGCAGAGTGCCCCACCCTAGCGCAGACCTTGTCTTTGCCCACGTCGCCCGAGGCAGCAGAGCTGCTATCGGCGGCATCCAGAAACTTGGCCTTGGTCCAGTTCGAGCAGGCAATCATTCGGGAATCCCACCTCGCGAACAGGGGTATCGTGCCCAGAGTCGAGAACCACTTGCGTGCGAGGCGCATGAGTCTGCGCGTTTGCACGTCGCCAGCCTGCTCCGTGATGGCTTGGCGAAGACGTTGAGCGATCTGTGCCGTTGTGGCAGTGGCTGCCTCCTGCCTGGATAGGATTGTCGTTGCTGGCAGCATCAGATTTTGTAGGTATGGGCCCGCGGGAGTGAACGTGTTTTCCAACCGCCGACGGACGTCAAAGACGTTGCAAATCACTGCACTGCCCCTCTTCCATGATCGTGATGACATGACAAGGCGAGAGCCCCAGGCTGTGATGAGGTCCCCGTCGCTGATGAACGGAACGACTCCACCGTTGTGTTCCTTGAGATCCTGCTCGACGCCTTGGCGCAAGTGCATCAGATAGTTGGCGGGCAGATAGATGTGCCGAGACTGTACATTCCGGCGAGTCAATATATCCCATACATAGCGAGCGATGAAAGATATCAAAGACAGACCACGGGTTTGCTGGCCTTCGAGAACGAAGTTCCCCTGTGAGACTTTCTTGTCAAGGTCTGTTCCGACGCTATCAAGCACATCGTAATGAATGCCCTGAAGAGGCTTGACGAGATGGCTTTTGCCCATCACGATGTTGGACCACGCCTTCAGCAGCTCTGATGTGCCCATGGCATCCGCAAGCGAGTGTGGAAAGGTGAACGCCACCAATGTAGCGTCTGCAAAGGACGTGATCTGGAGACATAGCAGAGGCTCGTCACTCTTCAAGTAGTGGCCGACATCTTTGGGCAGGTTCTCGGGCGCAGCGAAGACCTTGAAAGCGTGACTGCCCTCGTGCAGAGATGGTTTAGAACCTGTTGGTTTGGGCAATCTCGATGCTAGAGAGTGAGAATCGATGTCGATGTCGAGATAATCAATGTGGGAAAATCTCACAGCCGGGCGCGTTTTGCTGAAGGAGCGTGGCACATGAATCTCTAGCTTTCCTCCACTCTTTAATGTTGTAATCAGCACTGGAAAGGGGACAGTTTCTCATGACTGCCTCAATAATGGATGGAGCACTTACGGTAGCTCGGAGCCGACCTCCAAGTTTCTTCCATCCAGGCATATGAATCAGCTGGAGCAGACTTTCATGAAGCTTCCCTGCATCGAGAACTTTGTTGTAGCGAAATGTGAAGTTGAAGAGAAGATTTCGGACGATGGCAGCTTGGTCTATGAAGTGAATGGGCAGGACTTCATCTTCAACCTCGTCTCTTGCCAATTTAAGAGCTTCTTCTCTCATGATTCTTTCGTAGTTTCCCCTGCTAAATGAACTCTAGCTCTCGGAATCCTGTGAACACAATACTTTAAACCTGCAAAGCGGTATGATGGTCGTATTGGATGAAAGCAGCTTTTGTTCGTGGAAGAATGGACAGATATAGCAATGTATAGTTTCATTGTAAGCCAGACCTGGTTTGAGAAGGCCCTGCGATTTATATTGCCTCTTCGGGGTCCATGGGGGACTTTGGCATCCCCCGTGATCCATCCTCGGGCGGGCTGACTCTGGGGGCCAAAAGTCCAGCCTTGATACCATGTGGATATTCGACAGTAAAGTATCTTGACGCCATTTATGGAAAATGTCAGCCTTCCTTGGCCACATGTAATTTTTTCCGGAACCAATGGAGAACGAGATACGAGATGGGGCCTCTGGATGTGATGGTGTGATGGAGAGAATCCTTATTGGCGTTGCTACGAATTCCTCAATCAGATACATTCACAGGGCAAGGAATGTCTCTCCGAGCCTGATTCTGGTGTGTCTTTCCAATGCGATACCCCACCGACAGACACCACCTATTTGTTCTGCGCCGCATTCATTGCTCATCGATCATGCCAATGATTGCTCGGGTTTGCGAGTCACACTTTGGAGACTTCGGCCTCAGTTGAATCGGGAAAGAGAAGACAACATTTGCAACACTCTTCAGGAATAGACCCCATTTCACTATGACTGGCCTTGAAGGCGGAAATGAAGGCAGAAATGACGGCAGCCTCTGATGTCTCTTTTTCACGGATTTCAACGGGAATAATTTGGATCATTTCATTCTCAATACCACGGTAATACCTATCAATACTCACGAGGTACATTTTGAAAAGGGGAAGCCAGCCTTCGATGCGCCGGCACTTTGTCTCTGGCCATGGTCGTCAAAGGGAGTCCTACCAGAGAACGCTGCCCCCAAACTTTCCGTTGCCAACGCTTTTCTTGTTTCTTGCACATCCTAGATACTGTGTCTTTCTCTGTTTCACATCTTCCGTGTCTCCATTTCGTAATCATCTACCCTTAATTCATGAGTTGTTGGCTTCGTCAGAAGTATAGTGTCGTCGCCAGCGTAGGACTCGAAGCCCTTGATATTGTACTTGGCTGCAAGCGGGCCAAGCTCGATAAGCCCAGCAATAATGATACCGATGCTGACCTCAATTGCAGACCAGTTGAATACGGGGGCTGCGTCAACTGTAGTGTCTTATTAGCTTGTATCACGAACAGTGAAAACGTTGCCACTCACGGAGCATATCCTTCGATCCCTTGAGTTTGACCAGTGCCACAAGACGGATGATATTCGCAATCGTCGCGCTAGAATTTTGGTAAGCAGGCATATTATGGTAACCGCGGGAAGGACTTACAGTATCCCCAAGCCGAAGATCCCGTAAATGTAAATCTTCAGTCTCGAGTTCAGCCCTCGGCCTCTCATCATGATCCACGGTGAGACCATTAAAAGACCATCCAGGGTCGCCGTCACAATAGACAATGCGTATCCCATGTAAAGCTGACCCGAAAGTGGCAGGCAATGTCCCTGCGCTCCCGCGTCCAGCAACCTCCATGCGAAATCAATCGGCTGGCACTGCACGAGCAAGTAGATAATGAAGGCAAGGCTGATTGCCACATCCAAACCAATTGAGACCCAAAACAGAGAAGTTAGGATCCTCGAGCGCGATAGTCGAATAAAAGTCAGGGCAATGCTCCCTTTCATCGCAGAGGTGAGCACTACGTAGATGATTTCCAGGAAGAAGAGTACTTTTAGAGATTGGGCGATTCCGGGGAGTGTTGCTTGGGATAAGCTACCGCCGATGCCGCCCTGGACACCTAGAACCAGAAGAGCGTAAAGTGCTGCAAACGCGGCCTGCGGATGTCTTGTCAGTTGAGACGAATCGATACACGGGACAATGATGTACGGACCAGGGCAGTGAGGAGAAGATAGTCATTCGGTCGAACAGCTTTCGTGATGAAGACGCGAGTATACAGACGTAGACCGACGAAGAAGGTGTTGAGAGCCATCAATATCGCCCCCACCACGATCATAACGAGGCCCTGTTCCGAGGTCGCCATCTTGACGGTAGGGAGTAGGTGTACTGAGAAGAAAGGGAGCGAATGGTGAATGGTTTAGCGATTGTGACCGGCACACATGAATGTCTGGCTTGCTGATAAAATCAGTAGACTGCCGATACGAGGGATGAATTGTATAAGACTGATCGAAGTGCCGATGCTTTCGCGAAAAGGCGAACGGACAGATTTTCAGTGGCGATAGTTCGAAAAGGCAGTTTCTGACATGAATCCACAGCACCAAATACGAATCACGGCTACAGCACAGACCAAGGATGTGGCACACAAAGGGTCCCTTCCAAGATCAGCAATCTGGGGCTGAATAGCATTCGTATTAAAGTATCGGAGCTCGCATGGTTTCGTGTGGTGTTTCAAGACCTGAAGAAATGGGAAACCAAGAAGCTTCCAATCAACGTCTGACCGAAGCTGACACAAGCTAGATGCTAGGCCGAAAGCAACCGTCGTCCCCTGCTGAACACTGAGCAAAATGAGTAAGCCGATCGCATTGGTAGTAAAGATGGGATGAAAGAAATGCCGGTGTACGAAAACCTCATACCGAAAACGGGGACAGGATGTGCGGGCCGATGCCGTTCTGCCTCGAGGGTGTCGATCCGTTCGCATTGTCTGCCAGTGACAGGCAGCGGCACGGTGATGGGCGCCAACGATGGGCAACCACCAGAAACGCTTATCCAATCTTCTCAGAGACGTCGGAAAGTCCAAAACACACATTTGTTATATCGCGAGCCATCGTGACCTAATATTGAGTCGCTGAGACGGGCTTCCCCAATGCCATGGCCTCTTCAAAGGTCGTCTGAATGGCGAGTGTTGCGAGAGCTCGAAGAGCAATTTCACTCAAACACTTTTCATGTTCCGTGAAAACTGTGAGGCCAAACTTCATTGAACTGCAAAAGGTTACATTCCAGTTTCTTTGTTAACTCGTCTCCAGTGGACTCGGATCGATTCACACCTCTCCATCGCTAATAATACGGATGGATTGATCATAACACTCGAATACGGGACCCAATTTCTTGATTTCAACCTTAAGGCACTGCATCTCGGCAAAATATCCGTTCATAGGAACTTTGATGGGTTCCGTTGCTGACCCTCGTCCGGAGCCATGACGAAACGAGAACGTCTGATAGACTCCCTCCATGGTAAACCCGAATGGTAGCTTCATTTTGAAAATTTGTAGTGCCTTTACAATGTACATGTAGTTTGCACTTGTCTCGCTCTGTGGCATCGCTGGAGTGCTGACGTTGAACGAGTTTGGGATATGGACATCGACGGGCTGCACAGCTTGGAAGCTGACCTGGCCGTTTAAAGTAGAAGCAAGAACAATCTGGATCTTGATAAAAAGAGACACAATAGCGATTATGAAGACAAGATAGTGTACTTTTCCCAAGGATTGGTAAAGGATTGAGGGCGACAGCATGGCTGTGCAGTCGAGGGCGTATCCATCCCTGCCGATTGGTGGGTTGTCGCGGTAAGCGATCCAAGGCATATACCAGATAGCTTGCAACTCGAATCTTGACCAAAAGATTGATAACAGAGTAATGGATTGAAAGTTGGAATATCAGTTTTTACAAAAGCAGAATCTTTGTTGGGTTTCCTTCCTTGCTGTTGGGCCACACCGCCACAGATACACAAAGCTTTGTCGTGCGGTGACCAGACCATAATTCTGCTGGGGAAAGCTCGAGAAGCTTTGCGATGACTGCATGATCCCGTGAGGGGCGCGGATATGGTAAATGTCTGTCCGAACGGCTTACTCGGTCTGATGCAAACCAAGGTAAATCAGAGAAGAGTGCCAGGGAATAGTCCCGAAAGACCGCAGAAGTTGATATTGTATTACATCGTCATTAGCTTATTCCAGATATCCTGCCTGCCGCAACCACGCCTCAGCCAAAGAGGGCCATTTCGAGACTGGCAAGCCCTTGGTGTCCAACGCAAAACCGTGGGGCGCGTCAGCAAAAACGTGGAGCTCAACGGAGCCATCCGCTGCTTGTAACCCCTGCGCGAGCCGGTATGCGTTCACCACCGGCACCACGGGATCGCTCGCAGAATACATAATGAAAGTCGGCGGTGCCGGGCACGAGATCTGCTGGTCGGGTATAACAACGTCGTAAAGTTCCTGCTTCGCCGGCGGGTCGAGGGGAGCCTTGTTGGGGACGATAGTGTGCCCTTTAGCATTGGTGGAAATGGGTCCGTATCCGATGATGGCGAACTCCGGCTTGGGTACCGGTGCCCCGGAAGCAGACGCCCACGGAGCCGGGTACTCGGCCAGCAGCGCGGACGCGAGATGTCCGCCAGAGGAAAGGCCGCATACTCCCAGCCCAGCTGGCGCCGCTTTCTTCTCTTCGATGAGACGCAGTGCCTGCCTAGCATCATCGACTGGAGCCCGAGGTCCCGTTTCGGCCGTCGGGAACCGGTGGACGAGTACAAAGGCCTCGAAGCCGAGGGCGGCGAGCCAGCGTGCCACGGCGACACCCTCACGGCCCACCATGAGTTGAACGTACCCGCCGCCCCCTAGGATGAGTACTGCGCGTCCGTTGGGCTTCGTCGTCGGTTTATAGCCGAATACCCACGGTCGTGAGACTGTTTTGATGACTCCTTGGTCAATGCTTCCTTGCGGAAGATCTAGCTCGAATGCACCGTCAATAGGTTCATTGTCCCACAGCGACCATGAGGAGTCCGCCGCAAAGGATGTCGAAAGACTCATTTTCGTGGTAATACTCGGATTCAGAAGAGTTTTGGTGATTCAAGGATGGAAATAATAAGTCGAGAAATTTAGGCCCCCGCGTTTTGGCGTGGGTGAGTCTGCTTTTAAGAGATGGAGTGATGTGTCCACGATTTGCAAATGGGACTGAATCCTCACGTAATTTGAGCAGCCGCTCGGTTGGCTTTGCCCCGAGCAACCGAAATTCAACGCAATGAAGTATCACAAAATCAACAAAGACAGGTCAACCGATACTGAAACTCAGATGCCGAGCATTTCTCCTCGGTAACTCTCCTTAAAAGATTCTTTCAGAAGCACGAAAACTGTTGGGTATCATATCACAGATTATCCCCAGTCTGGCTCAAGCATTCCATTCCAGCAAGAATGCCTTCCCGCTACAATCGCGACCACCTAAAAGTTTAGGTTAAGCTAATTAATGTGAACAGGGCCTTACCCTTATATTATTCATCTTTGCTTTTATTATTAGTAAAACTATTAAAAGTTATGCTTATTAGAGGCTATAAAAAGGAGAGTATATTAGTCTCTTAGATAGCCCATTTGGATCTATTATAATGACTAGTATAGTTATTACTATTATCGACTTAAAGCGACTTGGGCTTATAGGTGTCATTCTCATTCTCGTCTGGTCACTATTGCCCCCGGGTGGATAGGTAATTCTCTGGGTTTATTGCAACGATCTAAGGCATTAATAACTTCTATTACATTACTATATCTAAACTTTAATGTTTATATCCCTCGCAGATATATGTTTATATACAGAGGAGTCGATATTGCCGTCAAGACGCTGTTTCTAGCATTAATCGGAGCACCTGATCAGATCAAGAATTCAAGCTTGGATTCCTGGGGGAACGTCAAAATCCCAAGGATCGAGTCGCTGGAAGAGTATAATCGTACAAAGAACCACGATTGGATTTCGTTAGACGAAGCCCGACAACAATTAGTATATTCCAGCCTTCTTGGAATACCTCTGGCCGGCATACCGCAGCGCCACAACACAACCTTCGCTTTGGAAACGTCATATCTAAGAACGGAATGTACCTCATGGTTCGAAGATTCTATGATGACCACTTCCGTCCACGACATCTTCACATGCACACCGGGATCTCCATGCAGTGTGAAATCAGTCTTTTCCCCATGGGGCGCATTCGGCCTAGTCGAGTGGCCGGAGGGCAGCATCCGGAAGAATACCACAATAACATTAGCGAATGGAACTGTGCTGGATACCAGACTCAATCGGTGCCAAGACCCTCAAGCACCCGCGGTCAAGCTGATGTATTACAATTTCGACGCTACCAAGGACCTGACTATCGCAAATTGTACTCTGAGCACGTCGCACGTCGAAGTCCGCGTTGCATGCTCGGGCTGGGATTGCAAACCGACGGCTATACGACGATCCACCTTGACGACGTACCGAAGCGAGAACTTTACCTTTTTGGACGGATGCGTCTATATCAAATCCTCAGTGCGCCCAGCCTACGAGTATTTTTTCAATCTTTTCAAAACTCTCACAGACAGTCAAGGAGTAGAAGGAAATCAACCATCTATCATCCAAGCGTATCTAGCTCAACCAGAGCTGGGTCTATCAGGCGGGGCATTCTGGGACTTTCCGCCGGTGCATACCGCAGATGACCAGTCGTTTTCAATTCGACTGGGGCATATCCTGAATACCTACTGGATGGCTGCGATAGGAATCGACCCGCTGCTCTTGGGTCAGACGGCAGACTATAGCAACACAACGTACTTTGAGTACGCCGTCAACAAGTCGGCACCGAAGCCGGACCCGTCCAACATGTACAACTTCTCGGAGACGCAGGCAACAGTTTCCACCCAAGTGCAGATTCTCCGATATAATAAGGGATGGATGGTCATTCTTATTATATCCACCCTCATCTTATTGGTTGCGGCAGGCATTGGTCTAGTATTGGATTTGCAGATCTGGGTTCCGCGGTTACTGATAAACGTGTCAACTCTGACTAGGTGCAACCCCAATTTTGGTGTCCCAGCTGGTGGTGGAGCATTATCAGACGAGGAGAGAGCTAAGCTCATGGCAGACATGAGAATCAGATTTGGTGATATAAAAACCGGAGACGATTCCGATGATCTGGTCATTGGGGATTGTGTAGAAACAGGAGGACATGTTTCAAGGTTTACGAAAGGGAAACTCTATATTTAATGTCATGGTGGGGTTTAGTTGTTGGGTATGCTTTGTCTTTACTCGGAGGCCTCGCCGTCGTAAAGCATTGGGTACTTTGGGTTCCATTTCAAATTAGGGCAGGTAGCTGGTGCAAGGAACGCTGTTTCGCAGGTCTCTCACCGCCTTTCACGTTGATATTATCTTTGTCGCAATTTGATTAAATGAGACGCATTTGTTAGTAAGACCGAAGCACAACTATCAAACACCCAGAGAATATGAATAATAATCATCTACGGAATTGAGACTCAACAGCAGTGCTCAGCATCTGGAAGCTCCATGTCCAGTGAGAATTACCTAGTCATCGTACAATCTAAGCCCATTCTCCTCCCGTGCCAGTCGCCTCATCTCCTCGCTCGAGCATATGAACAACTCCCAACTGGCCGCATTAGCCTGGCCCCCCACCGAATAGACATCGCCGTCGGGATTAGAGTCCATCAACGCATAATCATGCCCACAGATCACCGGGTCGAGCCACCTCGTCGTAGGCTCCTTATCGCGGACCGCCGCATCCTCACACTCGGAATTCGTTGGCATATCGACAATGTCGCGACCCAGCTCCTTGGCTCGTTGCTCCAGATAGTCGACGTAGTAGTTTCTGTTGGGACTGTTCTGCCAGTTGTGAGATTCTGTCTGCCGCGCCTGGTCCCAGAGCTCCGAACACGGCTGCGGCGCGAGATCCTCCCAGAGGACTCTGTAGTCACCCGCGATGCATGCCATGGCCACCTGCAGCTTCATATCCGGCCGGCGGCGGACGAGTTCCTTCAACGTCTCTTCCGCCGGGATCAAGGGCCACCAGATCATCGCGGGCATCTCGTATTTGCCGGGGCTGGAGGGCGTGATGTGTGACAGGTCGTTGACCATGATGGAGCGCGCCAAGATGGCGGTCTTGATGGCGCGGTTTCTCGGATCGATTTCCTGAAGCGACCACCACTTGGCAAACGTGGTGTTGTGGTAGATGCCGCGGATGACGGCCGCGTGCTCGTCGTGGAGCATCTTCGGCCGGCGGAGACGCACATAGCGTTCAATATTCCCTTCGTAAGCCGCCATCAGGATCAGCGGGTCCTTGTTGGTAGTCGGCAGATGCGAGAGGAGGGGCGTGTAGAAGAGTGCAATATGCTCAGGGGAGAGTTCCTCGTTGTTGGTCTTTTCCGATGAGGTTTCGTCGATATTGCAGTCTTCGGCGATATTGAAGTAGTGCTTGCCCCATTCCTGGTACTTGTCCAGCCCGAGTCGGACGTCCAATGAGGACCGCACAGCCGTGTCGCCGTTCATGAACGCGGGCGACGATGGGCTATCGGGGTGGGAAGACCGGGTGTAGTCGTCGAGGATTGCGTAACACACAGGCTGTCGCATTATGGTGTCGAATATGGCTTTAGATCCGTCCTTTGAAAAATTGTCTCTGGCCTCTTCCGCGATGGAGATTTCAGGCAGGAGCCCAAGTTCATCGTAGAGACCAGCATAGCCGGCGACGGCACAGGCCCGGCCGACCACATACCGCATGTCGGGGTAACGCTTTGCCAGTTCGCGGTAGGTTCCCTCGCTAGCCACGTCCGGATACCAAATGCAATACGGCTTGTCGTCGTCGGTCGTCATTTCCGGGATGGTGTTGCTCATGATAAGCCGGGCGTTGCGGGCGCGGGAAAAGGCGTTGTTGTCCGATTCTGAGCAGAGCCTCCGGACGGGCTCCGACATTGCAAAAGCTTCATTGTGCCGGATACCGTGTATCACGCACGCCGAGACCCAGTGGCCAAGGGCAGTCGGCAGCCGGTGGCCACGGAGTGCGTCCCGATGGTCGTCGCCGGGCGGCGGCCGTGTCATGAGCGCAGCGCCCATCTCTTCGAATGAAAACAGCATCTTGGTCGGAGGCACTAACAGCATTGAAGATGAAGAGAAGGATGGTTAAGTCCCTTTAAGCGTTCCAGTTCGCACATGTGTTAGTGTGAGTATCTGCAGTGCACCCTAGAAATTCAGGCGTGTGGATGCGCATGGGCGGGCCCTTAACTGGCGCGAACAACCCCTGTCGTTTCTCACGATGCCAACGGTCTTCTGTGAGTAAAGACAAGGTTTTCTAGGCACACAATATGCTCAACAAAACACCATAAAGGTATTATATGAACTGTCACGCTTATCAAAATCGCGTTCTTACTCCAAGATTCTACAGCACTGCCTAACGGCCTGACCGTCTTCAACCACCCCCATCACTCCCTGTTTAGCAAACCTGACAGGCACCGTCAGGACAGTATCCATGGCTACACGCAAAAGCGCACAAGTTTACAAAGTACTCGTAGTCGTAACTGTTCTTGTCCAGACCCGATCCCGGACACCCTTGCACGCCTGATCGCGTGGGCAACGCCGCTGCCGCCGAAGCGGACTTCGTGCAGACGCACGCGTTCTCTTCGCAGCGGTCATAGTCGCAGTTGAAGGAGCAGAGGCCCGTCAACCCACCTGACACGCCGTCTCTCACGGTGCCGCCTGTAATGGAGTTGGTAGCTGCTGTTGCCGGACACGAAGACAACGCCGAGGTCTTGCCCGTCTCGCTCTCGAAGGAGCCCCAAGACTTGACGAGACTGCTCTTCAAATCTTGCTGGCCATTCCGTCGGAAGAAACGAGCAGTCGTGCTCGACGTCAGCGGTGGGGTCGGAGACGGTGCTGACGTAGTAGTGCTGGCAGATGTACCACGACGGGTCCATGCGCTTGGGAAAGCCGTCGCTGTTCATCAGCGATGGCGGGACTCCGTATGAGATGGCTGCCACGTTGGTCTTGACGTCCTCCGTGGTCACCGAGCTGGGGAAAGCCAAGTCATCGACAATACGCAGGTGGGCCGAAAACCCAGAAAGGGGCGCTCCCGGATATGGTTGCGTCCAATCGAAGCCTGCGTAGGAAGCCACGTCTGAGCGGTTCAGAGACACAAAAGCAGCGCCTGTAGAGCAGGCCAAGAGATTTCTACGACATTGGATGCGTTGGCGAGGTATGCCGTGTTGTCCAGGTAAATGTATGACACGTCTTCCGTCCTGGCGACGTTGGCGAAGAGGGAGGCCAGTGGCAAAGCCCACGAGCTGGCCTTTACGAGATCATGCATCATGCTCAAATGCTCTGAATACGTGACAGAGGAGAATAATGAAGGCGGGGAAAAGGACGACGACTGGGAGAAGGATGAAGATGAGATGAAGGGGAATGAGGATGGGCAGAGGTGGAAAGACGCTCGGCGACCATCTTGCGGCCCTTGATATCAAAGCCTCGGGAACACTTGAATTGACAAACATCGGCCGAGGCTTTCAACTCCTAGACCTCGGAGAAATAGAACTCGGCCACAGTGAAACCCAACGTACCTTTCAAACATTAAGATAGCATGCGGTCTCCCTCAGACATCGGGATGACATGGGGTGGGGAAGGAGAATTCATCATGCTCGCAATAGAGGCGGTCAAAATGATCCCTCCAGATATCTTCAATACGACGCACAGTAACGAAGCTGTATCCATTATTCGCCGACTTGATGAACATCATCAGCGGTAGTTTATCAATCTACCAGTTGGATGAGATTTTGGCCAGCCTTGTGTCCTTGTCCCGAATGAAAGGTTTCATCCAGGTTTCATCCAGATTTTGGCCTTTAAGAATAGTCGATTTTGTTCCATGATTCCCCGTGGCCAGTTCCCAGTGGCCAGGAAGTAGGACTGGCAGCCATGATGTGCCATGCTATGATTGTAGTCGATACCGTCATCAAGGAGAAACTGAGCGCTTTCCGCTATAGTCCACTCACCAAGAGTATACTCAGTACAGCTTTACAGGGCTCTTAATCTTGACGCAGTTTATAGAGGTCTCTATTGAGATGAGTCGAAGGTAAATCTCCGAGTGCAATCAGTGTACCTAGTACAACCAATCTCATATCAAATACTTTTGGCCGGATCCCTTCAGTAACTCTAGTCTTGGCTTACTTTTAACAAATTAGCACCTTAACATGCTTTTAATTTGGAAGTATTCTCCAATATATGCACAATTATCTGTCGTGCATTCTGAAGAAGGCGTTTGGATCTTTCTTCGAGGAGTCTCAAACCCCAAGCCGCGAAAGAAGCCGACCACAAAAAGTCAATAGAGTATACAAAGCTGGGGAATTTGCAATACAGACACATGTATAAGGGACTTAGTTTAGTTAGATGCATGAATCTCTGGTCGCTCATCAGTGAAAGAATGCTTGCTCAAGGTAAGTATTCGGCCGTTTAGACCGGCTCAGCTTTCGAATGATGTCACTTGAAGCCGGAAATGAGGACTTCATGTGTAAAGGCATTCTTACAATGCCTAGAAAAAGTAGTCATACAAGCAACTTCAGGATATATTTGAAACCCCGCCACAGCTTTTCGTTTATAAACCAGATGTTTCAATGCCAGTTCTACGAGTACCGAACCTGTTCATGGAAAACGTAGGTGACAATGAAGCGTCGGAAATCTTTCCGCATTCCGCCCTGGGCCATTTCGCGTCTTCGGAACTACCGAAAATTCCGCCGCCAGCCCCGCCACCCAAAACAGTCACCAGCAGATCGTCCTGAGTAAGGGAAAAAGCTCTTCACCACGAGCTTATCTTGCTTTGAGAATTTCTCGATGCGATCGATTTGAGGTCATGTTTGACCTCTCCATGGCAATGATACCTGGCCCGGGCTGTTATTGCCCATAACCACACCTTGCTGGGCGTGTGCTATATCTGTCTAACAGGCTGCGAGAGGCATTGCCCTTGAAGAAAATGCAACCTATCATAGCCTAAAACTTTATAATACGAGAACTGAAGAAGATATGGCCAGGTTTTCCAACTTTCAATTTGCAAGAGTTTGGTTGGAAGAAACTTTGTGGACGCCTCCATGCCCGCAAATGTTAGCACAGAACCCCCTGTCCTCTCCAAGGTTAGTTCGATTAGCAACCGACACACATCGGTTCCTGCGCTTGATTCCATCCCCATACGACGTGGTGGATGGCTGCACAGCCAAGAAACTACAGTTTCTGAGTCTGTTTTTGCTCGCGGGACAACACTTATAGTTAAGGGATCAATGATAGCCTCCCACGTAGTCAACTGGTGTGACCGCAAGCCGGGAAGGATTTCGGGTGTGACGCCGGCTTTGACGGCGTAGTGGCCAAACCCCACCAAATGCCACCCTACCCCAGAGATTTAGCGGATTAAGTTTGCGGGGTGGCAGGGATTTATGTCAGCCAAGATCCTTCAAAACCCCCCGGAAACCCTCCCTCTCAATTCCGCCCCTTTCTTTCCTGACCTCTTTTATCGTTCGATTATCGTTCGATTATCATTCGATTGCCTCGCTCAAAGAAGCAGGTCCCAGGAACAGAAAAACAAGAAGACGAAGAGAGCGGAAAATAATCACGTGCTATTGCTTTTTATCTTTGATTGGAATATGGATTCTCCAGAATCTCCGCGCTCAGTCGGCGGCGGCGGTGACGGCCCGCATCCCGGATCCCCTGCTTCTCAGTCTCAGGGGAGCGGAATTGCGAGTGGCCCCAAGACCCGGACGACTCGAGGGAAATACATTTCCAAGGCCTGGTAAGAAGACCCGTGTTCGGGATTCCGACGCAAGCAAACGTTCGGCCTAAGACTGTACTGATTACGTTTTCGAAACCTTGCAGTCTTGAATGCCGGAAAAGAAAGAGCAAGTGCAATGGCAAAAGCCCTTGTTTCCGTTGCGCTCGTCAATCATTGACTTGTGGGTTGATCAATTCCATACACTGCCGACGCAAAGCGATGAAGACTAAGAGCCTCAGGTGCATACCCTGCCTCGAAGAAACCACGCAAGGACCAGGGAAGTAGCCCGTAAGTCTATTGTCTAAGATGAACATTGGGGGCAAGCGCGTTCTTTATTGACTTTCCAGTGGTACCGATGCTCAAGCTATCCAGTCCCTAAGGGATCAAGTGGCTTCTCTACAGGGAGGACTGGACCTCTTGCGTCGGCACCAGTCCCAACAGCCATCGGAAAACCAGTCGAGCCCACTGCAGACGCAGTCAGAGGTTGCACCCACAGTAATTCAGAATCTACAGGTTCCGTTAGGCAATCTGAGTGACGAAGTAGTGGACTCAGAACGTCAACCTGGCCCTATCGTCGTGGACGTGGAATCCTCCGCCAGCCAAGACGAGCCTCGGCCATCCGCCAGTTATACCTTCAACATCAGTCTCGCAAGAACACACCTACGGGCACGAGGTATCGGGACCGCCGACCACGAGCCTGGCGGGATGCCTGGATCCGTGAACCCAACTCGACCGCCATCGCCATCCATTCAAACAGCCTCCGGCTTAGATGTCGGATCAATAGATCCTTTGTGGCTCATCAACGAAGAGGAATCCGTGCGGTTATGCAATGTGTATGAAGAAGAGATTGGGATTCAGTACCCTTTTCTTGACATTCAGTGGCTTATCGAACGAGTCCGAAGCCTTTACCATGCTATGAACAGTGGCTCTCGCGTCGGGTTCGCCTTTGCTGCGATCCCGGGGCCGACAATCATAGATCCTCAGGATCTGGGTTTAGTCAAGATGGTCCTATCTACGGCTTTGACGGTGGAAGCAGGAGGCTCCAGTCAACTTGGCAAGTCCCTGTTCCTGGATGTGAGGAAATCATCACACGATAAGTTATGGGAATCGGCAAGCCTCAAGTCTACCATGCTTTACATTTTGCTAGTAGGTGGCGTTGAGTAGGGTCAGCTTGGTCAAACTTTCTAACATCAGAGTTTAGGCGGTGTACAGCTTCATGACTGGCGATGATTTACAAGCTTGGAGGCTGGTGGGTATTGTTGCCCGATGGTGTTTGGAAATGGGCCTTCACCAGTCTGCAACAATTAGCAAAACATTCAAGGATGCTGGAAAACGTAAGATGGTCATGCGGCTCTTTTGGTGTGTCTACACATTGGACCAGCGGTGGGGCTTCGGCGCGGGTCTGCCCTTCGTGATGCACAACTTTGATGTTGATCAGCAACTACCAGAGCCAGTAAGTACCTCAAAACTTGCAAATCATTGTAAGAGAGAGAATTATTGACCTCCTCAACTCCAGGATCAAGACGTGCCGTATCTCAGGGCCATGGTTGAGTACAGTCGAATCGGTGACAAGGTTTGGGCGACATCGTACAACTCCGCCAGAGCAACGGGCGCTATCCGAGACGACGAAATCTCCTACCTACTATATCGTATAGACCAATGGTATGAGGATCTTCCGGGAGACCTGAGACTTTCTCCAAACGAGCAGACTGCTAGTCCCAATATGACCTCTGCGACCTCTAGAGGCCTTCAGCGGCTGCAGCTTTTACTCCATCTACGGGCCAACCAGATGAAGATCCTTCTGCTTCAGCCATTCCTTCACTCGACATCCAGTCTCAAATCCAACAAATCCAAGATCCAGGCACTTGTCAACTTGGCCAAGGACACCATCCAGATGCTCGACTCTCTCAACAAATCAACAGACATCTACCAAAATCAACAAATGTGCTTCAACCATTTCCTCGTCTCCGCTCTAGGCGTCATCTTCCTCGTCGTGACTCTATCACCAATGGAACACGGCACTTCAGTCCGAGACGAGTTCCACATCGCACTCGATCTAATTCGTGGTCTCAGCGCCAGGTCGTATGTCTCTAGCCGGCTCTGGAGGAGGATCAGCGACCTACGACTCGCTTGGAGAAAGCTGGGATTGAACGGTCCGCAATCGAGAGAAGGCAGAGAACCTAGTTCCCAGGGCCACGCGCTAGTCACGCCACCCAACTCTTCCGGTGGTGCGGACATCCCGTCTGGGAACGTGCCGACAGCTGTCGATGATGCGTTGCGCAATCCAGAGCTTGATACATGGCAAACAGGCTCGGGTGAGCCTTTCACCGAGGCTCAGATGGCGCAGGAGTTGAATGATTTTTTCAATTCAATAGATGGCGGGGGAGACTTTGGGATTCCGTTACCCGTTCTTGGTACTGACCTTGATGGTGTTGATGCAGAGCGTGATCCCGAAGACTCATTTCTCGAGGATGATATGAACACCTCGATGGATGTGTCTCACTTATTTGTAGATATGCTATGAATTGAAGTATCTTGGACATGCAAATTCCAGCAATCCTTTTAAATCGTAGTTCCGTACTGAACATCAGTGCATCTGTCGACTGACTCTCATACCTTGTTTGAGGTAAGGACGCGCATGATATTGACAGGAGCTGATGATCGACCGGGCGTTGTATCAAAGAAGCAAATAGCATAACAGAGTCTTGCTCTTACAATATGTTCACGCCACTTTCTTTGCAGGGAAGACTGAGGGGCATGAGACTTTCCTTGAGAGCCTGATGCCGGCTAGGACAACACAGAGTTCATGCAAGATTATGAGTTTTGGCCAATTTCCTCAACTTGCAGCCTTCCCAACGTACGGAAGGCGTAATACGGTTCGTATAAAGACTAATTCCGACCAATAACCACCCCTCTTGCCCCCCCTGAAATACGCTGCCAGTCAAACCCCACGTCATAGTGTGACTTGCGCAGCCTCCGTGCAACGCCGGAATGCGACGGCGGAATTTGGAACTGCTTCTCCGACACCCAACGGAGATCTCGGCCCCCGCGATTTGTCTTGGCGCGGGGAACAAGGACGTCTAATATGATATTTCCGCCCAATGAATTATCTCTCATTATAAATGATTTTGTCAATCTAGTCTGTCGTTAACATCCGTACCCACGAAGCCGCCATCAGACTGCGCCCTGTACATCCCGCCCCATCATGTTCGTCGCAGAACTCGTGCAAGGCCTCGTTCACGAGGCGACTCACCGACCCACCGAGTTCCTCGCCAAAGCCCTCGGCGTCGCTGTGTTGGTGTATTTTATCGCAAATGAAGTCGTCAGATCCAAAGCCCGTCTACCCGCTTGGCACGGCCCAAAGGGACTCCCAGTTGTGGGGAACCTGCACCAGCTCGGCGGCAACGCCTCGCAAAAGTACAAGGACTGGGCCAAGGAGTTTGGTGCCGTTTACCAGGTCCAGCTGGGCAACCTTCCAGTCTTGGTTGTCAATACCGCTGCTGCGGCCAAGGTCATCTTCGGGAACAACTCGCAAGCTACCGCTTCACGACCTGAACTATACACTTTCCACAAGGTTTGTTTACATCGCTCCAGCAACCCGGCTTCACGATGGCAGTTTCTAATTTTTCGTGCTCCAGATCGTGGCCAACACTGCTGGCACTACCATTGGCACATCTCCCTACAATGAGTCGCTCAAGAGGAGAAGAAAGGGCGCAGCGTCCGCCCTTAACCGCCCGTCTATTGAAACGTACATTCCCCATCTAGATCTCGAGACGAGAGACTTCCTGAAAGACGTTCTCCACTACGGCAAAGCAGGCAAAGTCACCATCGACCCCTTACCCCTCGTCCAGAGACTCAGCTTGTCGCTGGCCGTCACACTCAACTGGGGAGCGCGGTTCCCCAGCCACGACGACGGCCTCTTCAAGGAAATCACCACGGTGGAGGGCGAGATCAGCCGCACGCGGAGCGTCACGGACAACATGCAGGACTACATCCCCCTCTTACGCTATAACCCCTTCTCAGCGGGGAAGCGCCACGCCGTGGAGATGAGAATCCGCCGTGATAAATACCTGTCCAAGCTCAACGGCGACCTCGAGGCGAAGATTCGCAACGGGACACACGAGCCGTGCATCCAGGCCAACGTCATGCTCGACGAGGAAGCCAAGCTCAACAATGTCGAGCTGACCTCCATCAGCCTCACCATGCTCTCGGCCGGATTCGAGACCTTCACCGCCGTCTCGACGTGGGGCATCGGGTTCCTGGCGACGCACCCCGCGATTCAGCAAAAGGCGTTTGATGCCATTCGGAAGTCGTATGACGAGGGGAACCCGTTGTGTGATGCACATGATGACCAGACGATTCCCTTCCTTCGCGCCCTGGTACGCGAGTGCTTGAGGTAAAGTTCTGATTCCATGTTGGCAAGCCAATTGACACCCCGCCACTGTGACTGACTTTTACCGGTACAGATTCTTCACTGTACTCCGACTTTCATTGCCTCGTGCTACGAACAAGGAATTCGTGTACGAGGGGAAGCTTGTACCAAAGGGTACGGTCGTCTTCCTGAACTCTTGGGCTTGCAACATGGGTGCGTATTTTTTTCTGGAATAGAGGACTCCTGAACTGGTTTATACTCACGCCTCGCTAGATGGCGAGCTCTGGCACGACCCCGAAGTCTTCCGCCCCGAGCGCTGGCTGGAGAACCCCGAGGCACCAATGTTCACCTACGGCGTCGGTTACCGCATGTGTGCCGGAACGATGCTGGCTAACCGCGAACTGTACATTACTTTCCTCCGCATGTTGGCCAGCTTTGAGCTGTCTTCGACGGACAAGATCGACAGTAATCCCATCACTGGGGCTGCTGATTTGACTAACCTTATTATTACGCCAAGCCACTACAAGGTCACCTTTACTCCTCGCAACGAAGCGGCTCTTAGAAGCGCTTTGGAGACGGCGGTCGAACATTGATGGACTTTATTTCGGTAAGTGAAACCTAGGTATGAGGGGGGCTAGGCGTTAGCCAGGCAAGAGGACGTACGTAGGAGGATGGCGAATGAACCTGCAACTCAAATTACAAACAGAGATTGGAATTGGCAGACGTCGTGGGATCCGAAAAGTACCGGTTTCGTCAAGGCACTTTTGGAGGCAAGGAAGGAGGATGTCCGTTAAGCAAGGTCTTGCTTACACAATTGAAGTCAAAAACAAAAAGAAGATATTATTTTCTAAAACCGAGAATCGAACTCGGGGCTACGCCTAACCTCTGAGAGATGAGAGGGCATCATGTTGGCCACTAGGAAACGTATTAGATTAGAGCCCCACTACCAAGACTTTTGTAGCTTTAAATGCTGAGGTTAATGTTGGTTTACGTATTACAGGATGATTTGTTCGATTGAACCGTGGTGACAAAAGGTTAATTAACTGTATATTGATCTCTGCGTGAAGTGGAAAAGAGAGGTTTTAACCGGAAGTTCGACCGTTGATTGAAAGCTGATTTAGAGGTCTGTAGATGGCCCCTGCGCTTGCGCTGACTCGAGGACGAATTGGGCTTCCAATCCGACAGAATAAAGTTAGGAGAGCCGGAAGATAGATGCAAGGGTTGACCGGCTTCTTCAACGTCGTGATGTCGTCTACACTCGTGAAATTTCCTACATCGACCAAAACAAGAAGTTTGAAAATTTCTGACCGCACCTCGTTAAGAAAGCGATGGGCATAGTCCCAAGAGTCGCATCCCCAGCCACAGTTCCGAAAGTTGCTCCAAAAGCACACAGTCACGCTTTAGACGTTTTCTACTTCTCCATGTAAACTAGCTGACATTACTAAATATTCTAAGCACTTTCACAAAGGATCTAGCTACAGAGTTTCTGTCTCGTCGAAAGTATCTGAGTGATATTTATTTCCCCGTTGAAGTATTCAAAATCTTAGACTGGAGTATTTCCAAACCCCGGAGGCTGATACTCGACTGCACAAGAGGCTATCTTGCCAATAAAAGGCGTGGCAGGAGACATCATACCACATTAGTGATCCGCTGCCGCAAGTCAACTAATACTATCTTAGTCACAATGGCCTCAGAAGGACCGGACATACAATTCTTACTCACGTTACCTTTTCTTCCTGTTTCTCTTTTCCTATGTCCATCATAATGCCGATGAGGTCGAATGTCAATTCCTGAATTAGCTAGCTCTGAATAACGGGTCTGATTCCTAAAATACACTGCGCGGCAGCCACTTACCAAGTGGCTAAGGATGCGAGACCATGTTATAAGTTGCCAGCCTAATCTCTTCAGGAGAAAATTTCTCAAATTTCTTCGAAGAACAAATGTGGCTATACCTATCTCTCGTGTTATACAGCATGCCAACACATTGATAACCTTCCCATGGAGCAAGGGGGTCAAGGAGCATTTCCGGGCTCTTGTTTACGACGGTTGCTGTCGTAAACTTTACGCGGTCTTTCTGTAGGTTAGCTGGAGAAGAAAGATTCTTATTGCCTTGATGCAATCAAAGTGCTGGTCTTCTCACCTTGGATTTCTGCATCGCTTAACCCGAACGGCCAAGTGGTCGCGGGGGTGCTTTTAGACCCAAAGGTTAAGGAACCACTTGTGCTGCCCTTTCCGAACCCACCAAAAACGGATTTGGTTTCTGTGATTCCCAGCCCTCTGAACCCCTTCTCATAACTGGATATTTCTAGCTGTTTTGAGGACCATCCCGATATCCCGTTCTTATTCCCGGAATTCGAATCAGGCTGACTTGGCTTTGGGCTAGGGGTGTAGCTGGTTCTGCCACCAAACCCGGCGGGTTCGCTAGATAAGTTGCTCCAGAGTCCGATGTTCTTTGTCGGAGAGATCTCCTCGGGCTTCGCGGCAGTTGGCGCATAGCATTCGGGAGGAGGCAATTTGACAACCACCTTAAATTTCTTCCGAAGTGGGGTAGACTTGGCCGACTGCTTAGTTTCTGTGGCTGATACGATTATAGGAGCTGTCTTTGGTGCGGATACTCGGCTCGTTTGTTGGCTGTGAGGTGTAGCTATAGTAGGTGAGCAGTGAGAAGAAAGGCTTTCATGTCAAAGCATTCAAATAATTCTATACGTACTGTTTGTGGACAATCCTCCAGTAATGTCCCGCTGATGGCTCTTCGTGGGAGTAGTGGGTTGAACTGAGGAAATGGTTATTGGGGCATGTTCTTTCGGTAGGAAAAGCGTGGAATTGTAATTACTCGTCGCAACTCTGGGTCTGTACCGGCGGCATTGATCCAGACCCTGCTTGAGCAGCTTGATATCGCTCTGCAGCTGTGTGCGTCGCGCCCGAATCTCCTCCGACTCGGCCGCGAGCTCCTCTAACCTTGCATCATCCATTGCGTTGACATCTTTCGGTGTCAGAATTCCTGGAAGCTCTTGTATGAGACAGCTCTCTAACGCCAGGTTGATCAGGTTATCAGTGAAAGTGCGCAACGCCATCTACGCCAAGTCAGTACTTGAGCTTACGGCTAATTCAGTCAATAAAACATCGATACTTACGTCGTAGAATGTTTGCATTGTTTCGATAGCCTGCCCGGTCCCAAACTCATTGCGTCGATGTGAGAGATCTGTTCCCGTGTGTTGCGAGCCTTCTGAGCTATCGTCACTCGCGTTGTTGCTGTCGGAGTCCCCCGAGGCATCCTCAAAGTCACGATCAGATTTTCTGCCGTCCATAGCTTCCTGGAAGTCAGCATCAAGAGGAAGCGCGTATCCCTCCTGAACAGGTCGAAGAAGCTCCCGCAACTTGTTCTCGAGAATCTCCTCCTTTGCATCGAAGAAAGGATCGACGCAGGTCGACAGGATGGTGGAAGTGGTACTGCAAGTGCCCAAGGGTCCAGCGACGTGCTCAAATGCCTGGTCTACGAATGCCTTCACCATGACGATGACCTTCTTCAAATGCAGCCTGGCGACGGCCTCCCAGGGTTTTGACTGTCTCTGAAACAGCGGCATAATCAAGTTCGTATTGGCATATCCGGGAAACTCGGTGCCCTGGTTCGCGGCCGCTTGCCGCTCCAATTGAGTGGTCATCTCTGACCAAGTAATTGGTTCTGGCATGGGAAGGTCGTATGGATGCTTGTAGAGGAACTCTGCAAGATGCGGTGGCATGGTCTTCTGTCTCCTACTACTAGGAACGCCAAGGGAAATTTTCTGCGATGACCCTTGCACAGTGAGAATGTGACGAATGGCTCGATTGAAATTTCGCAGGTGAGACCGCAACTTCCGATCAGTACCATCAAAGCCGCCGAAGAACGGATCATTGTAGTGGCCCTGTATGCCGTCGCGGACAAGTCTCTCAAATCCTCCTGCGATGTCCACGAGATATGCTCTCATGCTGGCAGGACTAGTCCTGGCCTGCCCTAAGCGTGCGAGCTCGGTCTCATTTTCAGCGAGCTTCCCTTGAATTTCTTCAAGAACACCTGGAAGATTCTTCTTGATTTGGTCATGAAGGACATGACTGAGACGTTTCCGTAGAGTAGATATGCCCCGATGGATTGCTGGTATAGAAGCCCAGGACCCGGATTCGAAGAACTTTCTTTCGACTACGTCCCGAGAGTCATGATCTACCTCGGATGTGCCGTAGTCTGGAAGGTTGCGTACCACATGCCATCCAAGCTGCAGGTTGTGCACTGCTTCGCGGCCCCTGATAATTTGAAGATACTCGAGTTCGTTGGGAGATCCTGGATGGAGAAGATCTGGCTTAGTAATGACCCCAAGCGTACGCTTTCTGGCGGGGTCGTGTTTTGCCGCCTCCTCCAGGACTCTCTGGTTGGCGAGCTGATTATTGGCTGAAATGACGGCGAGGATAATGCTGTTTTTCTTTTCCATATAGCTTTCTACCAGCTCCATGACGGTTGTCCTGCCCTCCGCCGACTGCTTTGCTGTCGCAGTATGGAAGATTCCGGGCAAATCGACCAGGGTCAGAGGGTATAGGTTTGGACCTTCGACCTCCAGACGAAGAACGTCCTTGCAAAATCCCCTGTTGGAGTCGGTGAGGCCCATGTGCTCTTTAGCGGCGGAGAAGACTTTGCTCATATCCTCTCCCTCAGAAAAATCGACCCTTATCTCCTGTGCAGGCTTAACATCGTTGTGGAACCGAATGGTGGCCTTGACGCGTCTTTGGGTGCCGTTTCGGAGAACCAGCTCTGTGGCAAAACGTGTGCACAAGCCCGAGCTAACGGGAAACTTGACATGGGAGATGGCTTCAAGGACAGATGACTTTCCGGATGACTGGTCCCCCACGACGATTATTTGAGGGAGATTGACGATCTTGCCAAGGCCGAGCGAAGAAAGCTTGTCGGTAGTGTCGAATAAGATGCGAGTCTCGACGGAGTTCAACTCATCGAGAGCTCCGGCATCGAGGGTAGCTTGAGACATGTTTGAGTCTACGCAAGTTGCCAAGCTGTGAGATACGGATGGCTTTGACCACTCCAAATAAAATTTCCGCGGCGACCAAGGAAATTATAAGAGTCCTCAAGAGTCAGCCCTCGTAATTGGGCTTGTTGGTTTGTTGTGTTGGTTCATTTTCGGAGGGGGCGGCGCAGCTCATGCATACCACCTAACCGCGCGCAACCTGACACAGCTGAAGTGCAGGAGATGCGGTCCAATATTTGGCCAACAAGATATAGAATCGGTCTTGAGTTGATGATCTGCTATCTCAGCCTGCAATCTTAATCGAGCAGGGTTCCGTATCCATCCCGGATCAGTCCCAGATACTCCATTCTTGATCCGTATGTTTCAATTCTGTGTGGACTGCAACCCCGGCGCCACTACACCATATCGGATGCTGTGATAACCACCGACCACCAGAGAATAATTCTAGCCCCCCAGAGTCCTCCGGAGAGGAAGCGGATTTGTGAGAGTGTGATGGGGCTGATATGAAAATTCAAATCGTTCCATTGGCTTGTGGGACAGTGGGTCAACTGCACGAAGGCGTTGCAGGGCGAGGCCTGTCTCTACACCGTCTCTATACTAGCAAGTCGGTGGGGAGGGGGGCAAAGACGTGGATAACCCAGAAGAGGAAAAAGTTGTGCATTTTGATGTCGGAGCAGATATTGGTGATAGTTGTTTGAGATCTGTCAATGTCAAGGGCCGTATTGACCTGTTGAGTGATACTTGGATCTGCGGACATTCTCAAGTATTTCTTCGACGTATGCCATGAAAGGTCAACATGCATAAACACGGAAGGCCAGCTGTCGATCTCGGGGGCCGTGTTTCCCGGCTCGTTGACACGCTGATGTCGGTGATGAATAGACAGATAACCACAACCCCAAATCTCACTAAGGTCTCCTTCACCTCACGAATGAACATATTCTCATGAGGCATCAAGGTACAGATTATATTCACTCGCGCCCGTCGCATAACATTGTGAAAGCGAAACATGAATCTCATAGCTAGCCCAATCATCACGTTGGCCCTCACTCCAGTAAGGTAGTTGACACCAACACGATATCTGGTCTCGATGTGGTTCTGCCCCTTCCGTCGCCGGATAAGAATGCTGGCGAGCCGATTTTTCTTTTCAGCAAACACGATAGTACATACGGCACGAAATGCCACGAATCCAGTGCGTCCAACGTCAAGGCCTACGACAGCCAAGGCCGCTTTCCGATCAAGATAATCGACAGCTTCAAAGACACAAACATCCAGGAATTGCACGGCCTGCGAAACGTGGTGGGCGCTTTATTGCTCCATCTCCATGTGCAGCCCATAGAGGTCACCGAAAAGCACCACAGGAGACCCATCGCTCCTCTCGGTGTGGACTCTGGAAGAACAGAGCTGCTGGAAGACCATGGCGGAATCATGGGTGCCAGAAGGTGGTTCAGCCCACGGCCGGCCGTTGACCCAAACAGCCTCCATCAGATTACAGTCCAGTGGGATCTCTCCTACTCTCCTTCGGCCACGCAAGCAATTTGGAGCCATTTCCGACCCGGCCCATCACCAAGGAAGTTACGATTGACACGATGCTCGATTCTATTGACATGGTCGGCCCGGTGAAGTGCATTCCCGCACATGCTGATGCCGCGACTGGAGATGCGTCTCCCAACGTCGGTGCGACTTTCTGGTTTGGCATACTTCCCTCGAACCTCCAAAAGTTGTCCGCGTACAGCAGCAACATTTTCCCACGCCTCTCTGCCTTTTTTCGGGACACTCAAGAGAGCTACTACCAAGCATCCATTCAAAACGTTCCCGTTGGCTTCGGCGAGACGGGATTGCAGTCCAGCAGCTTGGTCGAGTAAGACTCCCAAACAGAGACCGTGTCTGACTTTGATCTCGTGCGCCTCTTCAACAACTTGATGGTGTGAGCATGGGCTGAACTGGACCCGGAAAATGATGGGTTTGAGGCGGAGTGGTTCTCGAAAGGTCAGGCTCAACTTCTCCCTACGACCTGGAACTGGTCACCTAATAAACCATTCGCCTAAGTCTCTCTCAGATGTACACCATCTTCTTCCCTCACAGGTTCGGTCAGAGGGGTCCAGAGTACTTCCGTAACACGCCCAACGGGTTTCTGTCCCCGTACGACACCGGTCCTCATCTCAACACCGATAACACAGAACAATAATGCAGCCCAGGAGGGGGACTCTTACACCTCCTTCATTCCCTACAATTGTGGCTGGGTTTACATGGTGAAGATGGATTGCTACACCCGCCGCGCCTCTGTCTACACCGAAGCTGGCGTGTTGAGGCCTCTCGATGACGTTGTCGGAGACCTCGTTGAAAAATGTCGAAGCGGCCTGAAAATCCTGACAGAAGATTGGTTGAAAGGGATCGCACATTGGCTTTGTCAAATTAACATTGACGCAAAAAGTCATTTCCAGGATACTGTCGTACATGGGAACCCCATATGGCTTGATGACATGACGGAGGCTTTCGGTGCCAAAGAAGGTACAAGTCGCAGTGTCGAGGTTGACCAGGACATCTTGTGCTTTGGATTCGAGGTGGCAAGGAGCCTGAAGAGAGGAGTTGTTTCTGCGATTGAGCCCGGATCAAGAGTAGAGTTAAGTAGGCTTCAAAACGGGGACAGAGTCCTGCCGTTGGGGAGCTTTGAATTCTGCATGCTCGGCCCCGATCGTAAGGTTCATATTCTGGTAGAACGGGATAGTGAGACGCTCAGGTTTCGATGCGTGCCTGGGGTTTTTGTCAAGGTATCTTGTTGGCAGGTTCTGAAGGTGGAGCCTACGAACAAGTAAGAAGAGGCTGAAGCAATAGGCCGGCTTAGGACATGGTGATGCCCAAATGTCTTTGATCCGAAGTCGAAACTCGACCTTATTGAGGTAGCCGTTCAGCTGTCGCAACGTAATGTTGGTCAATCTCACTTCGACGGGTGATACATGTACCTGGCGGGCCTGGCTCTGCTCTTCCATACACATAGGCAGCCTCAAGTTCAATCTCTTCGTCACTCAGTGCGTCAACCGCGCCAAACTCATAGAGAACTCCGGAAGCACTGTCTGCACAGGACTCTATACCGTCTCTAAGACGAGCCGCCGTCTTGAGCAGAAGCCTGAACATATCGTTTGGTGCGTCCAAGAAGGCCTCCAGAACTACTTCGATCGTATGCGTTCCGCGAGGCGCAGGCGGGATGCAATCCAACCTGAGAGCGAGCAACTCGTCATTCTTTCTAGCATCTGCAAGCTCGCCTTGGAAGACTGTTATGACTATAGACGACTGTCCGTCGACAGTCGTGGTGAGATGCACGGTTCTAGTGGCCGGGAGCGACGTAAAGCGGGGGAACACCCGCAGCGCCTCGCCACCAATGGTCTCGACGAGGACTGATCGTGGGTTCAACATGAGTGCACCGACTAGGTCATCGAACCTTCCTTGTCCATAGAGATTCTCGGCAAAGACAGCGGTCCCAAAGGTTACAACTTCGTCATAGTCCAATGTGACTGGTACCCAACGAAAACTTCCTGGGTAGTCGAAAACAACACAGGATCCACTGCCGAAGTACGACCTCACCATGGATCGTACCTGTGATGCTCCTGTGTAGCCACCTACGACAACGACTTTCGCGATGTCGTCCCTAGACAGGTTGGCGGTTTTGATGACCTGGTCCATGAGGGGCAACGTCTGCTCGAATGCCTTCATCTCATTCGCATCGAACACCGAGATCCCTCGAAGCTGCTTTTGCTGTATCAATTGTCCTATCTCCTTGCCGAGGTGGCGGTCACTGATGCTAGCCAGGGATTCGAATACCCCCACGTCAAGCTCAAAGACAGATACGTCAAAGGTTTCTCGCCCGAGGTCATAAACAACGAAATGAAAATCATCATCCGACTTGTCTATGCCGTATGCAACCGCAGCAGCGGTAGGCAGTTTCATGATGCGAGGAACTTGTAATCCGATAGAACCGCCGGCTTCCGTGATGATTTTGCGCCCTTCCTTGGTGAAATAGAGCGGAACAGACACGACTGCCTGCTCAATGGGCCCAAGTGTCCAGGTTTCGGCCGTTTTCTTGAGTTCCTTGAGGATTTCCAATACCGATTCCATGAGTATGTGACCTTCGCGAGGGAGATGCGTGTTGAAATCTTCTTGCGAAATCTGATGCCTAAGAGCTCGGTGTAGAAAGTACTCGGGTTCGGTGGCGTCGCAGACCATATGACTGATTCAAGTCAGTACTTACCCTCATTAGAGAATACAGGCAACAATGATCTAACCTGGAATCGAAAAGAGCGCTTGAGACACTTGGATCAACCTGTTCGTGATGTCCCAAGTTATCTGACCACATGATTGTGGAGCCTGGTGTACATCAGTTTTGCGTTCTAGAGCCAGACTTGACGAGAAAGAAGCTTACTCTGGCCATCAAGCGGTATCCTCCTGGCGCCGCGTTGGATTTTGCCTACACTTGAGTATGAAGGCCCGAGGCTCTTCATTGTCCACCTTTCGTCAACCAACAGCGCCTGAAAACGCAGGAAACCTCGAGTGCGCCACTCACGATGGCGATGAAGTCAGATTCAAGCTCATCATCCCAACCGTTGACCTCGAATGCGAAGGCAGCAGGAAATCCTAGGGATAGCATTGAAACGAAAGCGACGAACAGACAGAAACGCGTGGCTCTGTGCCATCCTGCCAATGACGACATCTTGATCCTACCTTCATTTCGTTGTAATGTGTTGGACTTTCATAGATCATGCAGAGTCGAGAGATCACAAATGCCTCTATTAATGAAAGTGATCGTGATCCAACTTGGCTCCTCGCAAAGTCACAAGGTCAATGTAGTTTGTTCTGAACTTGCGGCGGTCAGCCGTCCTCTTTTTACGAGATGCGATGGGCGTTGTGGTCTGTTAATGGCGGTGGCAGCTGGGTGCTTAGTGAGCTGCCCGGAATGATCCACAATCAGCTCGAACTGGACAACAAAGCAACACAGGACCCAGTGATCGTACCAGTACCGTGTCTAAATATGACAGTGCTAATTGACTGACGGTCAAATGTTGCTGAGCTTCCTGCTTGACATTGGACACTGGGTCAACCAACTTTGACCGGTTCGTCTCCATCAACGTCAGTCAAATCTGTGATGCACGGTGGGCATCAGCTGTGACTTGGCCGCCGCGGAGGATACTAGTCAGGCAACACCACTGACTGCTGAGTGAGCCCGTAATCAGTCTTCCTTCTTTTCGCTGTGTGGGCGGTCTTTCTCGTGGACATGAAGTGATATAGATGGAGCTTTTCCTTCCAGAATATTGGCAACGTGCTTATTTCGGTACAGACTCACATTTGTAGCCTTGCTTGGCTTCGCAGTGGAGGCCTATAATACAACACGCAGGAAAGGCTTGTTCGTTCCGTAGAGGCTTTCAGAGATTGTCTTCCCCTTGAGGAATCTGAATCCGCAGACGGCAAGGCAACACAGCAGGGGTGTCCCGAAGTTGAAGACATCACGCTCGTAGAAAACGCTGCGGGAAGATGGATGCTCTGTTCTGTTGATGGTGTGGACGAGATTGATGATTTCCTCCCACTTGGCAAGGAACACCTTGCTGAGGCGGTTGCAGAAGGGACGACGCTGAGAACCTGAGACGAAAGCTAGCAGTCGCCCTGCCCCCGAAACGCTTACCTAGGTAGGTACCCAAAGAGTTGTTGCGGCCCACCCGGCCCCAGCCGTGCTCAGCCGCCCCACCACGGCGTCCTTATCGCTGCTGCCGCTGGTCCGATAAGGCTCTCAACGACGAGCCAGGCCTCTTCCGTCATCCTCGCTCCTGCAGGTCGCTCTCGTCCAAAGCTATCCCCCAAGGCTGTCACCATTCCCAGAGCTGAGCCAGCAAGCATGACGAACGCACGATCGGAATGACTGATCCCACGTACACAGTCTTCGTTCGACTGCCCATTCTGCGGGGCGAGTTCGTGGATCCCCCTCCGGTGAGTCCAAATGTCCATCCCGCCCGTAGCCGTCCGGGTGCCTATAGCCGCGGGACCGACGCTCATGCGAGTCCACGCTGCAGGTCAACTGGGATTCCGCCAAAGACGATGTGCTATGGAACATCCTTTCTGGCGCAGCTAAGCAGGAGATTGACTGTAAGTTGATTCTGCCATTCGACCTCGTGGAAATCGCTAACCTGTCCATGTCTAGGGAATGAACTGTAAGTCCTCCCAAGGAACCGGAACCACCCCCGTCGGGCTCACCCATCCTCCAGAGCCGCACATTTCGATGTGACTGTCGACTTCCTTCTTCAACAAGTAGCCTACTTGACCGAAAGACACACTGCGCAGCTTCGGGCTCAGGTCCGGAAAGCCACAGCTGCTGCAAAGGGCTCCTCTGCTCCCTCTCCCGTCCCCGGCGCCGAGCCACACCCGCACCAACGGACCGTCTCGGCGCTATCCATCCGCCGCGATTCGCCGCTTCCCCGGAATGATACCAGCACGCCAGCGACACCCATAACGAGCTCTCTCCGGCCAAATATCACACGAAATGCGTCCTCGGGTACGATAACACGCAACCTCGGCGGCGGCTCCTCGGCCCGCCAGAACAAGCCGGCCACCTCGCGGCCTTCTAACGACAACCAGCGACATCGCCTGTCATCGCTCCCCATCCAGACTACATCCCGAAGCCCCGAACCGACCTCGCCTGACGCAGGTGAGCTGAGCTCGCCCACCTCCTCGGATGACGAGTCCAGCCCAGCGCAATCGCGCATCATCCGTCGCCCACCTCGCTTCCAGCAGCGTGACGGAGCGGCCGATCTCGAAGATGAAGATGAGGACACCGAACCTGCCTTCCTTCAATACAAGCCGCAATCATCCAACACATCCGCACAAGACATGGGTTCGACTTTGCGGGGCGACCCCCGAAACGCCCGACGGACACCAAAAGGCAAGGAGAAGATACACCACTCGGAGACATCAGATTCGTCGACCAGTTCGCCCGCCATGGTCTCCAGGGGCCCCTCTACAGGAGATCGGCGCCCAGCTGGTCCCCTTTCTCCGCGGCGTCCAGCCGAATTGTCCGGCAAGAGTCCAAGTAGAAAAGGGTACTCGCGAGACGGGAGCGACGGCACGCCAAGTATGGGCAGCAGCTTCAGTGATTTGGATGGTAAGCTCCCCCGATGGAACCAGTATTGACGAACAATTCTAATAGACAGCAGACGCCTCGGTAACGCAGTCCGCTCTCGAGGAAGCCCTGGCGAGTAAGATGCAAGACGGCGCCATCGGGAGTAGATTCAGCATCAGCCAAGCGTTCAGAAGTCGTTACATGCCCAAGCCCGGTCAGCAGTAGCAGCATTGCGTGCATCGGAATTCCTTTTACGGTAGAACATGAATCGGCTGGGTTGAGAAGCATCTCTGGCGTTTAGGCAAGATCACGAAAGCGGGCCATAATGTCCATTTTGCTTGGTCTAGGTTAGTTATTGGAATAGGACTTGGCGTTTAATACAAATCAGCTTCCGGAAGTTTCAATTGGGTCAATTTTGGCCTCTTCGTGCTGACTAGCTATAAGGACGGCTCAAAAGACTAACAAGTCTAGGTCGAAACACACGCAGTACTAAAGTACTCTGGAGTTGGGACGGGAGTGGGATGACGTCCATCTTTCCATGTCCAAGTGAAAATCAAGCAGGCGCTATATGCTTCCAAGATCCCGATCCATTATACAGCTCATTCAAAAGCAGTCAAGGGCAAAGTCCAATCTCGGCCCAAATCCCGCGGTAGACCAAGGGCAACCAACTCATGTGTTGCTTGCTGCATCCAAACACCCAGCAATGGCGCAACGCCCAACGACTGTTTCTCGGCTTCTATACTAGCTCACACTTTGTCCCTGCTACGCAATTCGTGACTCTCGCCTCTTTCAGCTTCACAGCAGTCAGCATACGACACTGCGGGCCACCAGGGGCAATGACAACTTACCATCCGACTCATCCGTCTTCGCCCCTTCATAAGGGTCCCAAGTCTTCTTCCTCGCCGGGAGCGGTTTCGTCACCGGTCCTCCTCCTCTTCCTCCTCCTCCTCCTCGGAACAATCCCTCTTCATTTTTACGGTGCCTCGCATCGTGCAGCCGATGTTCATCATCGTCGACCCTCTCGCCGTGCTCTGCCCGGCGCCTCTTGGCCTTGTGCGCGCGGTAGAAGAACAGCGCCCCCACGACGCCGATGAAGATGGCGACGGTGCCGATGATGACGCCAATCTCAACGGGCGTGAGAGCTCGCGGCGGAGGTGCCGGCTGGGGGCCAGTACGGCTGTCTCCCTCGAAGAAAGACATGGCTTTGCGGCTAGAGAGTGAGGTGGGTGTGGTGTATTTTTCTCCCTGTGTTGCCCGTTACTGGCAGAGACCTTGGAAGGTGGTCTAGAGAGCGTTGTTTGCGGGTGAGGCGTTCGATAGCGGTCCGGGGGATGGAAGGGGGGGAGGAAGCAACCATGGATCGAGACGGGAGCTATCTCAAGGGCGGGCGTCCTGGGAGTGTTGCGCGCGCGCGGGTAGGTGAAGCAGGACCAGAGATCCGGGAACTATGTAGGAATGAAGGATGTCCCGGGAATACCAAGGCGCTTCTTCTGTCGTCCTACGACCTTTGAAATGTGATTCAAAAAGGAGTGACTGATCTCTGTTCTTGTGGAGGGAGACATGTTAAGTTGGACTAGCCGTCCGTGTCTCGACTCTGCTCAAGCTACCCCAGCTTTTTTGCTTTGCGCGGGAAGCCCCGTACGTGCCTCACCCCCCTTTCTCGAGAGAACGGGGTGGGAGTTTGGTCTTGATCCATCTACGGTTACCCCCTTCATCTTTGCTTCTGTCGCCAAAGACGGACGGCTTGGGGGAACCTCGCCAAATGGGGACCTGTCCTCCTGCGGCTAGCCGAAACGTCCCTCCCGTTTGGTGGTTTGTCGTTTGCTTGGCTTTAGATTACCTGTTAACCAACGGGACGTATCTACTCTCACCTGTCTAGTCAATCCACCGACTCCCCCCCTGGGAGCCCTGACGGAGAAAACGTGACAAACAGAAATGTAGATCGTGTTGGAAGAAGGAATATGTTGGTTTGTTTGTTTCCTAAATGGGCATGTAAGAGATGTTGGGACTTGGGTGTCCACCTACCTTTCCCCACCCAGCCATAACCTTGGATCTTACTCCCCTCGCTCGCACTCTCACCGGTCTTCAAAATCAAATGGTTCAGGACTGGTTCGTTGCGCCATTTACACCCTTTCCACGAAGCTCGATCATGTAAATCCCCTGGCTCTTTGTGTTCGCTAGCTTTAGTCGGTCCTTGCTTTCTCTTGTCTCGCTCCGGCGGGACGATGAAACTAACAGTCTTGAACGAGGGCCCTCCAAGTAGCCGAAAGACCTCCTCGAGAGACCTTGACCACAGACTCAGAAAGTTTTGAGCATAAATACAACCGAGACAGGCCTCTTTACAAAGAGTCAGTAATTGAGTAAATATTAGACGAGACACAAGTAGCTCCTGCTTGATGCCAGGCCGCTCAATATCGAATCACCTTCCCTCCGTTTCGTTGAACCCCCAGCTTGGAGAAGATCTGGTAGAGAGCTATCGAGTCGGCTACACGCATCGACTTTCCCGGTCCCACGAAATTGGTGAACGTCAAGAGACTACCTTCTCTGCTCCTCCTCCTCCTCCTCCTCTCCCAGAACGGGAGCCCTTACAGTCCAGATGCGAACCCCACTGCCGCTTGTCATCTCCCTCCAGCCCGTCACGCAACGAGACACAATCGGGTCTACTGAGCCCTTGCACGAATACGTCGGTCCCCGTCTTTGTCTAACATGAGCAACAAGTAGTCTTTTCCATGACTCGTTGGACGAGAGTTTCTCTTTGATCGTCATGGCCCCAGAAAAAAAGTTCGAAAGAGAAACGCTGGTTTAGAGAATGAGATTGAGATTGGCCATCAACGTTTTCTTATTCTCGACCAGGGGGCGGCGGCGGGTGGGCATGAGACATGGCTTCGGTTGCTGCAAGCCCTTGCGTCCGCAAACTCGCCGACCGCACATCCCGCCAAGGCATAACCAACATTAGCATGGGACCTTTTTTTCACCCGATCGTGCTGGGGGATAGATGACGAGGTGAGACTCTTTTCATTATTTCCTCGCTTCTAGAAGACATGCAATATGCACAATGGCTGCCACCAGAACCCCCACAACCCCCCCCCTCCTCATCGAGCGACGAGACTCGGCTCGCTGTCATCGCTCCTCATGAGATGAGAGGGAGAGATGTTTGAGAGATTCAGCATGTCACCGGTGCGTCCATCTGCGGGTGTGCGTGCAGAGGTTGGTGGTCTCTGGGGTCGAACCTGTCCGCGACGCATCAGTTCAGTCGGTTGGCTGCATCGCCGGGGTTGGGGATGCAGGTATCCTGCCTGCATGCCGCCTGCGCGACCCGCCGTCACGTTCGAGGCTCTTGGTGCTGCAAGATCTTTGGCAGATTGGACAGTAGGATCTTCTGGCCTTGCACAGACGAAGCCCGTTGGGCCGCGTTGACATCCTTGGCAGTCGTCTGGGTGGTACTTTGATGAGTCGAAAAGGTGTGGCATGATCAATGAAGCAAATGTTTGGTTCTTCTTGTGGCTACTCAAAGTCGAAACAAAAGCGTGCCATCTTCGAACAGCGAGATAATTAATCTAGCAAACTGCGATGGAAGTTCGGTATAGATGGAGGTGCCCTCAGGAGCAGAGCACATAATCCCAGTTAACGTACGAAGCAGAGATGGCTAGGATGAGAAAAAGGAGCATCAGAATTTCCAGCCCAAAGATTCGAGATCATACTTCAACTTGTCAATTCTGAGGGTAATGAGACAGTCTTCACAATGAGTCCTAACGCTGCTCTAGCCCTCATATCCGTGTACAACAAACACAGATGCAATCCGTGCTCAGGAACCAATACAACGGCGCTTCAAGCGTCCACATTGCAAAAAACTTCGTCTCGCACGTCCTGTTCATCATTTTGCACGCATGCAATCCGCACTGGGGTGATTAAAGCTGTAGCGCCGCGGCGGTCAACCGGCTGATCTTTACCAACATACCGAGTCCACAGCATCCCCAATAAATCCTGTGCATCGAGACGCGCGTTTTAAGCAGGCGTAAAGCTCAACAGGACGTCGTTGGCCAACTTAGTCGTGATTCCCACGGTCTGCAGCATAGGCCTCTCGTCCCTCGGTTGAATGTCTTTGAAAGTCTGCAAGATTCTCACCACAAAGTAGCTCATCTGCGTCAGGGCAAACTGCTGCCCGATACAGATCCGCGGACCGCCGGAGAAGGGGAGATAGTCCCACCTGCAACAGTTGAGTTTCCAACCAATCAGCAAAAGAAAACCTCTCATCATGGAACCAATTCCCAGGCATTGTTGTCAAGGGAGTCAAACTGGCGGAGAAATAGCAGAATGTGTGCAAAGGAGGTTGGAAGGGGGGCGGGGTTTCAAAACGTACGACGGCCGTATCTCCTCCCAGCGTTCAGGACGGAACTCGTCAGCGTCCTCTCCGTATAGATCCTTTCTCCGGTGAAGACAGTACAGGGGCCACCGCACGGGTGTGCCTTTCGGGACGAAGACGGGCGATTTCCCGTCGGGCCCCCCGCCCACGGGCAGCGTCGTATCCCGTGCTGTGCCGCGCGACATGCTCGCCACAGTCGGGTACAGCCTCAGGACTAGGTAAGCCGCAATCTCGTCAGCACTCTATTCCAAAGTTCTCCTCCCATCAGGTCTTTTCGTCGGGGAGATATTAAAAAAAAAAAAAAAAAAACTCTCACCTTCCTTGAGCACCATGTTCAGGTACTTCATATCCTTCATCTCCTCCCACGTAGGCCTCCGCCCCTCCAGCGCCTCCACCTCCACCCTCAACCTCTTCACGACGTCGGCCCGCCGGGGCAAGACCCAGAACAGCGCAGACAGCGTCGACGCCGTGGTGTCCCGCCCGGCGAGGATCATGGACAGCAGCTGCGCGCGAATGTAGTCGGGCGTCAGCCCGGGCTTCCCAATCATCTCATTGAGGAACACGTAGCCCCTCTCCGGGTCTTTCTCTGCCTCTTCGTCGGCAGACCGGACGTTGCGGATGTAGTTGTCGCAGAAGCGGTGGATCTTCTTGAGCCCCTCGTCCCATTTCTTGTCATTGTCGAGAAAGGTGAGCAGGCCGAGACGGGAGCGGATCGCGGAGCGGGTGGTGATGTACTCAAACGTCGACGTGAAGTCACGGGCTTCTGGCGAAGGTGTCGTGAGCATGTTGGTTGAATGTCCGAACCTGTAAAAGGCAGTGTTAGTACATCACTCCCTTCACTAGCCAACCCCCTTTCTTCTTTGTGAATATCCAAAAACTCACATAAAGTCAGTCGCCGAGTCCATGGTCATCATATACAACAACGCCTGCAAATCAACCGTGGCCCCGTCCTTGGGTATGTTCCCAATAAGATTACCAACATGCCTCTCAAAACACTTCAAATCCGCAAGCTGATTCCTCACAAAGCTCGGCCGCATCATCGCCCGGGCGCCGTGCCACACCTCCCCGTTGGCCGAAAAGATGGCGTCCTCCCCCAGAATCGGCACCACGGCCTCCCGCCGGGGCCCGACAATGATGAACGACTCAAACGACGTCACCAACATGGTCTTGAGGTTCTCGGGCTCGCTCGTCATGAGCACCCACCCGCCCGGCGTCTTGACCCACCACGTGTTGCCCAGCTTGCTAAAGACGTCCTGCCACCACTCGAGCAGGTTGTGCTCCTTTTGGCGGGCGAGCGAGGCGCGGGTCCAGTCGCTGCCCAGGATCGGGTCCTTGTGCGGGTACACGGGCGCCGCGCCGCAGTGGAGGGCTTTCATTTTGAAGAGGTACCATGCTTTTTTGTATAAGATGAGGGTCGGGAGGATGAGGATCGTGGCGAGGACCGGGCTGGTGAGGGCATGGTTTCCTGTGAGATGGGAGCCGTGGGCCCAGGAGAGGTACTTCTCTGCCAACGTCCACAGAATGTAAGTTCCAAGGGCAGCGGATGAAGCTGCATAGAGGTATGCTCGTGCCATGTTTGCGTCACTTTATTATTGGGTGGAAAAACCGCTCAGTCGTTGTGAGGGGGGTGAGATGAAGTGAGAGCAAAAGTCTGGTTTCGCGTCCAGCGTTCGTAGCTCTACGACCCCTCAGCAGTTATGAATGAAACTGAATTCGCAGTCAGACATTCGCTCACGTAATGTCCGTGCCGGTGTGTCCGACGAAGGCTGGTACAACATCAGACGGGGAGAGGTCTCCAATTAGCTGGCCCAAGGTTTTTGCTCCGAGTCGGGAGGGGTCCGGTTTGGTTGGATGTTCGCCTTCGATAGTCCACTGAATAAAGTAACGAGTAACCCATGAAATACGCTTTGCCTGCCATAACTGTATATCTTATAGAAAGTCTCCGTCAAGGACATGTTTGAGGTGTCCAGTCGATCACATGTGTGTGTGTGTGTGTGTGTGCACCCCCTCGGGGGGTGTCCGTCAAATGATGTAACATCGCCATCTCATAGCATCCCTGGGGGTTTCCCCTCACCTTCTCTCCAGGACTAAGCTAGCCCTCGACATATCGCCCCGTCTAAGAACGGCAGTTTGGCTACTAGTACCCAATAGACAAGCAGCCTTTACGGGAACGCTACGCTACGGCTTCCAAGCTAGTTCTCTACCCCCTCCAATCCGCCGGATATGTGGTCCTACTAGCCACCCAAGTTGCCGTCACACCCATGATTTTCCCCGCGAAAATACATCAGGAAGTTCGGCAGAAACCAGCCTAGGTACCGGGGAGCAGAACGACCGTGTAGGGCTGACCTCCAGGTTGTAAAGCCTCCTCAGCTTAGAATAAGTAAGCCAAAAAAGAAAAGGCGGCTGAAAGATCTGCCATGACGAGGAACAACAACCTCGGATATGATATTTGATCCCGCAAAGATCCCGCAAAGATCCCGCCAAGGCGACCATAATCGTTCCATCATCGTAATCTGACATGGTTACACCAACACCATCCTCGAGACATGCCCACCTCACCACCTTTTTCTCACCTTTCGTGCTCGGCATGTGAACGAATTACCTAGCCCACCATTGGCCGACTTTGGATCCTTGAGGCGGGGGGAAATAATACGACTGCTTGCGTGAGCGTGTGAGTGTGTCCGCGGTAGACCGATGGTTGCACATCCATGGGAAAAGTGTGATGTGCCAATGACAAGGGGATCAAATCTTACCAGTCGGTGAATCGAGTTGTCAAACTTCAAAGTGACAAGGCACGCTGGGAGGCCAAACCCGAGAAATGGAGCGAACAAAACCCATACAACTAACTACGTACACGTAGCTGTCTATCTGAATCCCTCTGGCTCCCTGGCTATTCTGCCATTCTAGGTTTTCCAGTGCTTTCTTGTGTAAATGAACCGCCGGAAGGCTTGGAAACTCTATCCTACGTTATTATTACCTCGTATTTGGGGCTCTCGCCTTGGAGCCAAGCTTTGTGTGGAGAGCTCCGCCTCGGATAACCGCCGCGACAAATGGCCCGACGGTCCGGCGGACGGAGTTGGATGCGGCGCCGTGCAGCCCCATCGAGGATGGCCGTCGGGGTAGCCGGGAAGTAACGCCCTTCGAAACCTAGACCGTTGAGAAGCATGAGGATCAGAGAAATATTCTCAGTTCTCATCGAGCATTGAAATCTCCCTCTCTGCCACCCATCTTCATGTATTTTTATTTTATTTTCCACTTCCTTCTTGTGTAAAATGGCTAGTAGCGGCTTCAATTACAATTGGCATCATCTATCTATATACAAGTCGTCATAATGTTGTGGGCTCTTCTGCGGCTGTAGATGCTCGAGAGCTGATTTTGTCGTTATAGCCGGCCATAGCTGTTGCGTTTTTCTCTCCAATGAATGCCAGTTGATGCCAACCCAATGCATATGTAAAATCCCAAGTATGTTCCAGAAGTCTACTCCTCCTCGCTATGAACGCCTTTGATGTTGAATGCAGTTTGCTCCTCTACCTGAATGAACCTCGACCGTATAGTGAGGCAGAACTTACTCAATCCGTGCCGATCGCTGGGATGCAATGCTGTTGCGTAACGCGGGATTTCGACTCTTCCTGCTCAATCTCTTCTCCCGAACCATGGGGATTCCTGACGGCGGGTCCGGGACTGCAGTCGTCCCGCTCATCTGAGAGAGCACGCTCCCTCGTTGCGGAAGGCCTTGGTGTCTGCTCATTATGTATCCTTTGGTCGGTAAAGGAGATAGTATTCCATTCTCACGCGAACTGCCACCGTCACTCGATGCATCGTTGTCGATCCCCTTGCCTTTCTCAATCATCTCTTCGTTCTTCCGCCTGGTAGCTAGTGCAGCAAGGCCACCGCCGCCGATGAGCGCGGAACGGAAGTCGAAGAATCGCTCCTTCATAGGCTTTTTAGACGTCTCGTCCATCATCATCCAAATAACACCCACAACCAGGAGTCCAAGCACAACCATCGTCAAGATTGCTGCACCGGCCGTGTCACCGCCGCCTAGTGGTGGTAAATTCGAGACCGCTGGGATCGTCCGGCCGATGTCGTTACCTCCAGCTCCAGGATCGCCTTGGGAAGTACCGCCAACGTCTGCAGTATGGGGTGCACTAGAAGTTTCGATGAGGTTGCCGAGCGTGATTTCGAGGGCGGCCATCTGTTGTCCAACACCCTGCATTCCATCCCAAGTACCGTTTTCGGTCCACTTCAAACCACACATGCGTCCGTTCGTGCCGCCCTTACACTGCGATGCAGCTGCGATAGATGAAGGGCGAATCTTGGCCATGATGCCGTCCGTCAAGTGCGGAGCCCATTTGGTGATGGCCGCTAGCCAGCGGCTTAGGTACGCCTTGAAGGATTGCTGGTCGAGGTTGCAGAGTCCAACCGTCTCGCATGCTACCTCCTGCATGATATTCTTTTCCTCGCCGACAAAGAAGACATCTGCGCCCTTGACCAGTCCGTCGAGTCGGTTCTTCCACACCTCGCTGCCAGTGTGGTTGTACATGGCGGCAGCACCAAGGATCATGCCGCCAGCGTTGTACGTCCATTGATACGGTACGATGTTGGTGCAGTTGTACTGAATGTGGCCACCGTCGTAGACATAATAATCGTCGGAGATGAAGTTGACCCCAACCATCCAATCCCAGGTTTTCTCTGCCCATTCGGAGTAGGACGAATTGCCGGTGTACACAGCCAGTCGCCCGGCGAGAGCGAAGAAGCAAGCTTGGGAAATGGTGTTCTTGTAGTCGTAGCCGTTGTTCCACTGGAAGATCTGCCATCTAAGTCCTCCTGCACAATGATCGGGGTCCCAGCGTGCGGCCTGGGTGTTGAAGACAGCCTGTGCCAATGCAAGCCATTGTGGCTGATCATCGGGGGGGTTGGGGAACCCATACTCGGCGGCGGACATCACAGCGAGTCCCCAAAATCCTTGATCATCGTTTCCCTCGGTACGGGTCTGGTTCTCTGGCATGTAATCGTTGTATTTACCGACTTGGTGGAGGAGACCCTGGGTGACGACATCATTCCAGGTGCTGTCGCCTGTGTAGTACCAGTAATCGATCATGGTACCCATCATAGCGCCGGCCTCCCACCCTGGCATGGTGTTAGTCGGGAGCAGGACAAGGATTCGGATATGCACTTACAGTAGTATGGATCGGGGAGAAGACCTGGGGTCTTGCCAGGTTTGTCTCCGTCGTAGAACGACATCAGATCTTCAGTCATCGATCTCGCGATGGTTTTGACATTGCCTGTGCACAACACTTGTAAGTCGAGGTCGTTCACAGATTTTCATTTGCGCTTACTGGCGTCACTTGTGTCCAGGTCGTATGCCGTGGTGAAATGGACGGTCGCCAGCAAGAAAGCCGGCAGAAGCCGGCTTACAGACCATGATGGCCGGCCCCGCAGTGCGGTCATGATGCGGGAGGTTGGAGTAGGAAGGATCGTTGGTTTCAATGAACGGACCGCATGAAAGACAGGACTGTAGGTTCAGAACCCGGGGAGGGGGGGGGGAGCGTCGATTAAGTGTCAAAAACAGAGAACGAGTGGATGCCGCAATGCTGGAATTAGCAAGCGGCCAAAACTTGAACAAGATCAAGACTTCCTGGCGTAGACCGGGCAGATGGTGCGCATGGAGTCGAGCCACGTTCGTGAGGTAATGGAATAGCTCCGATGATGTGAGCTAGGAACCGGCCGGCAAGGTCGGTTGGCGTTTTCCCCCTCCTCGGCGAGAAGTGAATTCGTATGGCGGCTAGTCTGTCCACACCACACCAAGACTTCACACCCTGGGAAAGTGCGTGTACTTGTATGCTGGTGTTGGCACGTACGTGCATGCAGGTTGAACGCCCCCCTCAAAGAAGCAGTACCACCTTGTCAGTTTCCGATGTGGTCAGGCAAGGTTTGCCAGGTTCGAAATCCAGATTCGCGCCGTCCAGGCCGAAGTAACGAGGAGGATGGAGGAGGAGCGATGACGGCGGTGGAGTTGCGCTCGCCTGCTGCTGCCTCTGCTGCCTCTGCTGCTTGACTGATGCTGCTGCTGCTGCTTCCAGGTCCGCGTCCGCCGTAGTCGCCCGAGAGAAATAGAGACGGAGGTGGGAGGAAAGAGCTGCTTCCAACCCCAAGTAAATACGAGTTTGGTCAGGAGCAGTACAGGACACCAGCAAAGACGGAACCGTTCCAGTCGAAGGACCACCAGAGGTAGAGAAGCGGCGAAGGCTCACTAAAATGGCTCCCCAGGAGCAATACGAACTTTGCCAAGAGGATCCAGCAAGACGAGATCCGCCTGCGTTTCTGGCCAAAGTTGGACTGGGGAACAACAAATAGGACAGACACCGAGGCATGAGAGCCGAGTGCATTTCGGGACTGGTAAGACTGGATAATCAGGCAATCGCGAAACCAGCTGGACAAGACCCAGTCTTACAATTGACAATGTCTCACCGTCGTGTATGCTTGTTGTGGTTTCATGATTTGATGCCGTAGGTATTTTGTGTCTTTCCCATTGCCAGTGTGCCAGTCTGCCCTGGGCTTTGGCTTTCCTCCATGCTTCTGTTCTAGCTTTAGCATTGGCAGCTGAGCTTGTTTGAACCTGATCGTGGTGCTTGTGCAACCGTCCCATCCACAGCGCGTCCGGCTGTAGTCTGAACCCTGCCATCCCATGAGCTTGGTGCTGCACCATGCTGACCCGTCGCTGGCATCCCCCCGCACTGCGGGAAGCAGGTGGGTGACGTTTCCGGACGCAGCTGGGCACCGCTGGGGCTGTTCGTTTCTGTACCGCTCTCGACCCAATGGCGAAGGTTCGTTTCGAGAAACACTAAATTATCGAGGTTTTCCGGCCTGCTTCTGCTTTCAGGGTCGGGCGGGCCCACTGGTTCGTCTTTTGATCAGTGACACTGTGGCTGCTATTGTTCGAATTATACTTTGCGCCTGGTCACACAGCCAGACGACACTTTGGTGGATTGACTTTGTGAACAGCATAGTGTATTCGTGGTGTTGGTTTACTACACTGGTTTCTTGACCGAGTGCGCTGCAACCTTGCGTGCTTGCCCAGCGAGACGGTGCGGTGCGGGCAGCTTCTGGGCGGTATGATGCCACTCGTTGGACTTCCGCTTGAATAACTTGAATGGATAACATGAATAAAACGGGGCCAGCTGACGTCGATGATCAGCAGAGCATCTGGGATGGCTAGGAAGCGACAGGGCCAATATGCCGCTGGTCACGGACTGCTGTAGACTTGGCCCAATCCGCACCCAAAGAACCCACCTAAAGAACCCACCAAAACAACCCAAAGCTGGCTGGGCCGCCGCCGCCCTGCTGCTAGAAGCCGGTTGTCGCAAGGAATAAAAATCGGTAGCGAGCGGGGAAATCGCCGTAGGCCGCTGCCAAGAATCTTGACACCGCCGAGAATAAGGTCTTGATTCCATCGGCTTCTGATGTTGTTTGCTTGGACTCTTGGAGCGATGTGATGCTTTCGGTGCAGACGATCCAAGTCATATGGATGACCGCTTTCCACTACGTTGTCGTGTCTTCTTGTCCCCTGCCGTTTAAAAGCCGTTCTGAAGCTCGTCGACCTGACGCTTGGCGGTTGCTCGAGCGAGTGACCCTATTTCCGCGAACGATTTAGCTTCATCACTTGGTCGTTCCATTCCACAAGTGCATCAGGCCAGCCGCCAGCGCGCGCCTATGGGCCATGAACTCGGAGCCGATCTTATGAAAAGGTTCGTTCATGGGCCCAGCCGTGAGTAAACCGTCGCATTGCGAACGCAGCCAGGCTCGCATTCTGAGAGGTCTTCCAAGCATTGCAGGCAAGAATGCGTGTCCATTCGACCTAGGCAACGGTAAAGCAGCATGCCAGCGAACATCGTGGTACGTGGTCCGCTTTGTCACCGGCTGCTTCGCTGGCATTGAGTCTCATCATTCCGCATTGCTGATTGCGAAAAGCGCAATTTGCCCTCGGAAAGTCCATTCCTCGGAACCAAGCCTTAGATTGTGATGTGTTCAAGCAAATTTGGCCATGCTAGCTTTCCAGTCGTGATTCGTGGATGCTCATGGAAATGAACCAGTCCGACCGGTAAGCCGATGAAACGACGTAGCGACCGTCTAGGGTTAGTTGGGATATCGCAAGCGGCAAGATCAGCTTCGCAACTTGCTTCATGGGAGGTGTTTCTGCAACGGCGACGTAGTACGTGCGGAAACGACACGGGTTCTAAGATGCGCATGAGGTTATATCGTTGCCGTCTTCGTGTTATCGACGATGGAACGTGTGCCGCAACGAGTGTTTTTTCCTGCATCCTCTTGGTCCCAGGAACAGCGGCAGACGCTTTCAACATCCACGGGGTGGTTTGAGTAGGTTGCTGTCGATGTTATTCAATTCTGTCTCCGTCCAGAGGCCAACGTCGGCTCTGACTGCGAAGGTATACCTCTTGGAATGACCGGCCGCTTTCCGTCTGTGATGTTCGCTTCTGGGATGTGACGCCACGCTGCTACGCCACAGTACTGGCCCAGATATTCTTTACGAAAGGTCCCCGCTTATAATCAAGCCACACGGAGCGGCAAATGAAGGGATCCGAGATCTCCATCGTGTTCGGGGAGAATACGAGCATCACATGGCTGGCTTTCACGTGCCGCCAAGAGGCGAAGTTGAGGATCGGATGAGATGGGATGGTGGCATGGTGCAAGTCATGGCTCCGGGGCAATTCAGTTCCGTCGGGTCCAGGCTGTGACGACCCTACAGTCCGTGGGCACCGGCTCCTTGGGAGGCGTCGAGAAACACCTTGCTGCGTACGTAGTAGAAAGGTGACGGAGCGGATGCCAAACCTTCTCAGCCCATCACATTGGGAAGGTCGGAGCAAGGTCTCCATGGAAATGGCCCTTCGGAAACAGCCTGCGTAACTACGATAATTGTCCTCTCAGTCGCAAGGGAAGCTGGAGAGGAAATGTCAGTGCTGACCCGGGGACGCTGGACGCTTCCAGATTCTTTCGTATTCAAGGAACAACCTTTGCTGGGCCTTTGTCATGTTCATGGACACCCGCAGGCAGGGAGAGTCAAATGAACAGCAGACTTTTTGAGTTGGAGGGGAGAGCCACGGCGTTCACGACGGGACTGACTGCGCATTTCCACTTTTTGCTAGGTTCCCCAGGCACCAGACCAAGGAACGTACCGCTCAGTCCGTCTCCGACCTGCTCGAAACGGCCGTTTTGATTGGTTCTCGTCAACCGTTCCACCATGCCTCTTCTTGAACCCCCCCGGTGCCCCGTCTCCGTCCAGGCGGCCGTGCTTCTCCCATCCCACCACTGGAATCACTCGTTTTGTCGCTATCGGTCGGGTCCATGGCCTTGTCGCGCGTCTCTGCGCCTCTTCCCGCCCTTTGGAGGTCCTGTTCCTAGTTTGTTCCTGTGGCTGGGTCGTTCCCAGCTCGACTAAAATTAGTGGTCCAGCATCCCCCAAGGTGGCCGTGGTTGTCCCCTTCCAACCGTCCTCCTCCCCCCCGTGCCCCCGTGCCACCCCCCAGCAAGAAACCGCAGCGCATCCCCCCCTAAATCCTCAGACGGACACCTTGTTTCGGCTGGGCTCTCGCCTCTTTTTCCAAGCCGGAGACGTCTCATCACCTGAACCTGAACTTAAGCACCTCATCAGCCCGCCTACACCCTCCAACCACTTTTTCTCCTCTTTCCCAACCACACTGCACTCTCCGACCACCGTCAATCAACAAATCGCGACCGATCTCCATCTGCATCCTCCAGCAAACTCCGAAAGTCGTTCACGTCAAACTTCAGTTTCGCTCGTCCGAAACAGGACTTAATCCACCAGCTGCAGCTGCGAGCTCCGCCAGCAAACCCCAACTTCACTCTTCTCACATCTCCGTCACCACAGCGACAATGCCCGAAGACGCCCCCTACGACCCGTACATCCCCAGCGGCCAGGCCGCAAACACGGCCAACACGCAACAGCAAGGAGGCGCTGGCGGCAATGCGAGGACTCAGGCTCTGCAAGCTGTAAGTTGCGCTGCGTTTCTTGTTCTTTCCATCGTGACGTGGTTTTCTTGGTTCGACTTTCTGCCCCGGATTGCCCGACGCCTGATGACGACGACCGACCGAGCTACCCGCCCGACCTAAGCTTTCGCCGACTACGCCAGATCGGGCTATCGCATCAATTATCCAGCTCGTCAGCCGGAGTATGACGAGAAAGGATATTGCACGCTGCCGAGCCGGAGATGCACAAATGTCCTGCTCTGCAATGCTCATCGCGTCGACGACGGTCGCCCGAAAGCCAACCGTGTTCCCTGGCCAACCCAATCGACAACAGCAACGGGGAAATCGTCAACAAATTGAAAACGATGCAATTCGACGACTCGTTATGATCGCCCAGCAAATGACCAGCAGGAACAACAATCGCTCGTAGTTTTCGTCGTGGGCGTCGC